ACACGGATGCAACTGAGCGAACGGATGGCACTGATAAGTAAAGCCATCAGAGTCAACATCTATGATCTACTAAAGATTTTAACAAGAATTAATCCACTTGGATTATCAAAAAAATCATGCTTCAGAGATTATTGTAAGGTGTAACGTTAAATCTATATTTAAATTAAATCGATGATTGGTGAATTAGATACATGATGACGATCAAATCTCAAATAAAACTTGATTAGAAAGTTTGATCTTGATGCAGATGAGCACCGAAATTCCCCGGGGTGGGCCTGGCGGAACGGCCGGGCCCCTAACTGGAGTACTAGGATGAAATGACGGCAAACCGCAGTCAAACTACTTCATGACGATGAAAATCAAAGTTCAATTTCAAGAGCAATAATTTCCTAGTCTTTTCACCAAAAATCTGTTGAGAACGGTCTCACAATGTAACGAAATTACCGTAGATCACAAAGACTATTGCAGCTTTTTCAAAATTGATGACTAAATTCACTTAATCTACTCATATTTCAATCAATTACTCACCCATTCTCAATGAACTAAATCTTCTCAGTTTGTGCGAGTATACGTACAAGGCCTGGCATGGCATGGCCGCCTGGCTATATACGCTATTACTAGTACTGCATTAAGCTAGCAGCGAGCGCGCTAGCGCCAGCGCGCGCAGTCTAGTCTAGCCTCGCGGGTATTATGTTGTTAACCCGTGGACTACTGAATTCTCTCACTCCCATAGGCTTAATACAGGGACCACCCGGTTCCAGTATGCAATGGACTTATACGAGATACTATCTCATTAAAACGAGATAACTATCTCATTAAAACGAGATACTATGTCGTTTTAACGAGATACTATCTCATTAAAACGAGATAACTATCTCGTTTTAACGAGATACTATGTCGTTTTAACGAGATACTATGTCGTTTTAACGAGATACTATCTCATTAAAACGAGATACTATGTCGTTTTAACGAGATACTATCTCATTAAAACGAGATAACTATCTCGTTTTAACGAGATAAAAATATTTTTACCATGTCCCTTCCCGGGCTCCGTAGTACTCCATAACTCATAGATGAAATTATAGTTCGATCGTCTGTACATCCATATGCTTTTATGCCATATGCTCGCGGTTTTTAGAGATAAATAGATAGGACGTGGCAATAATGATTCATCAACGTAACGTGTCTGTGGGGTCTGTGGCCCCGGTTTGTGACTCCATCGTTGTATATTTGTTCCCCTTCAATCAATACACCGAGGTCTTTTTATGTCAAAATTAAAAGTTTTTTTTTTCAAAGGAAAAACAAACACACAACAAATTGAAACCGATCAAAACATTTTTAGATAGAAAAGAAAAGTAAAGGATATGTAGCTGATAATGAGAGTCTATTAGTTAATAATAATACAATGCCTGCGAGTAAAACAATCCTCAAACAAACAAATAAATATATAGAAAGATTCAAAATCAGAGAGTGATTTAATTTCAAACACTATCGCAATTCATACTCTCCAAAAATTAACTCAGGTGCAATCTCAATAGCCCATTATATCCCACAGAAATCATGTTCGGATTACGTAATACGACATTGTATGACTTGTATTAAAATGCTCGCGCGTTTCAAAAGTTGATGGACTTCTCATCCCCCCTCTCTCTCTCTCTCTCTCTCTCTCCCCCCCTCTCTCTCTCTCTCTCTCTCTCTCTATCTCCCTCCCTCTCTCTCTCTCTTTCTCACTCTCACCCCCCTCTCTCTCCCTTTCTCTCTCTCTCTCTCGCTCTCCCTCTCTGTGTATATAGTGCCTCAGTCTCTAGTCAAAATCGCCCTACCCTACCCACCAGGCGGGTACGCAGGGGGGAGGGGGGGGGGGGGGGTCGGGGTCAACCCCCTTCAGTTTTTTTTATATGTATGTTTTTGGGGAACTCCCCCCCCCCCTTTTGATTTATTTTTGTTAATTAAAAAAAAAAATCCTAATGGATGACCTAAAAAAATGACCTAACCCCCCTCCCCCCACGGAACCGAATGTCGATCGGCGAATTTTCAAATTTCGGGACCCCCCCCCCCCCCAAAAAAAAAAAATAAATATGTCCCCTTACCCGCCCCCCCCCCCCCCCCGCTTATTCAGCGGCTGACTGAGTCGTTGCGAAATTTTTGGCCCAATTTCAAAATGTTACCCCCCCCCCCTTTGAAAAAATCCTGCGTACGCCACTGCTACCCACCCCACCCCTCCTCTCCCCTCCCCCTGCCTACATTGTCGACAGTGCTTTTCCTCTCGGAAATTCACATTCTCGGCTCTTCTGAACACATAATTTCCAAGGGAGTGGTACCCCCTTAAACCGATGGAGGAGGGGGGGGGGGGGGGGGTACTCACATATTAACACATACGGGGGGGGGGGGTGCCGCCCTAATGGCTCACTTTTTCACACAAAATATCCTGAAACATAAGTCCCACTTTTCACAAAATTATCACCATTAAAAATGGGTCCGTTTTGTCAAAATTTCCAAGGTTTTTTTTTTCTCGAGAAAAATGACCCCAAATGACCCCTAATAATGGGTATGGGTTTTGAGGCTGGAGCGGCAGACCCCGTCCAAACCAGGGGGGGGGGGGGGGATGCAACCCCTCGCCCGAGATTGCCGCGCCTAATGATTTTTTTTTTTACAATCATGTATTGATCGGCAGAGATCAATGTTCTCGTTCCTTACTTCAGATTATAGCGCCACCTCTAACTGATGCGTACAGTTTTCTTTCAGAAAATATTTTTTGAAACATTTTGGTTGAGTTGTGTAAAACCAGACAATTTACACAAACTGGTTGGTGAGTCAGACAGAAATCTTTTAAAAAGTGATTCAAAAAATCAAAGTAATTAACAAGATTCTACCACTAAATATGTTATCACCAGAGGTGCACCTTACATTTCCACATGTGCCCCTTTTCCTTTCTAATAAGTGGCCCCATTAAAAAAAGAAAGCCCCTTTTCCTTCTCATAAATGCCGCTTTTCATCTCAGGTAAATGACCCTTTTCAGGTACGAGAAGTTACTCTTTTTAACTTAAGATAAAAGCTCCCTTCACCTCCAATAGTTGCCCCTTGTTCTTTCTAATACATGCTCTTTTTCCTTCTTATAAGTGCCCTTTCCCCTTCTCATAATTACCCCTTTTCATCTCTGATAAGTGCCCCGTTTTTTTTAAACACGTGCCTCTTTTTCTTTTTAATATTGATAATAATAATATTGGATAATTATAATTATAGCGCATGTATCCACCATGTATGGTGCTCAAGGCGCTTCAACTATTACCCCGGCTCTGCTAGGCAGCCGATTTCGGCGCTCGCAGCATTGAAGGAAATGCTTCCTACCGGTACCCATTTAACACCTGGGTGGAGAGTGGCAAATGTAGATTAATATCTTGCCAAAGGACATTAGTGCCGTGGCGGGACTCGAACCATTTCCCCCTTTTCATACCCCCCCCCCTATCACCTCCGCTAAATGCCCCTATTCAAATCGGATTGATGCCCCTTTTCTTTCAACTTAAACACTTTTCCTTTATTATAAGTGCCCCTTTTTCATTCTCAAAAGTGCCCCTTTAAAAATCTGATGGGGCCCCTTTTTCGTAGACAAATGCCCATCATTTCCCATTCTCAAAAGCGCCTGGTTACCACAAAATGGAAAATTGGTCTATTGACTGCACAATCATGCCAAATTTGGACACAACTCATTATTCTACACTAAAATTATTTAGATTTCTCTCCTCAGTAAACCTTTACTCGATAATTTAATCTGTTTTAGTACGCAGTTTTAATTGAAAAAAACAACACTCGGTTTATATGCTCCCTTACGTTGATAATAGCTGAAATGTATCTTCTTTTGGAGGTCATGTAAGTTTACAAACCATTCTCCAGCTCGGCCATTTCACTCATTGCCAACTTGCCCGACTAGCCACTACCCCCGGTCATAACAATATGATTGCCGTCATTGATCTACAACACTCGACCTCTTATTCGTCCATGATCTCAATAACTCATTAACCTTGGCCATTATGACACATATAAATCGATTTTCCTTGGTTCAGTCTCTCTCGATCTCTCAGGTGTTCTGCCAAGGGCAGGTGCACACACCAGAGTCCTCTTTAGTTCTTTCTCCATTCCTGTCTCTCTCTCTCTCTCTGTCTCTTTCTAGCCTTCTTCTTCATTATGCCATAATGATATATGATCTACCATGTCTGACTTCCAAATTCTTGTTAATACTCGTCCACGTTTATCATCTATCTTCCCTTCCAAGATGTATCTGAGTATCCCCGTAAGATGTGTCCTTTTCGGTTTTTCTTCCGACTCCGGACAGTTTTTGTAAAGTTCCTTGTTCATTCACTCTCCCCAGTCCTTTTCTTCATGATTGTGAATATAATGGTGGTCTTTTTATCTAACTTTTGTTCCGAGAAGGCAATTTTGATGATTCGCAGAAATCTTTAGGCATGTGGCTTCCACTCCACATAATTTCCTCAATATATTTATTAAACAAAGGTCATTCGAGATGCAAATTTACTTTTACGAAATGTGTCTGTGACGTGTCCATCACAGACAGTCAAAACATTATAGAAAAAGACGTCGGGTACCATGCCTGCATGATACATTTATTGACTAAACAATTGGCAACAATCAATTTTTTTTTTACATAATCAATAATGTGCCAAACCCTACACTTTCCAAGGCATGAGGATAACAGCCTGGAAAATTGTCTTTTAGAGTTTGGTTTGTCATAAATGGTCGAATTTCCTATATGAAAATAAATAAGGAAATCGTAATAGATTACTGAATTTCTTAATTTAAAGAGGGTAATTTTGAAGATATTGCCGAAACAAACCCTTATGCAAGTGGGTTTGATATTATGTTCTTTGTTGCCAGGCGAAGTAGTATTTGCACTGACGCTTGTATCGACCACCGTCTACAAATCTTTTGTAAGAACCTGTCCCTCTTTTAAAATCAATCGATTTTAAGTTCCACGAACGAACGGGGTTATTGTAGTCTTCTGCCTGATGTAGACGCACACTGGTTTGCTGCGCAATAATGATGCCATCACTTTAGTCGATAGTGCTAAGTGATAAAGTTGCGGATGAAACCTCTGGAAGACAGATAACTGGGGTTACAAGATTTGGAGCAATTGCAGCAAGATTCACCCGCTGAATTCTTCAGAAGACTACTTAACAATCTTGAAGTTATGGCGCAACCAGCAGGATTCGTCCTGCTCCTAATCGTTGCGTGTCTCGTCCTCTGTTCGGGGGAACGACCACCAAAGAGGAAGCCGGGTCGGTATGATGCTCTCTTTGATCGCTCCAGGATCGTGAGTTGTTCGGGAAACGAGACCATCTCGTTGTCGGCCGGTGACTACGAATGGATCTCCTCGCACGAGACCGACGATGATGCCCCGTACCCCAATGACCTGCAATGTGTTTGGATTATTGAGGCACCCAACAATTATCGTGTGACCATACTCGTTGAATATTTCGCTCTTGAGTTTGATTACGATATCCTTTATTTCGGTGAGTAGGGCTTCTTAAGACAAGGGAGCAAAAATAGGAGGTGTTAGGATAACATAATATTTTTTCATTAAAAGTAAAATGCAACAATATTATTGTGTTAACGATTGTTTCCATGTTTTGAAGTGCGCCTATTAGTGAAAAGGGTGTTTTTTCGAAAGTGCAAGGTATTGATGCAGAAAACTTTCATTGGTTGGGTTAATTATAATTATGTAAGCTTCTACCAACCTTAAAAATTTATAAAGCAAGCTTTTATCCACTCCTGTGGAACTCTCTCAAGCCAAGTGATTGTTCACAGTTTCTTGCTATCTGCTGCCTCGATATTACTGGAGCGAAGATAGATGACAATGAATAGCCAGAGTCCCTATTCAGTGACGGGTTGATCCTTTTCATCCAAATTGACTCGTTCACCTTTCTTGACCAGTTCAAAGTCAACAATAGGGACTTTTAGATTTACACGTCGACATAGTGGACTGCTACGTGTGACGTCCTTTTAAGGCTACATTGCCCTTAAGAGGATTTCCTCAAAAGGACGTCACACGTAACAGTCCACTATGTCGACGTGAAAATCTAAAAGTCCCTTCTATGAGCATCATTCCATCCAATGTTGTGTCCAGTAATAGGGGCGTGTTCTGCTACTGCTGAGTGAGATGAATATTGCTCAATCTAAGGGCTCTTTTTTGCTCTTTCAATTGATCTGTTAGTGTACTCCCTACCTCCCCAACAAGATACTATGTGTTAAGATGCCACAAAGATTTGTTTTCATTGCCTTGGTCCTCAAGAATGCGAATACTCGTATGATGTTTTTAAACATTATCATTAATATCTCTTGCTCGATCTTTCTCCTCCTATTATTATGTCAATAACTTGTCCTCCCGAAGACATAGAAGCCTTCTATGTCTTGCATATTATGAGGAGGAAGATCGAGCAAGAAATATTAATGATAATGTTTAAAAACATCATACGAGTATTCAAACCTGCTTCAAGAGTTATCTCATCAAGTTTCAAGGCATTTGACCCTTATGGTCATGAAACTTGATATGATAACCCTTGAAGCAGGTTTGATGGGATGGGATGTGTTAATACGGTGATGGTGCAGACAACAAGATAACATTTATATTTACATTAAACATACCATTGCCAGATCCTGCGTTCTACATTGAACGAGGCTTGTGACCCGAGAAGAATTAATATATATCATTTTGTTTACAAGAGAAAAGTCACTACAGAGATTATGAGTTGTGATTCTGATTTTTCATATTACATTGAGCAGGTATAGACGTAACGGATGTTTTCAAACATCGTACTCAAAGCCCCACTGCACTACTTATAGCAGCTACTTGCGCCCTCTATCTAGCAAACAATGCCTCATCGGTGCCTGTTGATCCCGCATGATCCTCTTTTTCTTATGTTAATTGAGAGCTGATTTGATGAGATAACCACCCGTCAGTGACCTTGCAGGGAGGTCTAATCCCCCCGGCCAAACTAGGACAGACGGGCTTTACGAATGAACGTTTTGCTTTTCCTATAACCTCCAGGTTCCGGTGATGAAAACATTGGGGATGACCCGGAAGGAGAGTTGACTGGTACCATCAGGCGAGGCACAAGGTTCATCTCTGATGGACGTACCATGTGGATTGCTTTCGTCACGGATGATAGCGTGCGCGATCTCGGGTTCGGGTTCAACATCACCGTCGTTCACAAGTCAGGTAAGGCAACATCCATTGCTGTATAACAAAGCGCAGTGGGGTACGAACAAGGGACGGGGGGGGGGGGGGGTGGGTCCTAGGCGCTGTTTCATAAACTTGTTATGAATCACAAGTTGTTGCAATTGTTGCAAGCTGCTGCAGAATGTTAGCATTTTGTTATTGTTAATAACTTTTATGAAACAGTGCCATGGAATCCCTGGGATATACATAATCAATGAAGTCTTCTTCGTACGTACGTTCCTCCCCTCCACTTATCTCTCTATTTATCCCTCTCTTTTCTTTCATCTCTCTTCCTACCATTGTCCTAACCATTCTCCTTTCTTCTCCCATGTTACCCCCTGTCCCCCCTCTCCTATTATCATTTTCCATTTTTTTCTTCTTCATTCGATAGGGGTATTTGCCCCGCTTGCCCCCGGCGCCCTCCAGTGTTCACCACTGGCAACAACTTATATTAAAACTATAATTAAAGTTACTGTTGATATTTAGATTTCTTAAATAAGAGCAACTGGCAGAGTTGTCCGACAATACACGACATTTATATTACTGATTTGCTAATTTTCAGGTATTTTTTTTTTTATAATAAAAGGGATATTTATAAAAGCTCATTTTCATTAAGTAAATAGTCCAGGTACCTCCTCCCCTCCCTAAATGGCTGAATAAACGCTACGCCAATATTCGTAATTCATGAAAGCAACTTGTTCATAAAAGGCCTAGGGCCCTTTAGGCTAAGCAACAATGTGTAAAGTTTGAGGTTGCATCACAATCACGTCTCTGATCCGAGTCGTTTTGTCTCATTTGTAGAAATTATCAGCCCCCCTCCCTCTCTCTCTCTCTCTTCCAATGTTTATGCCTTTCGATGTGAAATTTCACGTTCAATCTTAAGCATTAGAATCATGTTACTGATCTGAGTCTGTTGATTGTGTCTCATTACTTTGTAGATATCATCCGTTGTGATAATGATCAGGGAATCATTGAGGATGATCTGTGTGATGGCATCGTCAACTGCGAAGATTTGAGCGATGAAACAGATTGTGGTAAGTTTATCCGTGCTCCGTGGTTTATCAATGTTGCCATGACATGATGCTATGGCAAAAAATGCTTTGTGGTAAATTTCTTACACTATTCGAACTCCTCACTCCACCCCTGGATCAATTACCCAAAACGTCAAGAAACCTGATCTAAAACTCAATTGCAACTTGCAACATTAACTTCACAATCGTTGACAAAATAGAGCCTGGGGCACTTGATGCCGAAGCAACTGTCTCAACCAATAATTACGAGGAGGTCCTTTGAAGAAGTAATCTGAAATACTCACAAGAATATAATATGATAGAATCCATTCATCAGATTCCATTGCTTTTTGTTTTGGTCTGAAAGCAGCCTTTGCTTATAGTAGTACACACGTACGGTGTTATTTCAACATACTGTGTGTTGTCTTTAAAAGTTTAAACTATAGTTCCCTTTGCTCCTTTTCGCTACCCGCTTAAGAAATCGACCAAGATATACAATAATTGCATAATTATTGATAAACAGTTAAATTGGTGTTTATCATAATTTTATAGCTGAAATGTATAATCGTTTACATACGCAATAATGCCAAAGTGCTAGGCCTCCGATGGATGTTGATTTCGTCAATTTTCACCCAGTCTATAAGAATATGGAAAATTGAGATTCGCAAATAACCAATACTGAAGATTTTTTTTTGATCATTTCATATCTAACGCAGATTGTGAGGAGTATACTTGTGAGAACAATATCTGTATCGCTGACGATCAGGTGTGCGATGGCGTCAACGACTGCATTGATTTCTCTGACGAAACCGACTGCCGTGAGTATATTCGGGTTAATTCCATCATTGGGTTAATTTTCAGTATGGGCATGGCGTAGCCTTTCAGTAAATCCTGGAGCAGCGCTGCTCTCACCATAGAGGGATCGAATACCCCTCTGAAGGCGAGATCTGCCATACTTGCTCTCAGGCAAGGCACGTGCGTGCGAGTCGAAATCTCACAAAAGGGGAATATTGGCACATATCGTATAGGTTCAGCAATGACAATGATTAAAGACTGAAAGAGGGGGGGGGGGGTACAAACATATTGATCAGAAACAAACAGTGCATGTCCATCACGACATTGTTACCTCGGGCATGTTGGGATCAATGATTCTGTCGACCAGCAGTGGACGGGCGGAGCTACATCCAAATTAGGCACAAAGTGACCCTCATCCGACGTCGATGGTTATCTTGCTAAGATTGACTGTAAGAGAATCTTCATTTTAAAGGATTCCTAATTCTTTTTGTTACTTATTCAAATTTACTTATGGAAAAGGAGCAGGAGTACAAAAGAAGGCGACGGTATGTAGGATAACGTGCAGCTTGGACAGACGAAAAAATAAAATAAACGATTCGAAATGTTTTGTTGGCCTATTAATGTAGTTGATATCTTTCATGACTGTGAAAATTATGTTTAATGATGACGATAGTATTGAGTTGATAAAAATGAGCACGCAGTCTTAAAGATTTTAAAGATTTACAAATATTTCGATTTCTTCGTTGAAAGGGGATACATATCAATTCCTTTCATAGCAAAAGCGCTCCTCACAATTTCTGTAAATTTGGCAGTTTAACGCTACGCGTACCGCCTTGACCGGACTGTGCGGTATCTGTGCAGTTCTGTGTGTAGAGAGGTCGGGCTGTATTCATTATTTCTTGGGGGTGCATAAATTGCTCTAATTATACGTACGCGTGTAATGCGCAAGTTTATTGTGACGGCACTAAACCCATCCCACTCATTGTTACCCTATTTTCATAATGGTACTGACCCAATGAAATGTAGTGCAGTGCGCTCGTACGCGCTGCGCTGCGTGTGTACATGTACTGTACTTATGCATGTTCAGTTATATGTGTATGCATAGCATTACGTACATGCATACGGCTAGCTGGCACAAAACCCTGGGTCGGGCTTCTAAAATGGGACATGAAGCATGATTTGACATGAAAAATGACGGAGCTAAAAATGAATCAATCAAAATGAAATTTATATGTATGAAAAGCTTACGTATCATATGTCATTGTCTGTGATTGAGGATTTACAAATTTGACGCAAAACGCGTTGCTGCAAAGTTAAAGATTGGTTTATTGAAAGGCAATCGAGCACAGTACGACCGATCCATTGACATTGTGTATGAGAGAGTAATTTTTTTTAAATGGATTGTAAAGTTCAACGTCAAAGTGACGGAGGTTTTTTTTCAAGTAAGGGCATGGTTTTACATGGAATGTAAAGGAAATGTTTCCTTCTTCTCATATCTCGATTGAGGATATTGTTCTCAATTTCGATTTTTAATGGTAAAGAAAAGTGTAAAAAGATGTCGAGAATTTTACCATATGTCATGTAATATAAAATGCGCGCGGGTCGGTTGATCTCCCAAAAGGAGCGCGAAGGAATTGATATGTAGTTCATACACTTAGGGGGCATCTTCAATGTCGTTTAACAGTTTGAGTATTGACCGGGAAATTCTAACTGACATAGCAATCAGCAATAGCCTCAGAAAATCTAATGACATAAGAACAATAGTTGGGAGTTTGATGTGATGTGAGAGATTTGCAAATTACCCACTGCATGGACTACGCAATAGAACAATATCAAAGGCTAGATTAGTAGATTGTAGCCAGAAAGACCAATCCTCTTTTATTTTTATATTTTTACAGCCAACTGTAGAAAATTCAACCACAGGCAGTGCGCTGCACGACTCGACTACAAGCGGTCATACTTCCCTAACGCCATGGTGACTACACACAGGAAGGGGAAACGAGAATACAGGATCGTGCGACGCATTGCGAACTGCCACGAGATGTTTCTCACGGCGGCTTGCAGTATGCTCTTCCCACAATGCACCGCCGGTACCACGACCGTAGCCAGGATATGCAAATCTCTATGCTATGAGATCGAGGAGAGTTGTCGAGGTGACTTCGAGAATCTGGAAATGGGGGACTGGCCAGTGGAATGCGAGATGCACTCCGACGAGAACCCGGATGGAGAAGGCTTCTGCGATGGACCGGAAGGAGGTGGGTCGACCGAGGTCAAGGTTTTAGGGAGTCGTTTTTTTGAGGACTTTAAACAAAGAGGCGTATAGCGCCGACTCTGTCCTGTGGTTGATGCATCACTGGTGTATAGATTTAACACCTTTTCTAATAATCAGACTCGGGCTTCATTTAGTAAAAGATGAAGGGTTTGGCTTTATGGGGATAAGGCTGATTTAGGTTTTATGTTAGGTTTAGGATTGGGGTTAATAATGTGTTGGTCAAGGATCGAGGTGACTATACGAGTCCTTTATCATAATGGTAAAGAGTCAGAAAGATGCAGTAGGTTTAACATTTATTTACATCAAAGAATCAATGTTTTCTGTTAGCATAATATTTGACCCGAGACATTATTTTCTGACAGATTATTCTGGCCTTGGGACTTGCGGTGAACGCCCAACGTATAGCCGTATAGTTGGTGGTGTAGACGCAATCTATGGAGAGTGGCCTTTCATAGGTTCTTTGCGTTCTCGGGGTGGTCACGTCTGCGGAGCTACCTTGATCAATCCAGGATGGGCTGTCACGGCAGCTCATTGTCTGTAAGTAAACTCCGATACGCACGATGCCTCACGGAGCTGACGCAAAGTGACGTAAAGGACTGCGTCAGTGACTCGCTCATGCAGCCTCTGAAGTGCCATGTGAAAGTGATAGCGTACATAAATGAATGCGAAATGAATTGAAAAATAGTTTGAACGACCTAGTATATGCTCCAAATACTTCCACGTTTTTGAGTAGCGCTTGCAATGACGCAATCAAACTGACGCCTTGTGTGCAATAGGAATTAATGATATAAGTTAATGATTTAAGCAATGGCGTCTTTTGAAATTGATGTAGCCTCCGTGGATAGAGAGATTGAATGTACCTGCATGGGTTACTCCGAGATCCGTAGTCCTACTGGAAGTTGTATTGTTCACTTAAAAACCAAATGGTCGAAACCAATCCCCACAGTAATGTTGTTACATTTTCTTTAGACGGTCTGCAATATTTATTTTTTTAATTCTCGAATTAATTATCCGTATGCTCGTCAGCAACTAAGATTTGACAGACTATAAATAATATTTGATGATTAAGGTATTGTCGTCTTCGAATATTGTTCGAAAGCTATACAGTCTGCTGAAAGACGAAAGGCCAATAGTCTTCGAGAGTCTAATTTCTAGACGATAAGTGAAATAGTTTGGAATGAAAAGCATTATCGACATCAATTACTTACACAATATTATGTTCTTTTGCAGCTATGCCTTCAATCGCATTACCCTCGGTGACCTGCAGTTGGACAGTGAAACAAGCGCAAGTTTCACGACTAATATCGCCGATCAGATTGGACATGAATGGTATGATGACGACAGCACCGATTACGACTACGCTATGCTCCGACTGGAGGAAAGGGCGCCTATCGGCAACTACATCCAGCCAGCTTGTTTGGCCGAATCACATAGGGAACACGAGTCCTACAGGAACTGCTACATCGTTGGTTGGGGACTTACAGCAGAGGGTAGGTGGTGGTAGTGGTTATTTTATCTGACTGCTAAGATAGCATAAATCCTTGTTAGAAAGCAACCAGACGGCCGACTGCTTTAACTCCTCTCCGAGGGACCTGGTAATGAGGATTCATGCTGAAGGTTCACGAGACCAAATTTATTAACCCAGTGGATCTATTTTTAGTCTTAAAACAGAACAATACCGAACACCAAAAGGTGGGCCGTCTTTAGGCCAACAACCCCCTCCCCCTTCGGACAAGATTTTATCAGTTTAGGCGTCTTTTTGGTAGTCATTCTGGAGTTGTGACTGAGGTACAGTATGACACCGACGAGACCGAAACCAGATTGACAATATTTAGAATGAGAAAATAATATAGTCCTCCTGATGACCAAGATTCGATCGGTTTTCGAATCGGTTTAGACTAAGTTCGGCAAATTAAGTGGTGTAAATAGTGACAATATTATCACACCCAACTCTTTCTTCTTCTTCTTCTTCTTCTTCTTCTTCTTCATTTTCCTTTTTTTTTTCCTTCTATTTTCTTCTTTTCCGTATCCTCCTATAAATAAATTGTCGCTTTCTACTACTTTTTGTCTCTACCTTTCCCTCTCTCAGGCTTATTTACTCTTCCTCTTTGAATCTCTCCCACTCTTAATTTCAATAATTTACATTGTATTTGCAAACGTTACTCCTCACTTTTCAGTTTTACTATCGATATTTTCCACCACATACACTTGCTCCGTTTACCGTTTATTGCTTTCTTCAGTTCTTCTCCTCCACGTGATTTCAGTAGAACTATGTTGCTTTATGCTATTAAATTCTGATTTCTTTCTAATTTGTATTCCCATATATTGCAATAAGCTATATTTCTCGTACTTAAACTGATTTATTTTTCAGATTCAATATATCATGTTATGCTATGTTATATATTACATTATGTGTTATTAATTTTGTTTGTAACCTTTTTGTAATTCGGCTAAACGCCGCGATGAAAGTTTTATTTGAAATAAACCAATTTGAATGAATGAACATCAAATGATTGCATTCCTTTCCATGACTAGATGGTGACATAGCCAACACGGTGCAGAAGGCCCATGTCAAGTTGATCGACTTTGACGAGTGTAACGCTGCGTATGATTTTGAGCTTAATGAGAGGATCCATATTTGTGCAGGTTATATGGTTGGTGGCATCGATACTTGTCAGGTAAGTCAATTCACAGACCTCTTTTAATTTTTTTCGTCGGCGAGCTTTATTTTTCTTTAGTGGCATGCATGCACTTTTTGTCAAATTCTCTCTTTCAGGAAGAACATATCTTTACGTCGGTAAATTCCAACTTCCTACTGTTTGTTGTAGTCTGTTTGGGGGTACATGACTTGTTTTGTCCCAACAATTATTTAGCCGAAGTAGCAAATGTAATGCAATGATGCATGTTTTTCTTTTTAAAAAAGAGAAAAATATGTGGAGATGCAATAATGAACAAAGCGATTAGGGGTAATGGTTTTGAACTTTAAAGTGAATACATGCAATTTGAGGGAAATTAATGATGAAATTGGCGATACATGATAGAGAAGCAAGAGTTGCTGTTAAAGTGTGTTGATAAACATTAAAAAGGACATTTTGTCTTTCCCATCATGTATGATTAGGTCAAGAATATACGTAACTGCTTGATATATTTTATTTATATACAGTTTGGTGCTTTTATTTATTTACGGTATAATACAAATCGGGATTAGCAGTCATTGGTTGAATATGTTCACCATTTACCAACACATTTAAAAGGACATAGAATACAATATAACACTACATTCACTTTGTATTTTCTATGTCTCAATACCACTCTCTCGTTTCTCTCTCTCCCTCTGTCACTCTCTCTCTCTCTCTCTCTCTCTCTCTCTCTCTCTCTCTCTCTCTCTCTCCCTCTGCTGTTCTCTCTTACAGGGTGACAGCGGTGGACCGTTGATATGCGAGGGGGTCGACGGGCGTCAGCACCTTGTGGGTGCCACAAGCTTCGGCTACGGGTGCGCTCGCCGGGGTTCTCCCGGAGTCTATGCCCGTATCTCTTCCATGACTGAATGGATGCAAGACGTTATGGATCGATACGCGGAGGATGGGGATGATTAAATGAATTTTATCCATCCCTAGGCTTAATCCCTTAATGTATGGATGATTAAACAAATTTTCAGTTCTTGATTATCTTCTAGGGGCGTTGCTATATTGCCGCCACATCTAGATGTTGGCAGATTGTCAATTTTACTACTTTTTCTCAAAGCTTTCTGGGCACATTTAAACCCCCCCTTTCAGTTAGCCAATTCGAAACATTTTTGACGGCAGCCAGGGCATCGTTTCACAAAACCGTCAGAAGCACAAGTTCCACCAATTGAAACACAAATTGAATCTAAAACGTGCATTTCACGGATTGTCGGCGAACATGGCGGTTTCGTGAAACGCTACCCAGGTCGACAATTGGCCTCCATAATTTTCTTTCTTATATCAAAATCAGAGTACTCGCGGCGCCCCTGTTTTGATTCATTGTAAGAATCCAGAGTAGACTTTTTTTGCTGTGCTATTACACTGCCGTCGTATATTTAGACTAGACTAAATATTTGTATATAATGATTGACACTTCGCCCTCCGCCATATTAAAGGACCCTAAGATGATTAAAAATGAGATGATGAAGAAGAAGGAGAAGAAAAAGAAGAAGAAGAAGAAGAAGAAGAAGAAGAAGAAGAAGAAGAAGAAGAGGAAGAAGAAGAAGAGGAAGAAGAAGAAGAGGAGAAGAAGAAGAAGAAGAAGAAGAAGAAGAAGAAGAAGAAGAAGAAGAAGAAGAAGAAGAGGAAGAGGAAGAGAAGAAGAAGAAGAAGAAGAAGAAGAAGAAGAAGAAGAAGAAGAAGAAGAAGAAGAAGAAGAAAAGAAGAGAAAGGGGGAGAAGAAGGGGAGGGGAAGAAGAAGAAAGAAAAATAGTAAGCAAACATTTAGGTTTTATATTATCCTTTTTCACCTTGACAGGAAAATTCATTAAAATCTTTGGACAAGAAGTTGAAAAAAATCATCCTATATGCAATATACTTTACAAAAACAAAAAAGAAGAAAGGTGTCTGGTGTTGACGCTAAGGAATCAAATGTGAGAGTAGCTATGTAAAGCATTTTTCATTATTTTGATTTATTTAGATTTATTATATATTATGTTATATAATTATTCTAAAGATATGCATATAATCATACCTCTTGATCTGCCGTGAAAATATATTTTAGAATACAAGCTGTAGCATCTCTTCACTTGCTTGTGTGTCTCTAAATGGTTCATAGTGCACTAAAATAAAGGAGTATATTGAGAGAAAGAGAGGTGGAGTGGAAAGAGAGAGGATGATAAAGTGATGGGAGATAACGGACGTGAGAGAAAGAGAGAGAGAGAGACAGAGACAGAGAAAGATACAGAGAGAGAGAGAGAGAGGGGGGGGGTGGGGGTTGAGAGACAAGGGAGTCGGAGAGTAAATGTGTGAGGGGGAGAAGATAAACAAAAAGATAGAGGGGAAGGGGGGATAGAGAGATGGATTGAGAGGGACAATTTGAGAGAGAAAATTGGGTAGGGAAAGTGAAGTAAAACATATAAACTGTGGTCCGTCAAGTGAAATACATGGTACAGGTATTCTGGACTAAAGATGACAATTGTATATTTCAGGCCCTCCTAAGACTCTCTTAAATTCTCACACACGCACACAAAATATTATATTATTGTTCTAGTCTAAAGACTTCTTGAATATCATACTAAGGAAAATTATGTTCATTATTCAGGGGCAGAATCCTTCTTAGACTGGGTCACTGGGGCTCAATCCCCTCCCCCCCCCCCAATAAAATGAATACAAGAACCTCCAAAGCACCTCTCCCAACATTCCTGGTAAGCTGTCATTATCATTAAGGTTCCCCTGGGCCTGTCAGGGGAGGGGGGGGGGGGGGGGGGAGGGGGAAAAGCTGTATTTAACCAATGCTGATTACACACCATTAGAATGTATAAAGCGTATAACAGCGTTACACAATTCTGCACAAGGGTAGCGAAGACCCAACTGGGAAGAGAACATCAAGAGCGGAGTGGACTATCAATGCAAGAGTGTACTAGAATGGCAGAGAACAGAGATGCGTGGAAAAACTGTTCTAATTAATATCCCAGTTGGGAGACAATGCCACGATAGATTACCTTACTTAAAGATTAACACAATACTAAGTTACAAATATTACATTTTCACTTTGTTTATTCTGTACATATTTTACATTCAGATCATATCGCAGAAACTGATCATGAGCAGACCAAAGTAATAAGAATAAATAGATTCTTTATTCCACAAAAAGCATGACTATGAAGATCTCAATAAAAGAAATATTGAATTCAAATGTTTTTTTCATAATCCAATCCTTGATGTCGTTAATGCAGAATTTACAAGCACGGTGCAAAACTGCAAATCAAATAATACCAGTTCTGGTCATGCGATTGCATTGTGAAAGAAACGTTGTAGAATCGATCAGAAAAGGATGATCATCTAGCATATAAGTATTGGTGTGTACTGCAAAGTTCTGGAATCATCAAAATGATAAGAAAATTGGCCCAGTCTTGGTAAAGTTACAAGCAATGTACAACTAAAGATGTATATGTGACAACGCGTCATGTGCGCGATATCTATCCGGTCCGGATAGATATAATAATTTACCAAATATATCAATTAGTAGACGGTTTCCCGGCAAAATTTGTATCATCACATATCAGTCAAAAACATATTCTTTCACATCATTGGTAATAAGAGCTTCGGTTTCAATTTTTTGAGAGGGGGGCGTTTCCAAAACTGGTCTATACCTTTAATAATAGTTGCAATTCATATAGCACCTTTTTCCACTGGATACAAAGTGCTTTTAAATACCGTCCATGGTGTTTTGGGGAACTAGGTGGTACTACTTACTGGCCACAATGCATTAAATGTACTTCTCTACACAGAGCTGCCAACTTTGACTGAAACATTTTGGTAATGGTATAAAAGACTAAACAGAGGGTACCAATCATTAAATGTTTAATTGGGACAGTATATTCATAACATAAATATAATAGAGGTAAGGCTGAATCCAATGACCGGGGTAATAATATACTTATCTGTAAAGCCTTTGGTCCTGAAAAGCGCTATATAAGAACTAGCTATTATTATCATTATTATTATTATTATTACAAGAACTGAACCCTTTGAAAACAAAAATCTGTACAAAACCTCCAGAATATTTTTTTTTTAAATTAGTGAACATCAAAATGATTGGCAGCTCTGTATCTCTGTTAAGAGTATACTAAATGTATAATTATATTAGCAATGCAGTGTATTTAAATCGTTTCTACTGAAACAGTCCTCATATGACAAATTTGCTTCAGTGTTACCACTTTTCTCTACCATTCAAACTTGCATCAGGAAACAGGGAATTGAATAAATATACAATAAACAAATCTTGCAAAAGAGGATAGACTGAATGAGACAATGACTAGTTAACATGTACAATGTAGCTCTACTATCAACCCCTGAAAGACCAGAGTGCTTGTATTACCTAATAAAAATGAATGAAATTGTAAAATTTGGAAGGGGTTATTTCACATTTAATCCATTCAGTCTTCCTCATAAACTATTTGAACTGTCATGTTTGGACCACTGTGTGCAAATAAAGTGACCTCACCCCATGTAATATTTCTTTCAAAATGGATACATCAGTTGGAGAAAAAAAGAGAAAAGAAGTCATGTGACTGGTCACATGACTAATCTGGTAAATGTCATCCATACGTGTCTGCTGCTCTTGATTCATTATAAAAAATACCATAGCACTGCTGACCAAGCAGGTCACATCAAATGTCTTTACTGCAGGTCAGCACTTAGCTTTTGAGCCAAGGGGCAAAGGTCAATCAATCATTCCCAGAATTCCCTTCTTGTTCCTGTTGCTTCATCATCTCAAGGTACTCTGAGGCCAAAATCTTTGTAGGTACGACATCTATCAAGAAAAAAGACAAACGAAGAAGAAAAATGATCATTTAAATATTGATAATAATATTGCTAATAATTAAAAAAAACTAACATTAACTAATATTATAAAGATAAGAATGCATACTGTACAATAAGTGCAATAACACTGGGGTTAAACCACAGTTCTTTACAAGAAAAGCCTTGCTCTCACATGACATGGTAATGTGGCAAAATAAAATTAGCATTACATATTTTTATAGCTAAAACACAATTAGGTTAGAAGGCTTTGGGGTCTTTGTTGTATTCTCTGCAACTTTTCTTTTCACCTCCTCTCAATTTATTTACACGTCATATACTTATTTTGATGCAGCATTTTTTTCTTCTTTCAGTCTCTTTTCCACTTCATGTGTAAAAAAGCCTTAAAAGATTAATTTAAGATTCAAAATGAAATAAAAAGTGGTGCGAAATCATTAAACTCTCAATTACAGTTTTATCACCATTGCATTTAAATATGTTGGGGAATCTGAAGGGGATTTTTGTTTTAATTTTGTGTACAAACTATCACCTTTCCAAAATGAACTTTACACTGTGTCATTGGGAGGAATATTGTCCAGGTGGACTTCTTCTTTAAAAAAAAACATGAACAAAAACAGCAATCAGGGCCACAACTCACCTGCAAGAAACTGGAACTCCTCTTCGTCATTGACTACATTGGCCAGGTCATTGTAGACCACGTTACGAGGGGAGGCACTTTTCTTGAGTGATTCCTGGGCTAGGCAACCAACAAACAGCTCCTGCAAGAATCAAACAATTCAGGGTAGAGGCTTATTTCAGTTTAAGTTTCATAAGTACTACATTGTATCTATCAATTCAAGTCTTCAAGAGAACCTACAAAATACTTCTGTAATGATTTAGAGTGATTTAAGTTTGAATTTCATTACAATGTATCATTTACAAGAGAACTACTGGTAATGGCCAATAAACAATGTATTTGTAAGAATCTAATGATAACATTTTTCAGAGTGATTCAAGTTCAGATTTCATTCCTATTCATCATTTTCAAGTGAAAATTAACTTCTTCAGTGACAAGGGCACTGAGAATATAGATAATTTTGTTTTTGCAAATGCAACACAATTTCAAGACTTTCAAGTTTCAGCTATACGTACAGTGTAGATCTACAACAAGTCAACAAACAGACAAAGAAGACAAGAAAGTGGCAGCGTCATCTCTTTAGATATTGAAGGGATCAGGTAATTTTGTCTCAGATTCTGCAACAAAATCCTGGATTTAGCTCATGCTGCAATGATAATTATAAACCTTTACGTTTAGGTCAGTCATTTCAAGTCAGGAACCCCATGACTTTCAGTTTTACAAGCCGATCGCCCGTTTGATTATCAAGATATTTATGAATATGATTGGAAATCGAAATCAAATTTTGTGTTTTCTTAACAGTTTTCATAAACACTAGGCCTACAGTCTATTGGGGAAAAACGAGTAGACCTCTAAAGTAGGCACATTCATGGGGCACTAGAGGGCGCTTCGCTCGCGTACGACAATCTGAATGGCCTTGCTGCGGTGGGTCGGCAATAATCAGCCCAAAACTTGGATATGGGAGGTTGGAAGGATATATCTTTTTTATAATGTTATCCGGTCTTACCCTTAACCATCCTATGTTTAATCTATGTAGAAATAACATGCGAGTGTGATAAGAGAAACATCGAGCCCATTACTGAAATAACTTTTTAAATATTAGCCTAGAAATGACCACCAAACGGAAATAATTGACATTTTTTCCCGACAAATCTTCATAAAATCTGAGTTATAAACAAGTCACATCTAGGTACACTAATACAAATACGATTTTCTGAAAATTCAGGTATGATTTATTAAGTTTCTTTCAAGTATATTTCTGCGCATTGCAGCGCCAATATTCTAGACTGCTTCAAAATCACACTTGAATTTTTTTTTTGCAACAAATTTGATACGAGGTCCGCGAGTGTTCCCCGTTCCTTGCGTGTTGAAAGTTTGGTAATACATAGTTTGCATTGACTCGCGCACGAAAAAATGGTCGAAAACAAAATGTCAAATGAAGAAATAAACAAGCTTTTGTATAGTTATAAGAGTTCTACCGAGGTTTCTTTGTCGATTCAATTGATTATATAGTCTCAATTAGAATTCAGAATTATCTCACTGAAAAGTTAAGAAACCGACGATGTTCTCGATCTTAGTTATTTTCATTTTGCCAGCAGCCGATCTAGCGTTGTTTGGGCAAAAAGCTAGGCCGCTGCCTTCCCACGCGAACCCTTCCGAGTCCCACTAAAATGGCGCTCTGCGGAGCTCCGAAGCTGCGTTGGTATCGCTGCAAAGTAACTCTCAGCCGGCTAGCTCCCCACGAAGGACCATTCGCGGTATGGCGAGAGTGTGTGTGTGAAGTATGATTTTGGATTCGAGAACGCACGTAATGCAACCGTGCGCGTCATTTTCAGCTGTCGAATGTATACAACCAATTTTACATGTACAATTTTTAGTACAGATACTTGGTCAGTTTTCTTCTTATATCTTTGGTTTTACAACATTTAAAAATATAATTTCTTCAAATTTGCTCCTGACTCGGTTCAGACTAATTGTCTGATGTGTTTTCAAGTCAATTTTTTTAATATATTTTTTTGCACGAATTTGCCTATCTAAAGGCAAGTCTATGGTCGGTCATCACTCCAAAGTCCAAGATTTTTTACTTTTTTGAGGCACTTTTTGATCATTTTGAAGTGCAATTTTTTTTACTTTTACTTAGTTAGGGCTTCAATATTATTACACCATATCACAGACACTGATAACATTGGTAAACGATGCCTTTAAGGCCCAACACGATTTATGGGGTTAGGCACTGGGGCAGGCAGCATATGGCATCATGCAACGACGCCGCCGGTCCAGCGGCGACGCGCGACGATTTAGCCAATGACTCTAAAAAAAGCCACATATAAAAGAATTACTGGGACCACAGTGAACATGGCCCGTAAAAAAATACATCGGGACATTACTTAAACTCCAGACTTACCGTTGCTTTTGTAATCAAATACAATGATTCTTGACTGATTGCACTAATTTCCGGGGAACTTTTCATGATCGTCCTAATCCGGAGAGCCGGAAGAAGTGTAGAATTCGTTTTATGAGACATCTTGTCACTCCGGATCGACAACAAAATAAAGTGTTGAATTTGGCGGGCAGCAGATGGCAGCAAACAACTTATGAATTAATGAAGATATCAAAAGAGGTCACTATCAAAAGACGGGGCTAGGGAGCGGGGGGGGGGGGGTGCAAACTATTAACAATAAACTATTAATATCGTTGATTTTGATTTTTTATATTGTTTGTTTAATTTGCATGCGATACAAAGCTGGATTTCAGTACGAGGGTAATTTGGGAAGGCCACCCTATACAATGCAGTGACTGAGCGTCCTTTTTTTTTGCTCTCTCTCTCTCTCTCTGTTCCCAAAATATAATTATTTGTGCTCACGGTATTTGCCCGAAACTTTATTCAGTGTAAAACAGACAATCAACATCTTATAATATAAATGAATTTATTCCAGTAATCAAAATGATAACACAAAACGTACTCGTTAGTGCACCGTAACACATGTGAAACATACTTTCTCCTACTGAACAAGAACCCGAAATGCAAAATTAGCCTAGTATTGATCCAGTTACTACTTTAAGCATTAAAAAGGCTATTCAAATCCAGAATTTCAAGACAATTCATTTTTAAATATAGTCTGAAACTTGCTACGAAAACAAATTTACGGGTGACATTTTGTTCACCCTAGCTACAACGCAGGCGCGGATCCAGGATTTCTTAGGGGAGGGGGCCCAACTTTTTTTTGAAAAACGCGCCGGCCAAAAATTCGCTGAGGGGGGGGGGGGGGGGGGGGGGGGGGGGTGGTAGTGAGCACATTTTTTTTTTTTGATTCTCAAAAAAATTTCAATTTGCACCCCCCCCCCCTTTTGAGCGCCAGGGGGGGGGGGGCCCAACCCCAAAAAAGGTAAAAATCACGTGATTTTACATGATTTTTTTCTCAAGGGGGGGGGCCGGGCCCCCGGCCCCCCCCCCCCTTGGATCCGCTACTGCTACAACGATAAGAATGCAATTTCGCCGCATTATCATGCATATTTTTAAATTCTGTTTAATATATTACCGTAAATCGTACAATCATGATACCATTTTTTTTAATGCACTATTTTACGATTCACGAGGTGTAATGACGTAAGCCGAGGTTTCCAATGACTGCCTGACGTGGCGTCTGATGCGCCATGAATATAAGAACGATGTCGAACAGAAAGTAGAATGAACAGTTTATAAAATCCTTTATTGATTGCCTTTACGGGTTTTAATAGCGCAGGTAATAACGTAATGGAAATAACGCCTCGTGTGCGACGGGCTATGATATAAAGAGGTGGGGCATTTTTTAAAACAAATACGTAGCTCTATATAACAATAAAGATAAAACACACTATATACGTCAAAAATATTATTATAGATCTAGAGTTGTTCAAGCTGCAATGGTAACAAAGCTCATAAAAAGACATAAACAATCACACGTGCAATCGTTATAATAATGATTAATACTGATTATCACTGATAGCAGAGTAATTAGGGCAGTTTTCCGGGGGAGGGCTGTTCCCTGTTGCCTTAGTACAAAAATTAATGTTTCTATAAAATAAAATAAATCGACACGTAAGCCTTTTATTTAAGCGGTATCCACAATCATATACCATTTTGTTGTATTTATTAATTATACAAGATAAAGATCAAAATGAGATGACGATTGCCCGACTATTGGTAGAATAAATTGTCAGGAGAGAGGGAGAGAAAGAGGGGGGGGGGGGCTGGTAGCTGTGAGCAATTTGACAATGCGAAGCCTTTCTCTAGCGACGCCCCCGTGCCTGATTATGTATATGGCTAGGAAGTCACCCCTGGGTTATAGTAGAGGCGCATCCACAAAGGAATCAGTACAGCGCGGAGGGAATGAGCAGGATTCTCCGATAGGATTTGTTCAGGCCTTTATAGGAGCCTACTATTTGAAAGGGGGAGGCAAGAACACAATCAGGAAATGGGCATTTTCCGTCTAATTGAGTTATACCAAAATTAGCCTGCTGTAACCCCCCCCCCCCTCCCCTCACCTCCCGAAAAAAAATCCGCTATGGCAGTAGAGTCTTTTAAAGAACGTTGCTTTCTAATCGTTCTTTATTTGAGGTAAAAAGTGTACCACCAAACCATTAACTTGCGTAATATTCATTTTGGAGTCTTATCGTCATATGCAATTGAAAAATTAAAGCTGCTCATACCTATCTTGTGTTAGAAAACATCATTATCATAGTCCTACATAATGACACAACGAGGACATGCTTTAATACGTGAATTGTTTATAGTTATATACTACATTACACATTATCGACAATATAATTATACTGCGGTCCATCTTTGCTATTCCAAACATTTGACTAGTGGCCTCGGTGGTGGCGGCAGTACTGGTGGTGGCAGTGTTGGTGATGGTGGTGGTAGTGATGCTGGTGGTGGTGGCAGCGGCGATGGTGGTGGTAAGGGGATGGACTCAATCTCAGAAACATAAGCTCCCTGTAAGCTCCACAGGGTTCACAGTTTAAGCTATGGTCACAAATCAGAGCAGCGACCGACCGATCAGTAGCCTGCTCGGTCGCTGCTGGAATTAGGCATCGCCCAGCGATTAGGTCGGTGCCCGGGCGGCGACCGCCCAGGCACCGAGCGTATTTTGGGCGGCGAGTGAAAAGTGAGCAGGCACCGCCCAAATTTTAACTCCGCGCTAAAACTTCAGCGGCGACCGAGCGATGCCCTTAAACCGAGCGGTGCCTGGGCGGCCGCCGCTCGGTGGCCGGGCAGCCGCCGGGCAGAATTGGTTAAAAACTCGCCGCTCGGCCGCCGAGCAGTCTACTTTTGGGTTATGTGACCATAGCATAACTCTACAGTTTCTTGTCTGCGGGTGAGGGGGGGGGGGGCGCATTAGCGGAAGTATGTGCATTCAAGAGGATACTCTTTATACCGTTAATTCAGAAAATTAATAAATAATTAATGTAAAGAACATAATTGTCGTACCAATTTAGCTCTGGCAAAATCCGCTCTGGTTTTTTTCTTCACCCGCCCCCCCCCCCCCCCCCCAAAAAAAAATGTCGTAATGGGGCATTGGTTGCAAATGGATTTTAGGATATATTTAGCCGTTTTAGGGTTTGTATTGTGTTGGGTCTCGAGCTAAATTTAAGAAGTCGGTTGTTGTTGGGAATTCATCGTGGATTATTGTCGCCGAACAACTGTCGTACAATCAAATACAGGATAATATACTTTGGAAAGGGTGCATATATAATTTATAAAATATTCTTAAACTTGTCCCTGAGGCTCTGGATTAAGACAGCTTTCTCATCGTCAGGCAGGAAGGTAGCTTGTGCAGTGTTAAGAGTCTGAAAGATAGACAGGGAATTTTCATTAAACCATAATGCAGACCTATAAATCTCTCTCTCTCTCTCTCTCTCTATATATATATATATTAAAAAGCATTTAGTTAACTAGTACTTAGTACAAGCTTAAGCATGAAGAGTTAGTTCACAAATGGAGGATCAAGTGTGAACTACGCATGATTAAGTGTCAACTATGCTTATCCTAGAAAGTTACGATGATTCCGTAACTATTACAGGCAAATTATTATGAAGTAATTCCAATTTATTAATAGATACATTTTGTTTATTCGTTTTGTCAAATATTTACAGAACGTTTTTAACGAAGAGCTTGACCCTTGATAACTCAATGTAGGCCTAATAAATTACTAAGTTAGTAAAGCATTTGACCATGTGGACATTAGAACTTAATATCATACTTGGTTATCTTTAAACAAATAAAAAGATAAATTGTCTTTCCAATTTCTTTTTTTTCCTTCATAAATCGGGGGACACGATCTCTTCACCCCGGGCCTTGGTCAGTGTCATTGTGATAATTTTATTGTCTCGTCCTTCCCAGTGGCTGGCGACGAAAAAAAAGCCGATAAAGTACTATTTCACAACAGGTTATTACAGGTAAGAGCAACCATAACATGCGCTCAGCTTGGGAAGCATGCCACCCCATCCCTAGCGCATGTGTGCCGTTGACAACCCCATACACATTTTGCCCCCCCCCCCCGCCCGCCCTCCCACTGATCGGGCCTTATTATCGCTCTCACCATTAATGCTAGGGCCCTGTCGTCCATGCCGAAATACTTCCGAGCTATACCGAACTCTCGCGAGAGTGTCGTACCAAAGAGCGTCGGGTCGTCTGTATTTATCGATATATTCATGCCTTCACTGAGAAACCTTCAAAAATGGAATGGGAAACGGAAATGTGTAGGTAAACAATTACTTTACAAATTACTTATTAATTCATTCGTTATTTATTGCAATTATTATCATCATCAACATTTCATCATCACTATCAACATCATCATCATCACCACTATCAACATCATGATCATCATCACCATCATCATCATCACTATCAACGTCACCATCATCATCACCACTATCAACATCAACCAAATCAACATTATCATCAGACCAACATCAACATCATCATCATCATTATCATCATCATCACAATCATCATCATCAATATCATCATCATCACCATCATTATCATCACTATTAACATCATCACCAACACCACCACGTGACCATCATTCGAATAATCCAAATACCCTCTTCTTTTTCTCCTCCTTCTTCCCAATTTTGTCTCGAAACACAACCCCCCCCCCCCCCCTCAATGAACCGTACTCGGTTCAAGTAAATAAATTATGTATGATACCGTATAATTTTTTAAGGAATATTAATCACTGTTTACCGTTTTAGAAAAAAGTATATTAGCATTAAGTCCGTATAAAATGCTTTGTACCTCTTAGCGCAATGCTTGTCGAAATCATCTTCCAGAGCTCCTGTTCGTGTACTTGAAGTTGGACACAGCTCAAAGTGAATGGACTTATCCTTAGCAAGCTAACGACAAAAACAACATTTACATGTAGTCAATGTTGGAAGGAAAAAAAAAAAAAAAAAAAAAAAAAAACTCTCAATATTGTGGGTTCCTAGGAGGAATTTGATAACATTGGAAAATTTATCCAATATTACAAATAATAACAATAATAGTAATAATGATAATGAAGATGATGATGACACTGACAACAACAAAAATAACAGTTATAATAAATGATGATGATGATAACAACAACAATAGTAATTATAACTATAATAATAATAATAATAATAATAATAGTAATAATAATAATAATAATAATGAAGACAATCACAATAATGATAATACTACTACTAATACTCATAATACTGCTGCTAATAATAATCATAGTAATTATGGCCACTTTATATAGCGTTCATATCCGTTAATATGCAGTAACGCTAATCCCATGGTTATAGCCGAGCCGGCAAAGTGACCAGCGCTCAAGCACATCTGGTACCCATTTATACTTTGGTGGAGAGTAGCAAATGTAGATTTACGTTTTGCCAAAGGACATTATAACACCAAGCTGGGATTTGAACCCCGTACCTTGTGATCTACAGTCAGGTGGTGTATCCACTAGTCAGACCAATTTTAACGCCCAACAGATCTCACGTAATATACACAACCTCAACTAACCATTAAAAAAAAAACCGCCCCAGGGAAAATTCATCATAATTTCTCACGTGCCCCATGAATAAACTCTGTTATACACGTTACGTCATTTCGATTACGCCATCACTGGCGCTAATTAAGTTTATGAAGGCAATTTTAGTCCATGCGCTCAAAATTCAACTGATTTCTTTATATTGTTCACTTTGCATTTACGTTTTGTACGATATCACTTTCAGCAAAAATGATGCCTCGTGTGCAATACTCGTTTCTATAACTTCACTTCAACATGTTATTTTTTTAAACGTACATATATATAGGTTGTTCTTTGGCCGTGGTTTTTGAAGCTCTTTCAAATATGAAACGGTGAACGAGTTTATAATTGTAATGATAACATAACGCTTGGTTCACAGTTCTGTATCCTATAACATGGAGCTAAGGAGTTACGGACCAGTGTTGCCCGCAGTTATTCATATTTGAATGGGCCTGTACTGGTCAAGCGTGAACGCGCATTTACCTGCACGACGCTCTCATCGTCGAAGACGTGATAACCGTGACCGATCCGTTCAGCATGGAGGACTTCGATGGCGTCCCGTACATTGCGTGCTGGTCCCGTCTCGCCGGCATGACATGTACGGTGAATGCTAGCAGCTTCAGCCCCCTGCGAGATTCATGGGTTATACACCGGTCATCATCCGGTCATATCTCTGTCATACCTCAGTCATACCTCAGTCATATCGGTAAGACCGACACCAGACCAACCGTATCCGGACACCTACCCCCTGGACATCCACCCCCGGATAACCACCACCAGTCAAATACCCCCTATATGACAACTACCCCCTAGGGCAACCACCCTCTAGGACGACTACCCCCCAGGACGACTACCCCCGGACAACCACCCCCAGACAACTACCCCCTAGGACAATTACCCTCAGGACAACTAACCCCCGGACAACTTCCCCCTAGGAAATTTGTCCGGGGGGTAGTAATCCTATACGATGGTTGTCGTAGGGGTAGTTGTCTGGGTGGTAGTTGTCCAGGGGTTAGTTGTCCGGGGGTAGTTGTCCTCGGGGGTAGTTGTCTGGGGTAGTTTTCCGGGGGTAATTGTCCTGGGGGTAGTAGTCCTAGAGGGTGCGGTTGCCCTAGGGGGTAGTTGTCCTTGGGGGTAGTTGACTTGGGGTGGTTATCCGGGGGCTGGATGTCCAGGGGGGTAGGTGTTCTAGAACCCAGACCGACAGCACATCGAACAAGGGTTACATTACTATACGACGAATGACAAAGAATCGGTCGGTTCGGAGATGGTTTGACTATGGACCTATTACGAATGAACATTCATCGTTTTCTTAACGAATTCATTGTGATTGTCTTCGTCAATGTCGTCTCAATAACATTCCGTACATGTTTCTTGACTTTGATCTCATGAGGGTCACCGCCAATAAGCCGGGACAGAATCAAGATAGTGATTTTAAACATGTTAATATACATGCGCAGAAGATAATAAATCGCTTAAATCATGGGAAATCGATGTGCAGTTCTGGTTAATAATTGGAAATTGTTGTTCCATGTACTGTGTTCTATTTTTGAAAAACATGTTGATATTACCAGGTAGGTTATATTTGATTTGTTTGTGATTTAAAATCCCTTTTCCCCAATTTCCTCATAATATTCCAGAATTACAACGCATAGGGCTTATAAAGATCATGGCCCTCGAATTGTTTTATAAGGTCATTGGTGCGTGCAATAGTGTGCGAATCAGTAATAATAAATTTCATATCACCAAAATCGTCTGCTTTTCAACTTTGCTGCTCCCCATTGGTAATGTTTTTATTAAAGACACACTCTTACAGACCACACCATCCAAACAAAACCCAAGAGAACGAAACTGCTCCTTTGTCAATGACCGAAAATGCTTACGCAGTCGTTATTGTTAAAACAGCTGAATGTTCTCATTAAGATGCACATAATCAGAAGGCGGTGATCCATCATAGGATCAAAGAAAGAATCACGTTGAATGTCCATCCGTAATAGGTCCATGGTTTGACGGTGTGACCGACGTATCACACCGATAAGACTGACCACATAGCAAACAAGAATTTGCATTACAACAAATGGTCAAGAATTATAGATCGGGGTGGAGTCAGTTGGACGGAGTGACAGTGGTATGGACACACATGAGACCGACATGAGACCGAAAATACCTAACAAAACCAAGAATTTAATAACCCCTGAATAGTCAAGAATCTGATGATAAGTGGTTGGTTTGGTAGTTTGACTAAGGTGGTACTCACCCCGTCAAATCGAATCCAAATCGACTGATTCTTGGCCATTTCTTATAATTTATTTTGCAGGCCTGGGGGGTGTTTCACAAAGATCCTAAGTTGAACTTATCTCTAAGTTGGACTTAACAATTATGGAAAGCCGTTAGCATCTTTGAAAATATTTTGTTAAATTTATTTTAAAGGCATAACAATGTTGATTCAAATCATTCGTATTTTCTATTATCATGCAATGTTTCATTTTATGAAAAGTCTAAAATACTGGAGTTTTTGCTTTTGAATATATTTTATTTTGAGGCTACGAATGGCTCTCCATAATTTCTAAGTCCAACTTTGAGTTAAGTTTGACCTAAAATCTTTGTGAAACACCCCCCTGTTGTCGTTCCCGTCGGTGTGACTGGGGTTTAAGTGGTTTCATCACTTTCGTTTATTTCGAGTTCATGTTACATTCCATTATAATATATGCTACCATACGTCGCACTATCATTGATTAGATAAATGACACAATACAATAGAGAAAGCGATATGAAGAGCCAGAGATAGATATATAGAGAGGGAGGGGGTAGAAAAGGAGAGAAAGGTGGAGAGAATAAAATGAACTAAGTGGATTTACCTTGAAAGCGTTAATATGCTGCGAGTAGAGTTCCAGCATTTCATTGTTTGCTAGATCAACACCAACGACCGTATCGTTTTTGAACTCTTTGCACAATTGAAGTACTTCAGCAGACCATTCTAAGAAGGAGAAGGAGAGGGAGAGAGAGAGAAAGAGAGAGAAAGGGAGAGCGATAGTAAGAAGAGAGAGAGAGAGAGAGGGTGAGAAAGAGGCAGAGAGAGAGAGAGAGAGAGAGCGCGGAGGCGAGATAATTCATTTTCTAAATATCTTATCATGGTTAATACAGAATATCCCATTCCATTAAATACAAAATAATTAAAGTCATACTTAAATGGCATAGTTGATTCTAAGCTGGCCATTCTTGTTCAAGAATAACGTCTCTAACATTGTTAAAGGTATAGACCAGTTCTGGTCAAGCGATTGCATTGTGAAAGAAACGTTGTGGAATCGATCAGAAAAGGTTGATCATCTAGCATATAAGTATTGGTGTGTATTGGCGATTTCCCGGCAAAATTTGTATCATCACTTATTAGTCGAAACATATACTTTTACATGATTGATAAATAACAGCTTCCATTTCATTTTTTGAGAGGGGGCTTTTCTAAAACTGGTCTATACCTTTAACGTATATGCATGTCCGATTATCATGACGTGTGTTTTCGGTGTGGAACCTTACCTGGTTTGTCACGAATCATGCATAACACCGTTCGGGCCGTTATGCCGAAGTCTTTCGCTCCTTCTCGGATACCTTCGTTGACTGCTCGGACGACGTCACGGGGTGTCACGTCGCCTTCGGGTACTTGAAAAAATTGTTTACTCTAGGTAAGTTGGATAAGAGGTGGGGGCTGTAGCGAGCCTCGAAATAGACCGCTCCTTCATTAGACAAGTCCTCACACAGCTCATAGCTGATACGCTTTATTGCTTCGAGGCTCCCTCTGGAAAAAGAACATCACAATGTTTGAAGAATCCTTCCAGATTTTAATCAATAGTGTCTCCTTGCGTTAATCGACCCTTGTTTGCTCCCAAAAATGCAGATGGTTTCAAACAAGCTTCTTTTTAATGTATGGTAAATATACTGACGGATTGAAATAACGTGATCACAAAGACTCTCAAGAAATTAACTTAGGGACAATTTCAAGACGCTGTGGTATCAGCTGTTGGCGTGTTCGGCTTATGTAAAATGGAATTGTAATGGTCGCACATTTCAATCTGAGACACACAAGACTGTTGACAGGATAATGTTGATGTTTTGAAAGACTTTGCGATAGTGTGTTTACGGTTGCATACAGGGGGGTTCAACTCCGCTTCTGCATCCGTCTAGCCATGGGGAGATTTTGGAGGGTCAAAAGTGCACACTGCTTCCACTTTTCATGTATTAGCCTATGAAGACGACAATTTTTTAGTGCACCAGCGAAATGGGATATTGGACTGCGCGTAGCGCGCAAAATATTTAAATTAAAATTGGAATATTCATGAGCTCTTTTCCACTTATTAGCATATTATCGCAATGAAAAAAGACAATGCGCATGCGTTACTATATCGACATAATCGGGTCGGATAAGTGTAGAACAAAGGTCATGCAGAGTTGAGGAGGTGTGTGTGTTGGGGAGGGGGGGGGGGGGTAATAAACTTTTAAATGGTTGACTTAGTTGGGGCCACAAACTTCACTGTCACCAGGATGGAAAGTACATTTTAATTATTATTATTACTATTATTATTATTATTACATTAAAAAAAATTCAGTTCAGTTAAAAGGCAAAAATAATGACCCCGTTTCACTGTGGTACCTCAATTCATTTTTTACCTCTTTTTTTTTGTTTGTTTATTAATTTAAATATTTTTTAAATCAGAAAAAACTGCACTGATCATTTAGCCGACTTAACAAGTAATATATAAATATTTTTAGTGTCCAAATAATGAATCATTCTCACCTCAACTTCAATGTTCTTCATATTGTGCCCCATCCCCAATGAAATTTAAATTTTTGCATTCGTCGCCACTGATTTGTTTGAAATTTGCCCCCCCCCCCCCCCCCGCTAACAGTAACATTTTCAATACAGGGACCCCTTCCAATATTGACATTTCCATAGGCTCTATTAACCTCCTTCCCCCATCCACACCCCAATTACCTATGCTTTCATCATTTTGGCATCGACTTATTCTTTATTTACCCCCCCCCCTCATCTTTATTGTAAACCATTTTTTATACTGTATTTATACATTAGTCTTGCCCACTCTCTTGTTACATTTCCGCTTTCTCTCTCATTAGGAAAGATGGTTAAATCTATCTCGCTGATACCAGATATACACAAACATCAAAAGGTCGAACACCATACTCAATTCTACACAAGACTGCATCAGACCCCATCTCACCTCAGTCATACAGCATTATCATTACAGAGTGCCTACATCATCATAATCACCAGCATCATCACATATATTTCACAAAATAAGAAAATGAAAAGAACAGAATTAAGCAGTATCAACTAATTTATCAACATTTATGAACTCATTTATGAACATATTTTGTTTCTATAAAGGTCTTTTTAAATCCAACATGACATCAACAAAAGGATGACAAATGGATGTGGGGGGGGGGGGGGCACTGTCTCTTGAATTCAAAGTTTTCAGTTGTAAAAGTTTACTGTAGATTTTGAAAAAAATATTCAATAATATCAACATGCTATTTTATTATGTAAAGAACAGGTATATACTGAGTTTTATGAGTAATTTATCTTACATTGGACATTATTATTGTTGTTTTTACTACTACCTGTATTATCATTATTATTACTACTATTATCATGATCATTGTCATTATTGTTACTATTAGTTGGAATATTTTTGTTTTACCCCAATTTATGGAATTATTTTAAAAATAATTTGAAATTAAGATCTGAGAATGTATACTATAATCTAAATCTATTATTTTTAAATTATTTTTTAAATAATTCCATAAATTGGGGTAAAACAAAAATATTCAAACTTTATGAGCGACAGTGTATAATTATATTACTACAGTATTACTATTGAACTACATCATTTTATACCCCCCCCCCCCCTTCAATTTACTATCCAGTTCAGCATCCCTAATATTTTTGTCAGAACTTGACTTCAGATTAAATATCAAAAAACTATATTAAATGTACACGCATTTAAAAGAAGATATGATTACTTTCATGATCCTCGATATATCTTCTTCTTATTCTTCTGGTAATCTTCAAAAGGCGTTGTAGCCTATCACGAAGATGAACTAATATTAAAGATTACAAGTGGTGTGAGGAAGACAGACTGTTTTTAAGTGGGATAAGGAGAGTAGATGCCTCAGAAGTAGTCCCTGGCAGCTGGACTGTCAGCATGCACTATATTTGCTGGAAGTCAGTTCCATTAACTTTGGGACAGTGTTGGGCAAATACAAACTTGTCTATGTCGCTTCTGGCTTGGTGCAACTGGAGGGTCATGTCATGGTACTTCCTGCTCGTGATTTGTTAAAGCCCGTCTGTACTAGTTTGGCCAGGGGGATTAGACCACCCTGCAAGGTCACTGACAGGTGGTTATCTCATCACATCAGCTCTCAATTAATATAAGAAAAGTAGCTATAAGTAGTGCAGTGGGGAAATTTTCAAGGGAGAGTGGAGAGACCATTGACTATCTGGTGCACCATTCCCAGTCTTCTTGCAGAGTGCCTTGTAGTTGTAGATATAGTAGGCAACTAAAAGGTGCTGATCATCTCAGTCAAACTGCTGGTTCTCTTGTGGTCCCCATTGTGAAGTAGCATCCTGGACATCTGAGATGTTGTAGGGATCCCAGACACCGGAACAGTTCTCAAGATGAGGGTAGACAAGGCACTTGTACCAAAGAAGCCTGAGAATCAAACCTTCTGCATGGGACAACCTGCATACATGTAATAAAAACAAAAGAGAGGAGAAATCAAATAAGATTAAAACTGCTGCATTATATTGGATTTTCAAAAATAGTACCTCCCCAGTCCCCACTTTTTTTAGGTCTTGCATTTTAATTTTATTAAAAAATGATAAACTTATGTCTATCTGATAGGGCCTTTTTTGAAGAGAAGAGTAAAGGTTTAAATGTATTACCAATTATTTTAAAAGTAATTTCCAATTTATTTTAAGTTATTATTTGCTAGACTTTTGTGAACAAAAGTTTGTTAGATATCATGTAATATTTAGGAAAAAATACCTTTGAGTACGTCTTTTAATATGCTGAGAGAATAAACTGTAGCAACACCATAGTTTGTCACCTAAATAAAAAGCTAGAGAATAAATGAGAATTACAAGATATAATGCAACACAAGATGACAGTTCCCAAATCTTTGTATATAGTCCAAGTCGAGTGTGGTGTTCGCATGGGCTTAGATTATACAGCCTGAATATTTTCGAACTTCATACAAACATACCTTGCCAAAGTTCAACTTAGGTCTTAGGTGTCCTGTTCCTGATTAGATACATTTGTTGATCAGGTCCTGGTGCTCTTTGTTGCACTTCTGTGATCATTATCTGCTTCTTTGTTCCATAGCATCTACAATTAAAAGAAAACAGAAACTTAGTAAGGTTCCTGCTAATATCAAATGCATGCATTAGTTATCAGTTTATAACTTTGTTCATGTCCTTTAGAGAAAGAAATATCCATGTCATATGTAGGGTTGGATCCAGAATTCTCACCAACATAAAACTAAGGAGTGGCATAAAATCCTGAAAATAAACTAATTATGTCAAACAAGGCACAATGACATAACTAAGACGAAATCAGGGAAGTGGGAGGTGGGGAGGGGGGGGGGGGGTACACCTTTTTTGTTTTGTTTTTGTTGTTGTTGGTAGATCTAGCCTAGATCTACATTCAAACTAAGCTGAATCTGGACCTGGATCACAATAATGACACATGTGCACGACTAGTCTAGTGGATCAAAAACGAGCCTAGACCCATGGCTTTGGAAGTCTTTGCTATGACATAACACAAGCTATAGATCTGATCTAATTGCCTATTTTTAATATTATTAGGTGGTTCTGGACCTAAATCTAGACCCGTCCCTATGGCTATGCCACATCTTAAAAAGGGGGCACAGAATGATTGTGCACCCGCCCCCCCCCCCCCCTCCATAACTTCCACATTGATCCACCTAGAGGAAGTCTAGGTCTACATCAGGCATTTATTTAGTCTTTTTTTGTTAGAGTAAATTAGGCCTAGATCTAGGCCTAGATCTATACTAGATGCGGGGTTAAATGCTGTTTAGGTCTAGACTTCTATAGACTTCTAGATCTACTTAAGACAGTGCAACTGCTAGATCTAGACTCTAGCCTAGGCCTGCTTAGCCCGAATTTTTCTGTCTCTTTCGTTCATTAGCCTGTGATTTGGGTAGGGTCGGCTAAAGAGAGAGCCGACCCTACCCAAATCAGAGGCTAACGAACGAAAGAGACAGAAAATTCAGGCTAGAATATGCTATGAATACTAGTCTAGATCTAGGCTTTACTGTAACATTAACACACTGTAAAGTCATAGCCGCGCCAGCTAGCTCAGGAAACGCAGTCGCTTCTTGGTGTTACAGCCGGCTAGCACCGGCGGATTGAAAATCAGATTCCGCTCGACGAGATCTCATCGGCTTGGACTAGCAATGAGCCATTTGCGCAGTCTACAACAGGTCCACATCTACGACCGATTACTATCGTTAATCAAGCTAAGAACTGAACTTAAAATTATGAGATGTGCTCTAATGAAATAACCTACGGTAAAATCCCGATTGTTTCTAAATAAAAATATTACCGTCGATGACTTAAATTAGAGTTCATTCAATCAGTTAATAGACCTATTCTTTGGTCAGAAGAAAGAAAAGAGGATGGGGTAGGGCGTTAACCGGGTTATACGTTGTGACAATGCGGAGAGCCGCTCACTGCAATGACGAACACATCACAATAATTTTAGAGACCTTCAAACAAAATGAATCTTTACTTACTTTTCTTGATATCATAGGGTATCACTTCGATGTCAATGTTCGCCTGAAGATTTTCTGCTTCACTGAGATGTACCTGACAAACTTCTATTATAATAGAAAATCACTTAAAAGAAAAATGTTTCATTGTTCGTATTGAATAACTTGAAAGTTGCAGTTCATACAACCGCCATTTTCGTGCTCAAATCGTAGGGAATTCTGGGAATGAAAAAAATGATTTATGCATGACCTAATACATAAAACATTTTGTCGATGGCCAATCAACAAACAGTAGTTGGCGTATTTTTTACGTCATTGCTCATGAATATTCATTGACCCTCCAAAACCGTCGTTCAAATCGGACAAAACCCCCATAATGCATCCAATGCAAAACCTATGAAATGTCAAAGGTCAAGATTTTAGTTGGCCCTCTAGTCCTCCTACGGAGGACATACTGTGTATGATCGAATCTCTTTGGTTGCATATCACCAAATGCCAAACTTGGTGCGCCATTTGCATTGCGCTATTGTCAATTCCAGGGCGCGTACGCAGGATTTTTTTCAAGGGGGGGGTTTAACATTTATAAATCGGTCCGAAAATTTCGCAACGACTCAGCCAGCCGCTGAATAAGCGGGTGGGGGGGGGGGGGGGGGGGGGGGGGGGGGGGGGGGGGGTGGGGGTAAGAGGACACATTTTTTTTTTTTTTGGTCAAAAAAAATCGCAACGACTCAACCGACCGCTGAATAAGCGGGGGGGGGGGGGGGGGGGGGGGGGGGGGGGGGTAAAGAGGACACTTTTTTTTTTTTTTTTTGGTCTCGAAATTTGGAAATTTGACATTTTTGTCCGTTGGGGGGGGGGTAAGGTCACCTTTTTTAGGTCGGCCATGGGAATAATTTTTTTTTTTTTTTTTTTTTTTTAAAATAATTAAAAAAAAAAAAAAAAAAAAAAAAAAAAAAAAAAAAAATCCAAAAGGGGGGGGGGGGGGGGGGGGGGGGGGGGGGGGGGGGGGGGGGGGGGGGGGTTTTAGGTTTTTTTTAGGGGGGTTTACACATAAAAAATTTCCAAAGGGGGGGTGTTTAACCCCCAAACCCCCCCCCCCCTGCGTACGCGCCTGGTCAATTCAACCTTATGAAGTACACTAGCGCATGCATACGTCAGTGATTCGATAAACTGTTTGTATCGTTCACTAGGATCCACCGTTAGTAATATAGGGTCATTTTCACATAATGGGCAGCGCCCGTAGCCAGGATTTCATTTTAGGGGGGGCGGTAGTGAGCACGCGAAGCGTGTAAATCACTTAAAGAGCGCGCGTAGCGCGCTCCCTAGGGGGGTGGGTGCAGGGAGGGTGCCGCGAAGCGCGGAAGCTTTGAAAGAAGACGATTCTTGTACCTTTCTCGACTCATAATCCTTGTCTGAATTCAGTCCGCCCCCATGCGCATAGCGCGGAAGCTTTGACGTATTATTAGACAAAGACGATGATTCGTTGTACCTTTCTCGACCATAATCCTTGTCTGAATTTAGTCCGCCCCTCATGCGCATAGCGCGGAAGCTTTGACGTATTATTAGACAAAGACGATGATTCGTTGTACCTTTCTACCCATAATCCTTATCTGATTCAGTTTCCTCCCCTCCCGCGCAAAGCGCGGAAACTTTGAAGTTTCATTAAATTATTAGAGGAAAGAAGACGACTCGAAGTACCGTTCTCGACTCTTAATCCTTGTCTGAATCCAGTCCCCCCCCCCTCTCCTGCGCGAAGCTTTGACGTATTATTAGACAAAGAAGACGATCGTCAGTGTACCTTTCCCGACCCTTAATCCTATCTGTATTCAGTTCCCATCTTTCGAAGCGCGGAAGCTTTGACGTTTCATTAAATATTAGAGAAAGAAGACGATTCGTTGTTCCGTTCTCGACTAGTAATCCTTAATTTGAACTCAATTTCCCCTTTACGCGCGAAGCGCGGAAGCTTTGAAGTTTTATCAAATTATTAGAGAAAGAAGACGATCCGTTGTACCGTTCTCGACTCTTTTTCCCTTTTCTTTCTACGTCCTCTTCCTTTTTTTCTTCTCTTTCTCTCTCTTTTTTTTTTTGGCCGGCGTTTTGGGGGGGGGGGGGGGCGACCGCCCCCACCGCCCCCACCCCCTGGCTACGCGTACACAGTCCTTTGTCAGGAAAATGGCGCCTTGTCTTTAACGGACATTATTGCCAAAGTGAGAACAAAAGTGAAAACAGATAATTAAAACAAATTATAAACACAAGTTGCAGTTGGAGGCTATGAGGGCACTGAGTTTATTTGATTAGCCTATACAACTACAATTATCACCATAGCAATTCAAGAAGCCTCTTCGGAATTAGTGGAAACCGCTTTCTGCAAGTGTCACTCGATTTGAAATCTGCTGGTTTATCTCTCTCTCTTACACTCTCTCTCACTCTCTCTCTTTCCCTCTCTCTCTCTCTCTCTCTCTCTCTTTGCGTCAGTTCATCTAGATCTTCACGAGACAGCAGTTCAGGTTTACTATTTTGAAAGACGATGATGCAACAACGTGGGTCCAAATGGCGGGTTTGTGATGTGTTTGTGCGAGTGTGGTGTGTTTGTGCGAGTGCGCGCGCATGTGAGCACGTGTGTCCGTGCGGGGGCATTGCTTTTAATCTGCCCCAAATTCCCGTAATTGTTTCCTTGTTGTATAAATAGTTTTTGTTTACTAGGGGTAGTCCATGACAAATATATATATATATATATATATATATCCGACTACACCTTCCGCATTTGAATTTTTTCTTAATTACATTTACAAATTAACTTTCTTTGATCATTCTACTTTTGAATGTATGTATTTTACCCTAAATGGAAATATTTTATATCTGTTTGTATAATTTGCGTTTGTTGAATAAAGTTAAATTTCAAAAGGGAAATTGAAATTATGAATATATATGTTTCAGTTTCGCCAGAGGAAAATGTAAAACAGTAGACAGTGTCTACCACTGTAACATGTCACCCAGGCCCCACATACTATAGGCTTATATACTTACATGAAAACTGGCATATATCTTTCAAACTGAGATAAGAATGTGCTCAGATCTCCCGATTTCCATTCCACCAGCTCTCTTTCAAGCTCCGTCAAAGATGAGCACCCAACACTAATATCACGCTTCCTGTAACCATGGAAATGAGAAAACAATTAACCATGGTGCCTCGATCGGATGAGGTGGCAAATTGATATCAAATATGAACTAAATATTTTTTTTAAAAATCGAATCAGATTATGATTATTTACGTCCGGGGACCGATCTTTTAAACGTCACCATCCGAAAGACGTGACTCAGTTTCGAACCTGCGTCCTCGGCTGAATGTTTGTAACTTCCATTGTTAAATGTGCAATGGGAATGATGCTTATTGACGTCATGACGCTTCGAAGCCCGTTGCACACGAAGCGTTATTTCGATTACGCTACAACCTGCGCTAATCGAAGCTGTGAAAGCGAATTGCCCATTACACACCAGGAATTCAATGTAACGTTTGAACTTGTTAATTTTGCCCTCACTTTAGTACAGATTTCACCCTCAAATAGCGCGTCAAAGACACCACAAGGTAAGGCGCTGATGCAGTGCTATGTCGGGCAAAAATCGACTAGTGTGTAACGGGTACTTATGAGCGTAACGTCACTTTTACATTATCCTGACTTTTCTCTCAGTGTATACGGTCACAGTTTCGTATTAATAGGGACTTTTTGATTTGCACGACGAAAACGTGGACTGCGACGTGTGACATCCAGGGGCACTGGCAGTGACGTCACATTGCCTTAAAGGGGTGTCACACGAGCAGTCCACGTTCTCGTCGTGCAAATCTAAAAGTCCCTATTATTCTCGAAAAGAAGGGTTCTGTGTAATGAGCAATACTTACTGTGCAATCTCCCAGATAGTGGATGGTCGAATGGCTCCATCTAGATGGAGGTGAATCTCTACCGCAATTAAAGGAAAATTGTTGATTTAAAAAAATATATAAAACTCCATAATTATTCTTTGTACTACCAGCCTATCAATAGATATTAAAGATAAATTTGAGTTCTCTCCATGCGATTGCATTGTGAAAGAAACGGTGTGGAATCGATCAGAAAAGGCTGATCATCTGGCATATAGTATGTGTGTGTGTATGGCAAGGTTCTAGAATCAAAATGATGGCCAAGTCTTGGTAAAGTAACAAGCACTGTACACAGAAGGATGTATATGGGTCTACACGAACACGTGGCGTAAAAATCCGTCCCGATTTTTACGATGTTACATGACATTTTTAGAATATGAAGGCATTTGAAGAGCCATACTTTACAGGGAACATGTTTTATGATGTTCTTCCACCCTTGCATGATAACAATGCTAACGCTCACAAATTATTTTCACCTCTTCCAAGAACTCAACCTTCTCTTTAAATGAATGGCTACATCCCAAGTTAATCCCGACGGCATGGGAGAGGAAGAATCGATTCCAACTTTCTGTAGGCATGGTCCCATGATCCCGATGTCACATGACTCACATGACAACCTACTGTTCTCACTCCCCACGGAAATAACAAGCTCGTCTTATTACTTCTTTTTTTTCTTGATCAGGAAACTTGTATGCACTTGCATGTCATTCACTGATCTAAGCATATCAGGAGCTCTTGTAGCGCAGTAGAATATTATACTTAGGGTGGTATTCTCGAAAGCGGACTACTTTAGTCTATGGTTTAATCTACCGACTAAGTATGGAATGCCAATTGTCCATATGAATATGTTTTTGAATAATTTAATCTGTCACTGAATTAAAATAAAATGTAATAACATAATTAATAAACAACAATATAACTGTGATATAATTATGTTATCATAATAATATGGACATAGTAAATTATTCAAAAATATATTTATATGGGACACTTGGCATTCATACTTAGTCGGTGGATTAAACAAGAACTAAATTTAGTCCGCTTTCGAGAATACTGCCATAATGTTGGATAGTTTCTGCGCTATATCAATGTATTATTATTATTATTATATTATTAACCATTGAATTTAGCCAAGTATGCAATGGCAATGGGGAGCATCGATGCAATCAAGCCATAAATGTACAATTTTGTTTGACTCAAATGACCGATTCCAATTTACGGTTTCCATCACGACATCCTTATCATAAAAGACGATGTCACACGAACAATACGTGTTAGCAAACGTCGAGTATGGTGTAAACATTTTTTGTTGTCGTTTGTGGTGCTGTCGATCGCTTCCCCAACATAAGAAAAATGCTCTGTACGGCCATGCATTATGACCCAAGGCATGGGCACACAGAAGATTTGTTTCTGTTGGGACCGGGGGAAAATTCAATGAATTATTGCAAATTTATTGCATTTTCTTTTCTTGTTTTTATTTGTGGGAACTGCCCCCTACCCTATAGCCCCGCTGCGTACAGTCATGGTTCAGGGGCAAAAAATGGCCTGTAACTGTGAGGGGCCCAGGATCAAAACCGTGTCGATGTGCTTTATTAGTGCTCTTTAGTGGGGAATTAATCCTCATTACTGTCATTTATGACTGAAGGGCGTAGGTCCCCTAGTTGATAAACATAGTAGCATACAATGCTTTAGCAGTCACGCAAAACAAAATACTGGCAAATTATTTGTTCAATAAAATCTGAGAATGTATACTATTATCTAGTACTACTATTATCTAGATCTATTAGGAATAAATCATTGTCAAAATAATTCATAAATGGAGGAAAACAATATTTCAACGTTATGAGCGACAGTGTATTTAATAAAAGGATGCACGTCCACACCCCCCAGCCCCCTGCACTACGCATTTACCCTTAAAACAAAACTAAATCACCCTTCATTTGTGCACAAAGAGGTCTGTTTACTAATAATATAGCTCTCAATGAAATCCCTACATAAACAACGAAATCCCCAGAAGCTCACCACGACGTAAAGAGAAAGAGGAAAGAATTAAGTGAAGCAGAAAATAGATGGATCCGGATCGACTGGTGAAGCTAATTCAGGAAATGAAAACCGAGGAAGACTGATCGCTATTTGCTTTCGTGCATGCGTGCTGTCCTCAGCCTTCGAATTCCTGATCCTATGTGCATCGTAAAATTGTATTTTACTGTGGTATTCCTCAATAGACTACCCCCCCCCCCTAACAAACAAAAACATAAACATGTACAAAAAGTAGGGCGAAATTCACAAAAAACGGATCTAAAGCTCACAGGATTGCCCAAATACATTACACCCACCCAGACGCGTACGCAGGGGGGGGGGGGGGGGGGTAGGGTTAACCCCCCCTTTAATTTTTTAATGTGTATGTTTTGAGGAAAATCCCCCCTTTTTTAAGTATGAACAAAAATTGGGCGTAATGGGTGACCCTAAAAAAGCCGACCTTACCCCCCCCCCCCCGCTTATTCAGCGGCTGGCTCAGTCGTTGCGAAATTTTCGGCGTGATTTCAGATTTTAAACCCCCCCCCCCCCTCGAAAAAATCGCGCTGCATCCACCCGGGTGTAATGTATTTGGGCAATCCTGTGAGCTTTTGATCCGTAACAAACTGTTAACCGCCTAGATGACGGGGGGGGGGGGGGGAGGTAGATCGTACAATGCCGGATACGCAACTGATTTAGTCACTTCATAATCCTCTTACTCTTCTAAAACGGGAAAATTGGTAATGGATATACTGTAGCACAGGCGTATTCTAAAAATGTGTGTTTAGGACAAGTATGTCTTTAAAATGTGCGGGGTAAAACTGTCTTTAATTTTTAATGAACTTTGGAATCAGGAATAATGAACTCCTCGATATGTATTCTGGTGAACTTTATAAAGCAGCAGAACAATCATAATCTATGGGTGGGCGTGCGTAGGTTGCATTCATCCTGTAAAAAACAATATTTGATCAGAATTATCATCAAAAGATTATGTTAACATTCCACGTTTGAAGGTAGCCATAGTTCATAGAGAAATAAAGTAAAACTTTGTTAAGTCAATACTGAGCGGATTATTGTACCGTTACGGCAGTCTGACTGCATGCAAAAGCATATAAGGATAAAGCATAATACATCTAGGCGCAGCCTATCAACAGAGACATGTCAGAAGTTTCATCATAATCATTTTTGCATTTCACGCACTTTCAGTAGCCCGGTAAACTTTGACAACTTTATTTTCTTTCCCTGTCAGATATTGTAACACATACCTGTTACACAACCCCCCCCCCCCAAGGACATTATTCTGAATCCGCCCCTGAACATTAAAAGAGGCGTGGTCGCTCAGTGGTAGAGCGGAGGACCCGTGACCGGGAGGTCCCAGGTTCGAAAACAAGTCGATACACTAGTCAGGCGCGGATCCAGCCGATGGCAGGGGAGGGCCCAAAGAGAGGGCCCAATTCGTGAGAAAATATTGAGCGACAGCCAGCCGGTGAATAAGCGGGGGGGGGGGGGGGGGGGGGGGGGGGTAAGGAGCAATATTTTTTTTTTGCCCCGAAAATTTGCAAATCGCTTGAGCATCAGGGGGGGGGGGTGTCTCCAAATAAAGGTAACATTTACCTGTTTTTAACTGTTTTCCCCCACGGGAGCCGCCCCCGCCTCCCCTGGATCCGCCACTGGCGCTATAGTGTCCTATTTGGGTAAGGAATTAATCTCATTATATACCAGTTCCATATAGGAGAGGACTGGTACTGCAGCTTACTTACAATCATACACAGTTACTTAGTAGCCAGGTAAAACGACCAAACTAACCAAACAGGTAAAGTTAAAACACATAATACCATGCAGTGAATTAGGGATGAGAAGACAATCATAATCATACCCATGATCTTTAAAGTCAAACCAGGGAGGTAACTGACATCTCCCTGGTCAAACCAAGGCGCGCCTCCATAGCCGGTACATAAACAGGTAAATCACGCGCATATGGCTAAAATCATCCAACGACGATGGAAAACGCCATTTAATTCAATAACAACATCAACAACAACAACAACAACAAGCATGTAGTTTTATCGAAATCTTAAACCGGCATCTAATGCGATGATAATCTCTTTAAAGTTTAACATATTCAACCAATTATACGAATGTCTTAAGGACTATTGCCGCGGTGCTGTTCTGATAATCGGGATATAATATACATGTAGAATCTTGGCTGACTTACCTTCGGGAAAGTCCGGTCCGTGAACGTTGATTCTGCCATGTTTAGTTTGAATGTTGATCTAGGCCTATTGGGAAAGATTCTCTGGCTCTCGCTTGCTCACGCTCGGCATTATACATGCGCACGTTATGTTATTTCCAACTTTTGATAGCGTTTTCCACGTAGGCCTATTATAGACTCAAAGGTCGAGATGTACGTACTTGCTACAATCTTGTGAACTTATTTGACATTCACGTTCACAGGTAACGTGAAATACTGTCCTGCACTGCCCTGTATTTGCTTATGATAAAAGCCTAGCCAGATTATAAGCACACACATGAGAGCGACGATCGTGGTCTGGGGGGGGGGGGGGGGGGTACTCCTAGCTTGGTCCCTCGAACCAATGACGTACTTGTGGGAGTACGGTGGAGGGAAATAAGGTGTGGAATATGGGGAATACTACCCCCCCCCCCTACAGTGCCAACGGCCCCAAATTAAGAAAAAGAAGAGAAAAAAGAAAGAACGGAATTTTTCACTTTTCGCTTAACCCCCCCCCCCCCCCCCCCCCCCCCCCCCCCCCACCCCCCCCCCCCCCCCCCCCCCCCCCCCCCCCCCCCGGTAAAAGAAAAGATCGGTAGATAGTTGGTTAATTTGGAACCAACAAGGGTTATTTCAAAATGATTTGTTAAAATGTTAATAAATATAGGTCAACATTTTGAAAACCTTAAGTTGGTTAATTTTTCTAAGCAAATTATTACGTACAGTTTTTACAAATAGTTGTTAAAAAATGAACCAACTAGGGTTGCTTAATATTTTAACCAAGATTTGATAGGTTCACCTGAAAACCAACTGTTGGTTAACATTTTTTGCCAAGTTGGTTAAGTTTTTTTTTAGAGTGTAATGTGCCCTCAAAATCCACTACTTGAGTCTGCTCCTAGCTTGGTCCCTCGAACCACTGGCGTACTGAGGGAGCTAGTGAAGGTGGAGTGGAAGAGAGGGGTGAAATATGGGAATACTACCCCCCCCCCCCCCTGTGCCCACGCCATGCAAAATAAAAAAAAAGAGAAAAAAACGGAAAGAAGGGAAGAAGAAAACGAAAAAAGAGGGGGAAAAAGAAAGAAGGACAAAAGAGATAAGTTTTAACAAATATATTGAAACAAAATGCACAATTTCCACCCATTTTTATATGTTTCCACTGCCAATTTATTTCCTAAAAATTCCAATAGTAATGTCCATCGTACTTCCGGGATCTATCTGCTTACCGAATTTAATGAATGCTCTGAATGATGCCATATAGAGATATAGATCTCTGTGAAAGATCTCTATGAATCTATGATGAATGCATATAACGCCCTCTACAGACGCACCCTAGATAAAATTATTGCATTTTCATCTTTTTATAGAAGTCGTCTAATCAGTCCTTTAAATAGCTGAACTTTCCTCTGTAAATCCCTTCGAATCTATGCATAGGTGAATATCTTTCGAATACAAGAAATATTCTTTTAATTACACGCCACCAGCCCCCACTGGTTAATACCATGAAGTTCCGAACAGAGCGTTCTGATCGAAAAGTAGAGAACCAAGAGCTCTTATCTGAGCTGACCAGCCCTTTTAATGGCTCTTATATCTTTGAAAGAATTACATGGTGTAATCCTGAAAACCTTCACAATAATACAAGATCGGTTATTCAAGGGGAACAGGTGAGGGCGCCTCTTCACCATTGAAATCAGAGCCATGTATACACATAGATGGCTCCTATTGAAATGAGTCGATCCCATAAACAAATTAGATAGTCTCCCCCCCCCCCCCCAAAAAAAGGTAATAATAATAATAATAATAACAATAATAATAATAATAATTTTTTAAAATTAAAAAATGTATTTATATAAAGTCGGTCGGTTGTCCAGATTCCCTGATATCGTGTCCCCAGCCGGTCATGGCAAGAAATCACCGTGACCCTGCAACATGGGCAACATAGAACCATCAAAATAATGGCAACTGGCCACAGAGGCTATATGGAGACAGAGTCTAACATTACTCTTCGCGGTATTTTTGGATTGCTGGAGCTGCACATACTCGGGCGTGTAGCTAGCAGCGGCTGCGATGAACTACATTAATTATAGCCTGTAGAGCATACAATTCAGATGTATTTTGAAACAAGTCAAAGGCAAAAAAAAGTGAATGAAACAGCGATAACCTTAAAAGAACGAGAACAACAAATTACATACATTGAGGCCAACGTCATTCACTATGAATACGTCTTAGATTGGCCTTAAATTGTGCTTCATTGTCTTATACCGTCTTTTCTCGAACTGATTTTAATTCCTTTTTACGTTTATGATCCCAAGGATAGTGAAAACTGCCTCGCACTTTTCGTCAAACGTGTAGGCATATTCATCTTTCAACGCCCCAATTCAATTCCAAATTTCCAACGTTAATTAAATTACACAATGGTTAGTATCTTTCTACAAAAAAAAATATTTGCACCAATTGGGTAGCGTATATTGGAACCAAGTTCAGTGATATCTGAATATGCATTATTCCTTACGTCACAGACGGGCGTCGTGCAATTAAAACTTTAATCCGGGCCTATACAAGTTATGAAGTTTGGAAAGTTTAATCGCCTATTGATACCGTGGTGTGATGGTTGTTATTTTCTTGTCTTTCCTCACTTAAAACGCAGATTATGTGCAACCCCCCCCCCCCCCCAGGTTGTTCTCCAAACTGTGTATACAGTTCAAAGGCCTACACCACTAAAGGTATAAACCAGTTTTGGAAACGCCCCCTCTCGAACTTATGAAATGGAAGCTCTTATTACCAATCATGTGAAAGAATATGTTTTGAGTAATACGTGATGATACAAATTTTGCCGGGAAATCGCCTACTAATGCTACATGATCACCTTTTTTGTCTCACGATTCCTTTTATAATAAAACCACACCTTTTCTTTCACAATACAATCGCATGACCAGAACTAGATCTACTTTATCTTTAAGTTACAAGATACGTATAACTGGCAAATCTTTTATTTTACTTTAATGAATATATACATGTACATTATCGGCCTTTAAAAAAAGAATAAACACAGAGGATTCTATGATTACCGGGGAAACGAATCAGGAACGATGTCCCCAGAGAAAGACTAAGAAAATAGCCTGCGTTTTAAAACAATGCTTCTTTTGAAAGATAGGCATCTTTGCAGATCAATAAATGTGTTTTGAATTTTCATTAACATCTTAACCTAACATTGCCGGAGGTGCCTTGCCTGCACAGGTAAAGATTAATCGCAAGTTGAACTTCCCCTCCACACCATAAAACGACAGTAATGTTTCCTTTGCACGTTGACAATGTATTTTGAAATGCTCTTCATATTTATCATTCTTCGAGATTTCAAGGAGCTAAAATTCTGGATGCAGTATCACTGATTCGATGCAAAGGGGGTAAATGGAGAGATATGTGTTATGCATATACATACTTTAACAAGTTGAATTTCCCCCTCCGCAGCTTAGAAGAATGAAAGGAAAATTTATTTAGAATAACATTTTGCCACAAAGTAAATAACTATTTCCAATGAGAAGTCAAGTTATTCTGTAACGGGCCAGTTTTCGTCTTAAAAATCCAACTCTGCAGAAACATACTTTGTATGCTGTGTAGGTTATCATAGTGTCTAATGATAATACACTGTCGCACATATAGTTGGAATATTTTTTTTTTCACCCCGACTTGACAATGATTTATTCCTAATAGGTCTAGATTATAGTATACATTCTCAGATTTTATTGAATAATAATTTGCCAGTTTTGTTTTGCGTGACTGCTAAAGCATGTGTATGCTACTATGCTTATCAACTAGGGGACGTTACGCCCTTAAGTCATAAATGACAGTAATGAGGATTAATGCCCCACAAACGGGCACTAATATAGCACATCGACACGGTTTTGATCCTGAGGCCTCACAGTTACGAGGCCCTTGCTTGGCCACTGAACCATGACCAGCGCTCAAAATACAGGGGGGCGGTGGGCGATTCGCCCCCGTGAGCTACATAATCGCCCCCTTCAGGTTGCTCACGGGGGCGATTGCAAAATTAAAAATCGCCCCCGTGGAATTATAAAATAGAGATTATCTTTTCTGTTATAACTTTAACACAATATTGAGTTACAATTTTCAAACCTTAAACCAATGAAATGGAACTTAGATTAGCGTGCAAGATTTCTTGTTTTATGAGTATAGGCCTATTATTACCGATTCAGCTCGCAGTGCAGTGCCGCCGACAGCAGTGGTTATAGGCCTACTGCGCCGTTAGTAGCGGTATGTGTGCACGCTGCCGCGCCATGTCTGCTGGAGCTGGAGGCGATCGCGCAAGGGCAGAAACATGGTCATGGAGAATGACCAGCAAATAATGAACCTCGACCAGTAAATCAATATTAGGGACTTTTAGATTTGCACGATGAGAACGTGGACTGCAACGTGTGACCTCCTTTTAAGGCAGTGCCAGTGTTTAAAAGGACGTCACATGTGACTGCCAGTGCACGTCCACGCAAATCTAAAAGTCCCTATTGAGAAGAAGAGGAAGACCAAGATGTCGTGGAATGATATGGTAACATGGGCAGATCTACGGGGGGGGGGGGGGGGGTTAGGGGGTTTAACCCCCTCCTCCCACCCCCGGCCCCCTTGGGCTACCAAGTGAAAATGTGATATTAAAGCGGGGGGGGGGGTGCTGGAGAGGAGAACTACTCTATTTTATTTTTTTCAGGGGGGGGGGGGAGTGAAGCGCCGTTTTAGCATGACTTTCTTTTTAACTCTTACTTTCACCTATCTCAGATAACCCTAAGTTTTTGGTTGCTGCTTTATATGTAGTTGATAATGCATGATTAAAATAAAGAGAGAGAGAGAGAGAGAGAGAACCACCATCATTTTGCAATGGTTCATGCAGGGTTCGTGTAATGTACATTTGAAACCATTTCTTAGCGTCTCAACCCTAAAAAAATAGCAAAACTATTTTTGAGGAAAAGCATTATACTGAATTAAATAAAGAATAATAGCTTTATATTGGATGATACTAATACTGATACGGTCATACGGGCTAAAGACAATGTGGTATTTGTATAGAGGTATTCCAAAATGACATTCTGATAATCAACATTTTGTTCTGGTATCATAAATGTATATACGCATAATACAACTGATCTTTATGATTTCTTAACGTGACATAGCTTCTTCTCCCCCTGCAAACAAAAAGAAAACTCCTCAATTATTTGCTATTTCATCATTATCATTTCAATCAGCATTTTCCCTCTTACAAATTTACAAGCTACATAGCTGTTACTGGCCTGTGTATATAATATATACGCATACAACACTGATCTTTATGATGTCTTAAACGTGACATAGCTTCTTCTCACCTTGCAAACGAGAAAGAAAACAAGGTCATTAAAAGGGATTAAGCGACAAATAATGATTGTGATTCAAATTGATGCAAGGATTTTTTTTGAATAAGCAATGCTTTTCACCAGAATCTTCTTTGTAAAAACGACTTTTACAAATCTCAGCCATGCAAATCTGCCACTGTGTTGTATGATCACTTTCAGATTAGGAGAAGTGTATTCTTTAATGAGTATTTTACATTGAATGAAACGTCTCAACTCAGTAAGCATGGCTGAGATTTGTAAAAGTTGTTTTTACAAAGAAGATTCGGGTGAATAGCAGTGCTTACTCAAACAAACTAATATTCGCATCAATTTGAAGTGCAATCATTATTTGTCGCTTAATCCCTTTTAATGACCTTGTTTTCTTTCTCGTTTGCAAGGGGAGAAGAAGATATGTCACGTTAAAGACATCATAAAGATCAGTGTTGTATGCGTATATATTATATACACAGGCCAGTAACAGCTATGTAGCTTGTAAATTTGTAAGAGGGAAAATGCTGATTGAAATGATAATGATGAAATAGCAAATAATTGAGGAGTATCATAGGTACCAATTCAATGGATATTTGTATAAAAAAGAGCCCCCGTCAGTACTAAAAGAGCCCCCGTGGGGGGGGGGGGAAGAGCCCCCGTGGACAAAAAATTAATTTGAGCCCTGACCATGACTGTACATGCTGAAACATTTATTTATTATTTGTTTGTTTGTTTATTATCATTACAGATTGTTATCTGAAGGTTTACCGGAGATATTAATTAACCTGAAGGTTTTACCGAAGATATGAAAGTAAAGTTTACGAGTTGCTGAATAAAACAGAAGTTTGTTGGACTTTAGCAAATTGTTTCCAGAGTTAATTTTCATCGGTGTGCCTTGTGAATAACAATAGTTGGATTTTATTGTTTAGACGAAACTCCTTCATATAAAGATTTATGAAGGCAGCCACAATAAGGCTGGACTAGGTGAACAGCCGACCAGGCGTTGTCCTATGAGAGCCACGTACCAATCCTTGATTTAGCGCGCTGTGCAGTACGTGCTACTTTAATTTTACGGGAGTCGTATGATAAATTTGTTTGTGAAGCTATTATTCATCATATTTGTCTTTCTCATCGGGCTGTACGTGAGGGTTGAATAATTGAATTGAAAAGAACCGACTGGAACTACCTCTCAGGCTCTCACACAATACTGTTTTGATAAAGTTGTTTACGTAAGGCTTCAAATAGAATATATGAGACGCCGCCAACTCTAATTAGTACGGACTTTGTCTGACTACTCGATTTTTAATCGTGCGCAGTTTACATTTACCTGTTATTCGACTACGCAAAACCCTTACAGATGTTGAATTCGATATTGAATGCACCTACATACATCTACACTACACCTAAAGAAGATCATCTGTAGTGTCTCTACATTGACTAGGGAGCCTGTCGAAGAAGAAGAGCGGTTAACGTACGCCCGATGGTGACCTGTAATTAATGCAACTAAATAAAAGAACACTGTACCATGAAAAACGCAACGTAATCAGTTTATGCTTAACTTTTTCTGGCCAGAATCAGGCATCTGTTACGCGTTTAGTTTAAAACACGGTTGCGTCCATGCTCACTTTTGTAGAATCACCGCAAAACGGCGATCACGATCGCCGATCGTAAACTCACAAAAAGATGCGTTTACAATTTGTAAACGCGTTTAAATGGGGTCAACGCACTGACCTCTATAGAGGGTCTACGTAGCATGCACAGTGTAGGTTGCGAATCCAGCTGCAAGGCCAATTAAGGCCACACAGGGAGGATTGCCTGGAGGAGCCAGAGAAGTGAGCATAAACACTACACCGTGGAACTGCGATTAAGCGTTTCCGATGTGCGTTTCCGATCGCTCATTCTACCTTCAAAATCAAGCATAAACGCAGCCTAAGTGAGGTATACATTTGTATAGCCACAACACTATACGGTATACCAAAATAGGGCAATTAAAAACCCGCAATGGCATCAGAAAGAGGGAACCCAGACCATCGCGGGGAGTCAACGGACAAGTGGCGATACGTTGTACTGGTGTCCAAGCTCAGTTTGGACTTTCTCACGACGGGACTCCTTAAGTCGTTTGGACTACTGATACCGGCTCTCATTCACAAGCTCGATACGAACTACGGAACCATCGGGTTGATCCTGTCGTTGGAACTCACTCTTTTCTTCATGGCATGTAAGTACGTTCATAATACCAAAACGTAGTTATATAATCGTTTTCACAGACCCAAGCCTATGAAGGCCATGCACAGAATGATCACGTTAATAGAGTACAACGGGCAGATCGATATCATGTTGATTATGAAATACCTCGCCTCTGCAGAGTTTTCTTTTTTCTTCAAAACTACTTTGACACTATACAACCCAGATCATCGATCGTTCACTTTGTATTTTAAAGGTCTAGGCTTATACTATTACATGACTGAACCTTATGCAATTTTATAACCCCTTGATGCAACGCGAAAACATAAAGAATTTGGACTGTAAAACTTTAAAAGAAGGAGGTTAATTATTATAGCCTATATTATCGATGATCCGATGTGCTCCTCCTTCAATACAAGCCCCTTAACGATGCCTGTTTGATTAATATATTAAAGATATACTTGACTTTTGGTTTGAAAAAAGAAAATGAATTCTCATAGAATCAAATGAAACTTACACTGAATATTCAAGATTACAAATAAATAAATTTGCCAAACGATTTGGGTAGAAAATGTATACTGGCTGAGTAATGAGCATAGAAAGATAAGGAAATCAAGGTTAGTAGCCCCGACACTGTTTGTGCAGTCCCATATACATATACACACCATTACTTACATGCTACATAATCAACTTTTTCTGATCCATTCCACACCTTTTCTTTCACAATGCAATCGAATGACCAGAACTCAAGTTTATCTTTAAATAAATTTCATATGTTTGCAAAGGAGAATATTTGACCCCCATATGGTCGGTTATATTTGTTCACTTTGTGTTCTTGGTCAAGCTATAGCCCCTGCACTTTGGACTGCATTTTGCCCCCTTTATCTGTAGTGTTATCCGTATACCACGAGTATACGCGAGTACTGTCAAATCGTGAATTCATAGAGCACCAAATAGTTCAATCCCAAAACGAATCTCTATGGGAGGGATTGTTTCGGTGCTCCATTTTAATCAGTGTAGAGCAGACGGGAGAGTTGACGGGAGAGTGTCTATGAATACGTCACAATCGACTGACCAATATGATATTTGCATAAATTTAGTGAACTCATCTTTCAATTAAGCATACCAGCCTTGTTTCTTAAAATTTTTCTACGTCATGTTTGTCTTATTCTGACAAGTATAATAATAGTACAAGTAATGGTGATGGTAGTCGTAATAATATTAGTAATAATACAATTATTATCATTATTATTATCATTATTCTCATGATCATGATCATCATTTATATCACCGCCATTACCACGTACCATCATCATAGCAACAATAATCCTAGATCCACCTCCGTAAAATTACAGTGCTTTTTTGTTGTTGTGCCGTAGGTCCTCTAGTCTGCTTCTTGTCTAAGAGAATCAACCAGCGCTTGCTATGCATTATGGGAAGTGTTGCTTCGAGTGGTGCCATCATCATGTCAGCCTTTACCACATCAGCCCTGTGGTTCGGCGTCGCCATGTTTCTTACCGGTTTGTTGTTTTGTGTACATTTCTGATAAAGAATTCATATTCGCACCATTGATTCAAGTCAACTATATATAAATGTTTCTTGGTGAACTCTAATTTTTGACATCATTTTGCCCAGTCTTGATGTCATGTTAAATATATATTTGTATATTCAGCATTAGCGATCCCAAAATGATAGCATCGACTATAATCTTATTTTCTAGGTCTGATTTTATTTCATTTTATTTCATTCGTCAGATATAAATACATTTACAACAAGAAACATATAAGAGGGAAAATAATTGTAAACGTTGGCTTGATGACTATAGTTAGGGGGAAATAGGCAACAAACCAAACAAACTTCGTTGTAACTGGAGAGCGAGAGATAAGAAAACTATTTCAGGTCAGCAACAGTTATTGTTTTTAAACAAACAATAAAATGAGAAGTCACATACTTACATAATCATATTCATATTTACATTACCTGTTGATATTCTGCACAAATGAGATGAAAATAGTGATACAGCAAGTATTCTAAAGTCTAAAAGGTGATCACATGCATTAATTTTTATAATATGACCTTGCACCCTCATAACCATTGCCATCAATGTTTGATATGATATCACTTGAAATTTAAGAGGCTTTATGCGTCATAATCGTACTCACATGAATAATAATGTATATAGGAATATCGTGCGATTTGTCACATTTCTGTTGTGCGATATGCAATCCTAAACTAAAATTAAATCAAGTAAAATCTTACCGGAAATTATGCGATTAGACCCTGCAACGTAGAATTAATGAAAAGATAGAGATATCATTTAGTTTTGAAGCAATTGAAATTAACAACTATTTATGAAAATTAAGGAGGATTTGTTTGAGAACTAAATTTACATATAAAGTTAGAAAGAAGTGCTAAAAAAAGTAAGTGTGGAAACAGTATTCAACGAATCTGTTGATCTTGAAATAGCAGAGTTTCAGAAGTACGTATCCCTTTATTTTGCTGTACAATTTGTTGCCTCAGAGCTTCGTAACCCAAAAGTTGTTCTGAATCAGCATTAATATGAAATTATTCGATTAATTATCTTTCAATTTTCACCCTTTTGTTTACTTAAATTTTGGATGACTTTAACACTCCTCAGTGCTCCATGATAATCCTTTTTTTTTTCTTCAATTTTTACGAACAGGTTTGTTTAGTGCCCCGATGAATCAAATCTCCCACGCGGTACTTCACCGATATTTTGGAGTTAAATTTGGTTTCGTGAATTCGGTGTGTCTCTTGGGGTGTCTCGTTGGCGGCATGATTTTTCCACCAATCACGTACAGTCTCCTAGAAGAATATGGAATTGAGGGCGCTCTTATATGTCTTGGTGCACTATATTTGAACTGTGTGCCAATCGCAGTAACTTTCCGGAACCCTAGCGACAGCAGGAATAAATCCTCCGTGGAATACGTCCGTGACAAAGAACTGGAAGCAGGAATACCCATGGAGGTAGCGCATCCATCTTCGGAATATGAAGGGAACTGTGAAACAAAACTTTCTCAATCAGAGGAGAACACCGATCCTCTCATGGTAAAACATCAAGTGGAAGCTACTGAACTGAGACAAAATATTGAGCCCAAGTACGGGAGAGTGACCAGGTTCCTGTGGATTTCTTTAAATTTGAGAGTCTTGGTCAATGAGAAAGCATTTACAATACTCTTCTTACCATGTAAGTACCTTATAGAAGTAGTCTACGTCGCTTGGATCTTATTCGTTGTCTCATTTGCAATGGCTAAGGATCTACCCGAGGCCCTGGCGACCTATTTACCCATTGCAGGATCCGTTGGTGGCTTCTTCAATCAAGGATTAGTAACCATTCTCTTGCATTACCGACCCTTCTGGGGAGCTCCGATCTTCATCGTCAACATGTCCTCAGTTGCTCTGGCTTTCTTCCTCTACCCTGTTAGTTCTTCCTTTGTCCACCTCTTAGTCTGTTCATTCTTCGTTGGTGGAGGAATCTTTGGGGGGTTCCCTGCGACCTACTCTGTCCTGGTGACGTACGTATCGGCGGAGAACTTCGACAGCATGCTGTCTGTTAAATTCTTCGTGACTGGAGTCGGAGTCGTCTCATCAGGATACATGGCAGGTATGGACATCTTATCTTTTAACGGCGTCGTTTAGCAATGTTAAATTTGAGGTGCACGGCCCTACGTGTTATCAGTATCTGTGATATGGTGTGATATTGAAGCCCTTAAAAAAAATCCGCGCTTCAAAAGGATTAAGAAGTACCTCAAAAAAGTAAAAAAAAATCTTTGAGTGACCGGTTTTACCATACTCGTTTCCCCCAATAGACTGTAGTAAGAAGATTTTGTAAGATTTTATTGACTCTATCGACCCCCTCTCGGGGTATGAGAGTACAAACATATTTACAACATAGTATCAATATAACAATAGTATAACAATGATAAACATGTGATAACATGAAAATTGATAAACATAATAAGATAGTATAAACAAAGACAAACATGTGATAATATGAACAATAATAAACATGTGATAATATGAACAATAATAAACATGTGATAATATGAACAATGATAAACATGTGATAATATGAATAAATAAACATATTTACAAATCAAGGCGAACTGGGCAATTCACCCTCCTACCGCTACGAGTGTGCCTAACAACATTGCTTATTTGTGAGCTATCATTTGCAGTATTACCATCTACCCTTGAATCTTTTGAAAAATATGACATATTGATTCTAACAAATTTTGCTAATTTCTTTAGCTGGCAAGCGTGAGCTGTATTAAAAACCTTATCCATGTGCAACGCACTTAAGCTACTACCACACAAGTTATTTGGTATATACATTTTTCTTTCATTTTGAAAGAATGGACATACAAAAATATAATGAAATTCATCACCAATATCTGTTGGTGTACAGAGTGGGCATTGCAAATCATCTACTACATTTGCATCAAATCTACCTTTATTAACTGGTAACCTATGTGTTCTGCATCTAAATTTACTTAGAGTCATTGCTTCCTTCTGACATAATATCTGCAGGTATTTTTCATAAACCAACTCATTCTTAAACATCCTATAGTTCGTGCAAATACGATTTGACCAGGTAGCTGCGCTCCATTCCTGAATAGATATGTCAGAAAGCCTGGTTTTCATAGTATTCATAATCCAGGCAGCACTATATCCTTCTCCTTGAGCTCACCAGACGTTCCCAAGTCCTGCATAGTCAAAACTGTCTGCAAGAAACTCGACCCATTGTGACTTTATATTAACTAAACATTGTCCTTCACTTTGCAACTGCAACAGAAACTTAAAAAGAATTAATGAATACTTTGATTGCTTCCCTTTAACTAATCTAACCCAATATCCAATCATCCTACACTTAATTTTATCGAGTATTTTACCACGTCCAGTTTCGCCATAAACCATGCAGTCAGGTGTGCACTTATTTACAAACAATATCGTTCTTAAAAAATTTCTTTGGAAAACTTCAAGTTGATCTACACACTCATAGCCCCAGACCTCAGCACCATATAATAGAATTGGCAAAACTAAGTGTTCAAATAAATGACATTGTGTATCAACAGATAAATGCAACCTTTTTGCCTTTACTAACATACTATACATTGCCTTTCGAGCTTGTGTGACCTGTTTAGCAATTGCTTTTTTAAAGTTACCATTATAATTAAACGTCACTCCTAAATATACAAAGTCATAAACAACTTCCAGTACACCACCATCATAAACAAATTCTGGAATTCTTCTAACTTTCCCACGTGAAAAAACAACAATTTTTGTTTTGCTGGCATTAACAGTTGAGTGCCAAGTATCACAATAATCTTTCACTGCGTTTAGGGCTTTTTGCAACTCTTCAGGAGTTTCTGCTAGAATAATTGTGTCATCAGCATATAACAAAGAAAATAACTCCTTATATATTTCAATACCATCAAAAGGTAACTTATTTTTAATAATAGTATTCAAAAATTCCAAGCCCTTGTACGAGTTTCCTATAGATTGTTGGAAATCGTTCAAATAAATAGCAAACAAGAGAGATGAGAGGTTTTCACCTTGACGCACTCCAATATTGCATGTAAATAAACTGGACATATCTCCCTCGTTAGCAACACATGATTTAGCACACCTGCACATGTTCCTCATAACGTTAACAATCTTGCCTTTTACTCCCATTCTAAACATTTTAACCCACAATGCTGCACGGTCAACCAAATCAAAGGCTTTCTTATAGTCAATGAATGTACAATAAAGGCGTTTAGAATTCTTTAAATAAACATCAATAATAGACTTTAAAACATATACATTATCTGTGATTGAATAGTTGGACCGGAAGCCAGCTTGCTCTTCCCCTAACAAACTCTCATCCTCAACAAACTGAGTGATCCTATAGTTCAAAATTGATGTAAACAGCTTACCTAAGCAACTCAATAAAGTAATGCCTCTATAATTATCAGGGTTTTTATTCTCTCCCTTATTCTTAAATATAGGAATAATTATCCCAATACACCATTCTGTTGGAACAATACCAGAATCCAATACAACATTAAAGAACTTAACTACAACCTGAAGAATCTCCAGGGGGCAACTTTTAAGGAACTCATTTCTATCCCTTCTACAAGCTTTAGTATTTTTAAGCTTCTTAATCATCGTGTCAACTTCCTTCAAAGTAATCGGAACATCGAGACAAACATTTTCCTGAGATAACTCTTGCATAACAATTGGGGGTTCTGGTTCATCAACCTCCTTATAACTTAGACGACTAAAATGATTTTAAAAATCCTTTAATGAAACATTTCCAATATCTTTCTCCTTACGTTCATTCTTACCATTCAGTAGCTGTCAATATTCCTTAGGATTTTTTGTCCGCAATGAACGTAATGATTTATTCAAGTCCTGAAAATATAACCTTTTTTTACAACGTAACAAATTCCTATAAGATTTCCCTGCACCATCATAATTACTTGAATCAACAGGAACATCAGAGTTCCTCATCAATTTTACCTTCCTCTTCCATCTATTTTTAACATTCAAATATTCCTTCCGAGCATTTCTACATTCAGTATCAAACCATGGCTGTTGACTTTGATTACTCTGACCGTTACCTGATTTACTTCCATCTTTTTTATGATGCTTTAATTTACACACTACAACTTCCTTTGCCGTACTCAAAAACATATCGCACAAATGTGAATAAAAAATATCAATACCTTCTTGATTAACATCAGCTTCAAGTTGATCTACATATTTATGCATTACCTCGCTATAATCTTTAGTATGCTGCTTAAAGTCTAACATACTATTACTATTCCATTGAAAGGCGAGATAATTTGACTTTTCTCAATGAATCACTGTTCAAAATATCTTCAGATTGCAAGGTCAGCATAATAGGGCAATGTACATCAGACAAACATCTATCAAAAATATCAACATTAAAATCTTTTACTAATGGAAATAATCGTTTTGACATAATAGCATAATTAACGGTGCTACGACCACCATTCTTATTAAAACAGGTATACTTTCCAATAGTGTGATCACTACCTGCTCTACCATTCACAATTCTTAAATCAAAACTTTGGCACATCTCAATAACTTTCTTGCCATTATTATTAACAACTGTATCATTATTAGAACGAGAATTAAAAATATCTGTATCATACATGTCCAAGTCACCATCACAAGCTCCTAGGCTGGACTGGTCCACAAAATCATCTACATCCAACAAATCATCAAGCATCCCTGTTCTGGCATTAAAGTCCCCTAATAAACAAAAAATGGTGCATTGTGTTTACTTTTAATATCAACGATGTCATTACATAAATCATCGAACACCTCATGAGAATAATGAATGGATCCCTCACATGGGAGATAAATAGCACCAAGAATAAACGGAAAGCCTAGAAGCTCACTCCCCACCTTCACCCATATGACGGATTCTGAGAGAGTAGGCTGAATTCGTGTAGAACACTAAAAAATAGAATTTTCCATTAAAATACACATACCATGAAAACCACCATACTGCTGCTTATTCGAGCTCTTTTGTATGCTATGACATTTATATTCGGACAAGTAAGTATTTAAAAGATCGGGTGTATCTGTTTTTGTTTCAGTGAGACATATTATATCAACATTTTTAGAGTATAAATCCAAAAGTCCAGTGTCAAGTTTACTCTTTAAACCATTAACATTAAGGCTGAGCATAGAAATATTTGAAAGATTTGAAAGATTTGAGAGAGGGCCGAATACTTCCTAGCTGGAGACTTCAGTAAACAGGCCAGACTGTTTCAATCGATCTTCTGACCAGCCTAGCCGACGGAAATGGTCATACGATCCATGAATAATTTGTTTCCTGGGATCACCCTTCAGGATACAGTGCACCTTTCCGTCAATTGTCCACACCGTTGAAAACCGTTTGGCAACGCAAATTTTGGTTTCGATTTCAAATCATAAATATCTTGGTAATCAGACAGGCGATCGGCTTGTAAAAGTCATGGGGTTCCTGACTGACCTAATCACCTAAAGGTTTATAATTATCATTGCAGCATGAGCTAAATCCAGGATTTTTTTTCAGAATCTGAGACAAAGTTACCGGATCCCTTTAATGCCATGTTGCACACGAGGCGTAATTTCAATTGCGTTACTACCTGCGCTATTCAAGTGGAGACAAATAGTTCAATCATAGGCCTGAAATTCAAAGCAAGGTTCGCAGGACTTTGCATTCACATTTTATTCGGTGTCACTCTCACCGCACCTGTCCTTATGGCGCGCTCCTACGTCAGGCAAATAGGGACTTTTAGATTTGCACGAGAACGTGGACTGCGACGTGTGACATCTTTTTAAGGCAATGTGACGTTCTTTTAAGGCACTGACAGTGACGTCACGTTGCCTTAAAAGGGTGTCACACGAGCAGTCCACATTCTCATCGTGCTAATCTAAAGTCCCTATATTAACACCTCGTGTGGAGCGGGCATTACAGGGACCTTGTATAGTTACGGCATTGATATTTCGAATGTATTATCACTAAAATCGTACGGGGAAATTATTAAATGTTTATCGTGTTTCAAAGGTATAGATTCAATGAACAATAGATAAGTCCAGGCAATAGGAAGCCAATAACTTGAATACCTCATCAAGATAAGTGATTGACCATACCCCAAGTGGTGAGATTTGTTATCCATTCAAATAATTTGTTGGCAGAAAATTTTGTAAAATTTCGGGAAATAATTGCAGATATTAAAGATACTATGTCCCTTTTGCAGCCAACATCAATTCCTGTAGAGCATTGCAGGAATTGTGAATATGTCACGTATGTCCTATCTGTGAAATTCAAACATCAGCAGTGTCCTAGTATTCAAATTATGCAAGGAAACCGATTTACCTTCTAGACTTCACTGTCAGACACTATTGAGTGACTGACTGACATCTTTTTTTATTTGGTAATAACATACATAAAATGAGCTTTAACAGGTACATGAGCATTTGTCTACATCAGTAAACCACTACTTGTAATGGCCAAAATTAAACTGATTGAATCTTTGTGCAGCACAGAACATACGACCATTCGGTAAGAGGGTCTGCCGTTGGAATTTGACCTTTGCATTTGTTGGCCTGCGAATGGGACATAGTACCTTTAAAAGTAGGCCAGAGTCGTTAACACAATTTCGTTTTCCTCCCGGGTCTGAAACCGATCGGAGTCCGATGCCACAACAATTTTGTAAGAACTAGTTGACGTTTTGTGAATGACAAATGAAAACGATGAAATTTTTACCATGTATACTAACTTGCTTCTTGAACAACAGGTACCCTTTATGACGTCAGTGGATCATTTGATGATGTCTTCATGATGATGGGAGGGATGAGTGTCGCTGCAGTGCTGCTCACGGTTGCCTTGGTGATTTGTAAACGAACGCGAAGAAAACAAAATGGCGCCATCAAGGTCAAATGAATGAAACAAACCAATCGTGAAACTGTGTTTATATAGATAAAGGAATAACATTCTAGATACAATGTGTACTTTTTGAAGAAAATAATATATACGTTAAATATATCATACTACGTTACAAAATATATGACGTTTATCATTCACAATTATATGGATGTATTTTTCTTTGAGCTGTTAAGGAAAAGCAATGAAATACCATCGGATATTTTTCTATCTTTTGCGGTTAACGAGAAAAATTGAGATTAGAGAGCCTGGAAAAGGCGACGATAACCTTCTAGTGGTCCACCCGGTTCGTACTAATGTCATCTATCGACGTTTGCATTGCGTAGGACTCTACCAGATGAACCCTTCAGAGCTAGGTGAAAAAGCTCGGAATACAAGGTAAAAGTTGGGTGAAATCCAAATGTAAGTTGATTCCTGTTGATGTGAAGGGCTGCATACAACTCATATTTTGTTATTTAAACATCTAAATATATTTCATAGATTTTTAATTATTACAAAAAAAATCCTCAGATCTGCTAATCTTCAACCCCCCCCCCCCCCCCCCCCAAAAAAAAATGCTTCAGATCTCATTCATCTTGTTTATTTATTTATTTATTTATTCCGTTTTATCTTGTGACATCATCTGTCAATCATTAGTGAGCTAACATCGCGATGTAGCTTCACCAGAGCTGACCGCCTGTTTACAATAGACCATACAATACCAACATAGGAGTTGCTATGTCAGACGTGCCATGTAGCATCACTAGAAAAAGAAAGTTAACGTGGAGATATTTGTATTAAAGAATGTAACTCTTTTGTGAGCATGTGCTGAGCTGGGGGAAGTGTCTCTTGTTAACTCACTAATGATTGACAGATGACGTCACAAGATGATTGAGATCTGGAGAGTTTTTTTAGGGTGGAGCTTACCCGACACGACACTAATATCCTTTGGCAAGATATTAACCTGCACTTGCTACTCTCCACCCAGGTGTTAAATGGGTACCCGGTAGGATGCGACCGTCATTGTTGGTCAAACAGTTTTTGAGCGTCATGTAACGCCTGGCTGGAATACTCCCCAGGGAGTGGAGATTGTGCACACATTGTGTGCGGGCAAGCACTGAATCCAATGACCGGGGTAATAGTATATTTGTAAAGCGCTTAGAGACGTTTGTATTAAGCGCTATATAAAAATTAAAAATTATTATTATGTTTGAGAAAATTATTTTTAAAAATATTCAAAAATCTATGAAATATATTTAGATGTTTGAATAACGATATATGGGTTGTATGCAGCCCTGCACATTAACAGGAATCAACTTATATTTGGATGTCACCCGACTTTTGAATTCGAAAATCGACAAACAGGGTGTCGAATGTACGTGGGTTGTCGAAACGCAGCCCTGCGTACCACAGGCGTAACAGTTCTCGGGCATTCGAGGGTCAGTAAAGACATGCTCTCCATTGAAATGTTTAATATTTAAGTGCAACCAGATTCATACCTTAGACAAGTGCGATCAAAACATATTCGTCGTTTCCTGGGACCAAAATTGAATTGACTTATTCTTCTTGTTTTTTTCGTTATGAAATATTCTTGTAACTTTATGTTTATAATTGTTCTGTAATATGTTCACATATGTTATAATGTTACTGGAATACTGGTGCTATAATTATTGTTGATGATTAATTAGATATGTAATGAATAATTAACAAATCATTTTTTTATAGATACAAATTAGTAAGTGACCGTCAGCTATCTGCTGGCAAAGTTTGTGCCAGTATAACCAGATTCGTCACGGAACCATATTCGCCAGTACACTGAGGCATATAGGGGGTATTGTGTGATTGAGAATGCCAGAGCCATCTATGCACATAGTTTGGCCAAATTGGTTCAGTTTGTCAATACATGGCGAGTATTCCTTTGTTTTGTGCTTGCCCAACAAAGCAGTATTCGTCATAATCATTGTGCCTAACTCGAACCTTGTTGGCAAAACTCCGCTAATCATGGTACTCTATTCATCCTGAAATCTGATGCCTCTGGAGGCAGGTCTTAGGTTATGTGAAATAACATTTTTAATTTGGTAGCTCTTTTGTCGTTGAATAATAATCAGGTGGAGAAATTAATTCAACATTTGTGTAATACTCTAAGGAACCATTTTCTGGAATTTTGGAATTAGACTTGAAATGATAATTTCTGTTGTCACCGGGTAAAAAAACAACACCACCATAATTTACCTGAATGTGATACTAAACCACTAGTACTGCTAACCTGGTAAACACAGCACAATCCTGTAACACATACACGCACACTCTTAAAAATGAAATGTTAAATCACCATTACTTTAAAAGGGCGGAGGAGTAACCACTTTTACAGATTGTGAGATTAACACTTTTAACATGCAAGATTCAACCTTTACATGCAGTGTTGGATACCGCATGTTCTCATTTTTGCACACAACACTTTGTGTTAAAAACTTAGGTAAAATACAATGACTTATGCGAATGATAGAAATCGATATCCACAGTGTAACTTTTGTGAAGGTTTTACTTTCTCAGTTGACACAGATTAGCTCTCCCATCTAGTAAATTGCTGTTATTGTTAATATTAACATTCGTATTAAAAAAGGTGAAGATTCTATATTCTTTTAAGCAAACTAATGATTAAATAACTCAATTTGGGTTGTCAAAGTGTGGACATGAGGCCACAACAAGTGCAATTATCATCTCATGTTATTACACAGTAACAATAAAACGTTTGTACCTCTACCACTACTTCTGAACTGAGTATTCTATCTTCTAACATTCTCTTAATTTGTAGGTCAAGTATACAACACAAACACCAATACTACAATATTTGAAAGCAAATCAGTACTATTGAAACTATAAATGGATGTCCTGTAGGCCTTCTTAAAAGTATAACAAGATAATAATTTTAAACTACTGTGAAGTAATTACCTAATTTTGCTTTAAAAGGAAATGAATTTATATCCCTGGCCAAGGTGTAAATTAATTAGTATGCACACAAACCGTCATTATAAATAAGTCATTGAGACAACTTTTTAAAATCATTTAAATACGAAGTATTTTTCTTAAAATAAGTGGATCGTCAAGGCCAACTTGTTAAAACCCTAATAAAGACGTCCATATTTGATCATGATTATACGTAAAAAGAAGACAATATCAAATCATTCAATTTCTAACCAAAGAATAAAGAAATTGTTCGAATTATTACTGGTGTTAGCAATTGAGTTAAAATCATGTCCATCTATTACCACCCTCCCCCCTTCATCTCTATTATTTTAGCAATCTGGGCATCTTTTCACAAAACTATCGTCAGTACAGCTAGGTTCGCCGACATCCCAGTGACTCGTTCTGATAGCCGGTTGTTTACTTCGTCTTGAATTTTCCGAACATGACCTTCTCCAGCCCCATGAATGGACTTTCCAAGACCAAGGACATTACCAAAGCTAAGACGTAAGAGAAGACGAGATTGCCCACATAGAAGTAGCTCTGAAAGAGAGAAAAGAAGCATTGAGAAATTAATTTAAGAATGGGCCTTATCCTGGGCCTTGTAAGTTCATGTAATGTAAACTAAAAATTAAAGTTTCAAATAGTATAACAGTTTTTCTAGAAGACTGTCCCGAACATACATAACAGACACGTCGACATAAACTGGTACAACGTCTCCTTAAAATACACACATATGCACGTACACACGAGGCGTCATTAGTTTGACGTAGGATTGCGTCAGTGACTGACACGGTCTTTGACACGCCTAATGAGATTTATGACGCACGAAAATTGAATGCGTAATGGAAGAGCGCGAACGTTCCTTTGAATTACTTGCTGATAGATTAATTTCCTCCACAGGCTTAATCGGGGCAGGTAAATGACGCAATCGAGCTTATGCCACGTGTGCACCGGGCGTTATCAGGGACTTTTCGAATCTGCACGACGAGAACGTGGACTGCCCTTTTAAGGCAATGTGACGTCCTTTTAAGGCACTGGCAGTGACGTCACATTGCCTTAACAGGGCAGTCCGCGTTCTCGTCGTGCAGAATCTAAAAGTCGCTAATGTCATGGATGAACTTACAAGTGACAGGATGTCCATATGGTAGGGAGTCTTGTTGAAGGTGACAACGCTGAAGATCCACGTGGGGTGGAGTAGGTAGGCGCAGTAGGTGAGGCGGGTCATGGGTATCCAGAAAGACCAGTCAAGCAGCAACCCGATGGGACCTTTTGGAAGCGGGAAAAGGGAGAAAAGAAACATTTGACAAAAACGATACCAAACGTATGATACAATCTGCTTCTTACGGGACATTTTTTTTAATGTTGACGAGCTTTTCTTTCTACTCGAAATAAGAAAGAAGGAAAGACTACTACCCGAACCATTCACTATTCCACTTCATCTTCTTTGGTTAGACAATGCCGAACGTGTACAGAGGTAAAACTAGAATGAGGACCAAAAGAGACGCAGAAAAGGCCATTGGAAGAACTGATAGTTATGAGTTACGGTTGCATGAGTAACTGGACAGTTTAGAAAGTGTTAATAGATTCAATTTCTTGAATAAGCCGTTGCCCTCCTCCTCTTATAGAAAACGAGACAATACTGGTTTAATACGTACCGCCGTATCCATTGAGACACGCGAAGATGATCCAGGCGACGCCGATTCCCCACGCTAGACGACCAAACGTCAGATAGATGATGGACTCCCATTGTTCGATGTAGCGATTGAGACAGCCATAAGCACCGTAGACCACTGCAAAGAGGGTGCCGAGAGCACACACCCATCCAACTAGGACGTAGATCTAGAAGAACCGGTGGCGAATTAAAGAGAATAATGAGTCAAGAATAAATGAACCAGTAAGTATTGATGCTTTTGAATTTGTTTTGTATGAGTTGGCTATTTCTATACACTACATTTCTCACCACTTCTACACTACACCAAAAATTAAGATGGTGAGAGAGAAAATGGGAGAGTTATATGGGGGAACACGGTCACCGCATCACTATTGTGAAAAAGACAGCTGTAGTGGTTTGGGCATGTAACTAGATGGAATGATAGCTTAGAGAACACGGGTCTCAATGTCTATTTCATTGCCGCCTTAACAGCCTCCAAGTTATGGAACATAGACAAATATAGATAGATAGTTAAAAAGAAAGATAGATAGAAATAATGATATAGTCCTATTTACCCAGGCCGGTAGCCTTATCAGTCTTCATACTGCTATATTAACAGCAAAGCCAGGTACCCACGTGGGTCGGAATTCGAGGGGGGGGGGGGTGAAAATTTAGGTAAAACACCTTGTCCAAAGATGTATAAGCACCGGGCAAGGACCGACCCCGTGACCTCGGTTATGAGAGTCAAGGGCCTGAACAAAATACTATACGCATATCCACATTGACCGAGCTCCTTGTGAGAGTCCTCCCTTTATTATTACCCCAGCATTGTCGCATATTCATTTCATAACCCTGGGTCAAGAGAGACAAATGTGGGTAAAACCCCTTTCCACGAGGATGCAAGCATTTTAGAAAGCAAAATGTTGGAAAACAATTGTAAAGCATCATTTATTTCTTTTGTTACCTTCCTTAGTTTGACTTTCTTTTCTCTGAGTTTGAAGATGATATAACCCATCACCATGCCAACGAGATAGGTTGGAATTCTGGTGTAAGGTTTGGCGTACGTCACATCCTGGTCAGGGTAGTCTGCTAAACGGTCGTTGTAAGCCCTGTAGTTTTTTAGTTTTTTTTAGATCAGAAAAGAAATGATTATGAAATAGCATCCTTAAACATGGTCGAAAAGACTTTCGAAAGACCAACTCCTATGGCATAATGTCCTATTGAAATCATGCTGGATAACGGATTACAGTCATGTACGCCGTTGTACCGTGCGCACAGTTTACTGGCTATTGAACTGTCGTAAGTTGATTTTTTTTTTTAAAGTCATTGTTATCATTTTATTTTCATCGTTGAAAGTACGGTGTTACTCCTATTATTTTTATTTTGTTTCTTCTTCTTATTATTATTCTTATCATTATAATTATCATCATCATTATTATCATTATCATTATTATTAGTAGTAGTAGTAGTAGTAGTAGTTAGTAGTATCATCATCATCATCATATTCATCCTCATCATCATCATAATCATTGGTGTAGATTGTGAAGCACTCACGGTTGTTGATACCACGGATCGAGGTTGATTCCATAGTACCAGTTAAGACCTGCCAAGGATCCCAAAGACACGACCATAATGGAGCCAATAAGAGCCATCCCTGCTTTAACATTCCTACAGAGAAAGAAACAGTAACACAAAAGAATCAGTAACAAAAAAACGTGTTATTAACTACGAAATGCACACTCATTGGATAATGGTTACCATGTTTACGGACACTACATAGTACGACCAGTATACAGTGGATATGTCGTGGTATAGTGGTTCATTCACTTGGCTCTCAAGCTAAGGGTCTAGGGTCCGAATCCCAGTAAGGCACTAACGTCCTGTGGCAACCCATTTTCCACTTTTGCCACTCTCCACCGGGGTGTAAATGGATACCTGGCAATTAGTGTTGGAGTAATGATAATTGCAAGGCCCCTCAGGAGGAACAGGGACCCGTTTCACAAAGCCTTTTTTCAACGACAAATGACAAAAATCAGTGACAAATCTGAGGATAACCAATCAGAAGTAAGAATTTCAGTAGCTTATAAAAAAATCTGTCATTTGTCACTGATGAAAAGTTTTGTGAAACGGGGCCAGCACTGATGCTGGTGTGGCTTCCCTTGGTACAATAACTTCTTATCATTAGATTCCTAGAAAGAGTTACCTTAATATTAACCCTATAACCTGGCCTATCTTTTGGCTGTTAAAATGTGCATTCACTTTCTTTCGACTTTTTAGGCCTCTTTATGAATGCAGTATCCATTTCCCCCATACGTTGTATATTCACTATCATCACTTTTGCTCATACCACATATTTCAAGGACCGATTCGTGCGATCCTAATTTTATCACAATCGAAAGACAATTTCGCAGTAAGAGCCATTTCATCTTTAGAAAAAGTATGACAATATCTTTGGTAAAGCCCTACAATAAAACTGCTACTGCCTTCCATGATTCTTAAATGAATGGTATAATATGATAACACTAGAGACTGTGGGGGTGGTAGTATACAAAGAGCACATGGTTTTACAACAAATATATACTATTGCAAAACTTATAGTGAAGTCTATCATGTGTTTTTAAGCCATTACAAAGTTTTATAGATACACTTACTTATACAAGATGATGAGAATCAGAGGACTAATGATGTAGAACTGCATATCATTTGCCAGGTACCATGCATGGCCAAAACACTGCAAAATAAAAATGTAAATAAATATGATTATTATAAATATAAATATAAATATACATATAAATATGAATATAAATATAAATATAAATATAATTTTCTTTTTTTTAAAGAAAATTATTTAAAACCGAATAACCCAAGGCGTGAAATTTTTGTTACGTACACCAAGAAACAAAGGTGGAAACATTTTTTTTTCTGATTTAAATGGATGCAACATTAGGACATCATTATAGGAAGGGTAAAATTACAATCCCGCTTAGAACTTAGTGATAAGGATTGTTTACTATTTTTTTTTCTCGGGCCTTCATACGGGAGGGGACGTTTGCGAACTTCATTCTACGCTGACTACAGTTGTTCTAGGACACCTACCCCCTTGACAACCACCCTCCGGATAACCACCCTCTAGGACTACCCCCTAGGACAACTACCCCTTAGGGCATTCACCCTCTAGGACGACTATCCCCGGGACGATTACCCTCTAAGATGATTACCCCTAGCTAACTACCCCCTGACAACTACCCCCTATGAAAACCACCCTCTAGGAAAATTACCCCCGATTGATAATTACCCTAAGTTGTTATTGTCCAGGGGTAGTTAGGTGGTAGTTACCATAGGTGGTAGATGTCAAGGAGATATATGTCCTAGAGGGCGGTTGCCCTAGGGCTGTAGACTGTAGTTGACTGGTGGTACTTGTCCTGGAGGATGGTTATCCTAAGGGGTAGTTGTGTTGGGGGTAGTTGTCAGGGGGTAGTTGTCCTAGATGGTGGTTGTCCTAGGGGGTATTTGTTGGGGTAGTTTTCCTAGAAGGTGGTTGCCCTAGGGGGTAGTTGTTCTAGAGGGTTTTTTCCTAAGGGGGGGGGGGGTGTCCCGGTAAAGGTTGTCCAGGGGGTAAGTGTCCGGGTACGGGCTACATTATCGTGAACTGATAAAGAACGGAGAAGAAAAAAGATGGGGAATCGTGAAAGATGGAAGAAATAGAAACTACAAATCAACTTGTGAAATTTTGACCGCAGTACAAACAAATTAGAGAATACGAGAGATGTCGCGTGAAGCTAACGAGTGTTACTTACTGTTTCGCCGAGGTCGTTTGGCCACGGGAAGAGATTGTTGACATACAGCATGTAAGCCCACCAGGTTTCCGCGCATTTGGTTCGAACCTGCTCATGGAAGCCGTCGGTCAGTACACCCTGGGCAAAGTGCGGCTTCAGCAAGGCGAAAATGCCGATGTTCGCCATGAGGGCCGGAGTAAGGCGCCACCAACGGTGGAAGTAGAACATGAACCAGCTGCCGGCGCTACCGAGTCGTTTACTTTCAAGCTGCTTCAGTGTCATGTACGTCACAAGGAAGCCACTGTAGTACAAAATGGAGGCGTCGGGGAAAAGAGATGGTTGTACGAGAGCCAATGGCACCGAGGTCGATTTCCTACACTAACCGAATTTCTATAATTCCACCCTTAGACCAAACATCAGGCCAAACATTCACTATATACCTACCTAGTCCTGATCTTGGACTAAAAATAATCTAAAACCCGAGTCAACCCTAGCCTTAAACCTTTATCTTTGACGATACAAAACAAAAATCCTGGAGCAAGTGTCATATAGGAGCAAATATTGGAAGATTTCAGAATTAAAGCACATGTTAAAATCGACTAATGTGCCTATTCCCGTGCGAAAATAATTGTATGTCATGAAATTGCCTACACATATCGACTCTTGAACAGCCTGTGTTTTCTACCTTAGGCCTAATCTGCAGAACCATAATTCAAAATGCAAACGATGAAAACGTTATGGGTGAAGATTCATTATAATTACATGACTGCTGTCTAGATAACCCCAACGACCATAGTCGTCCATTGAGGCAATCAATATCCTAAAAATAAAACTCCCAACCACTTTAGGTAGTATTTTATTGTATCATTGCCCCACATTGTTGAGTAATGGGGATCAGTCCCTAATGTCGGACTGATTTAAAATAAGTGCAAGTCCATGTGCAGTGCGCCCTCAAAATTTAGTCACCATCCATTGATAATCACCTGAGTACGAAGAATGTATCCACGGAATAGGTTGCGTTGACGATGGCTAATCCGGCAAAAGATTGAACGTTGCCGTATGCCTCACTGAAATTATCTTTAAATAACAACATAAAAAGACCTTGGATCAGTTATATCACTCTAAAAAATATCTTAGCTCAAATAATGAATGCTTGTTTAAAGAATTTGTTGAATTTAAAGTATGTTCCATTAATTTTAAGTCAACTTAATTGTCAGATTAACATAAGTGAATGTTCAATACCATATCAGTGCTTTGCCTTGCACAGAACTCGCTTCCGTCGATCCGCCTCTCCCACATATTATGTACACGCACACTTTACGCCCACACACACCGCTCACCCCAAAACAGAAACACAGAATCTGGAATCGCCTACCCCTATCAACACTCCATCTGCACTCCACTCATGTTTGGTTTGAACAAGCATGTTCAAGATGTTAACTTCAGTCCGTTTCAATAGCCTAGTCCATCACCGTTTAAGATGTGCAAATATTACAGTGACATGTTCTATAATCTGATTCTATCATATTTTATAGGCAATACAATTTTTATATATATTTTTAAAATTTTATCAAAAATGCCCTTTCATTAATTTCTTGAAAGGCTTTTCGACAGTAGTATACAATAATCATAGGAAGTTAATTCGATGATGAAGTTACTGTCTACAACTCAAAAACTCGGGACATTTCTTCTATTCGAGCATCTTAACCGGTTTAATGATGTTCTATTGGGTGTCTATTGCATGTTACTTACCCAAGTGACCAAGCTGGAATTGAAAGGAGTGTCCGAGGATGACCCAGAACATGCTGATGACCCTCAGGCCATTAAGAGCAGCCAAGTTGCTCTTAGTCTTCTTGGCGCTCATGATCTTTGGCAAATTGGTCACAACTGAGAATGACATCATGACGCCATCCAGGACAGCTGTTACAAATAAAGACACATTAAAAATAAAGTCCAGTTTTGGAAACGCCCCCCTCTCAAAAAATGAAATGGAAGCTTTTATTACCAATCATGTGAAAGAATATGTTTGACCAATTCGTAATAATACAAATTTTGCCGAGAAACCGCCTACTACTTGATATATTTGGTCATCTATTTGGACCTGATAGATATACCGCACGTGTCACGTAGTCCCATATACATCTTTCTGTGTACAGTGCTTGTAACTTTACCAAGACTGGGCTAAATTTTTTATCATTTTGATGATTCCAGAACCTTGCAGTACACACCACTACTTATATGCTGGATGATCAAACTCTTTTGATCGATTCCACAATATTTCTTTCACAATGCAATCGCATGACCATAACTGCTCTTTATCTTTAAGTTTGTTGAATTGGCAGAACTGTTTGATTGAATTGTCGAAGAGAAAGTCACATTTACCAGGAACTTAAAGTCTTGTCAGTTTACGCCTTATCGCGGAGATCTGCCCTGTAATTACTCACACTCTATTGGCATTAACCAAATTTTATTTCAAAAGAAGAAAAACCAAACACTGCGACAAATATTCTTACCCCATTTCAGATCAATCTTCGGCTTCTTCTGCTTCTTCTCCTCGATAGCCTCCTCTGTCATCTGCACATGAAGTTCTTTGCCATCCTTTACAGGGTCCTCCCCCTTCTCAAATCCTCCATTGCACTTCGCGCCATTTTCCTTGACCTCGGAACCAACCTCGAATACCTCCGGGTCATCAACGGATGTCGTCTTCATCTTAGGTTTGTCATCAGCTGCGGGATCGTCCTCTCTCTGTTTGACTTCCGTTTGTTTCAATACCTTTGCCAGAACTATCTTATGAAGATAGATTTCGTAGAAGGTGCCGGCCACTACCATGGCGAGAAAAAATGACATCAAAGCCCTACAAAAATACGGTTGACATGTATGAAATGAATCGTAAAATAGGATCAAGACAATGTTATGATAAGGAGTGAACATGAGAATTAAGATATCCACTTTGGTGACTCGGTAAAACGTTCACTTTGGTACATAGCACAAGCATGATATTAGTTGTATCCTGTTCTAATCATGTTTAACTAAACATTTGTTGATATATTCAGCATATTTCGTGTAGAAGAAAGCTAGTGAACCCAAATCCATTATGTTAATACCATAATATAGAGGTATATAAAGAAATTATCATTACGTTTTATACAACGGACGTTCTTCTCAAATGAGACTTTGTTCTTAAAACATTTACCAGGGAAGTAGTATCAAAGCCATAGCCTTAAGTAAAGGAAATATTCTAAGTATTTCAAAGCATAATTATGAAAGTAGAAATTTAGCCTTTAATTACTGGGAAAATACCACATAGATCTAGGCGTCAGTCCCTCCTTGTGTAATAAGGTTATTGTAGATAACTACCATCTGATTAATTTTCTTAAGAATTCATGGAAATCGATAATGTAATATAAGCAGTTATGTCGAATCTGACCCTCCATCAAATGTAGGTTGAGGTTTCTTTTTTGTCTCCACATAATATAACGCGATCAAATGAATATGCAATATATACAAATTCAATAACATAATATAAACCAAAGATACGACAAATGATTATACAAATTATTCAAATAAATCATTTAAGATTGGCACAGTGGTGAAACATATTGGAGGAGTCTATTAAAAAAGCATGGCTTGTATTTTATAGACCCCTTAAGAATTATAAAAAAAAGTTACAAGTGCTCTGTAATATAATTAGAAAATATATGTATAAAATTGCTAATGTAATCCTACATCACCCCCCCCCCCCTACGCTACATTCATAACTCACAGGAAAGCGATGTCAGCTGTCCTCCATTCTTCTGGTTCATTGCATTCGTAATAGACGGGTGACTCTGTTACACCAAGGGCCGACCATACTAAAAGAAGGAGACAGACCATTTTATTTTCTTGATCATAAAATTCATTGAATTTATGAGGAAAGACTGACGAGAATGCTACCGGTGCCCCCAAATGGAAATAAATACAGGCCTATATATTTGTATAGTTCTTTCTTGTAGGAAAGGCCTATTCTAGATTAAAGGGTTGTGTATAGCCAACATCGTGTAAATGGAGTAGATTATTTTACTGCGATATACATTGACTTGTTTTAGAGGCTAAATCCCCACTTGTGTTGCTCCATTTTTTAATTGTTGTTGTTGTAAAGGCTGTATAATACACTCGGGCAATACTCACTTGTGTCGGATACGGCTTGAATTTCTTTGGTGGTGCACGTATTGGGTGAACATGTACCCCAAACCACAAACTGAAGAATAAAATGTTGAACATTCAAAGACATTAATTCTAACTCATCTAGCTCACATAATAACATTTTAAGAAAACTGATGTTTGATGAAAATAAAAAGGAATAGAAGAGAAAAGGAATACATACATTCGTGTAAGCGTTGAACTCGGGAAAGTAGCCATTTAAACAAAAATAGCGTTTTGTAACCATCAATTGGACTAATTTTCGTAATCCCTCAACACTGAAAATAGCCGAAATTCTTTTAATAAACAAATGTGTATCAACCATCCACAAAGCCCCCCCCCCCCCCTCTCTCTCTCTCTCCTACACTTTCTCTTGCTACATTTGTGTGTTTTTGTTGTTGCAAAATACTGAGTTGATAGTTGACGTATCACAGAGTATTACAATTAAATAGACTTTATCTGCAGTTTAGGTGAGGATTAGCTTTAAAAAACTAAATTGTTCGGTTTGATTCTCCATATATCGCTCGTTGCTTGCCCATCTCATTGGGTTGCAGAAAAAAAAGTAACAAAAAGTAAATATCACGGAAAAGAAGAAACTCTGTTAATCCTGTCAAACCCGTATAATAAAAGCTTTAGCATTGGTTTGAAAGGTATAATAATAATAATAATAATAATAATAATAATAATAATAATAATAATAATAATAATAATAATAATAATAATAATAATAATAATAATAATAATAATAATATTCCGCCTTTATAAAGTGCATAATACATCGATGATTTACAGATATATTATTACCCCGGTCATCGGATTCAGGTTTACCCGCACTCAAAGTATGCACATTTCTCCACTCCCTGGGGAGCATTCCAGCCAGGCGTCATTTTACAAGCGCACACTTGCTCATCAAACCACGTTAAACCTTCGCATCCTATACTGGGTACCCATTTAACACCTGGGTGGAGAGTGGCAAATGTGAAAAGGAACAATCAGCTCCACTTACCCAGGATCCAACAGCGGCACAATACTGGGCATCGAAAGAGGGCACACCGGAAGTCTTATTGGCTGTGTTGGATGTACAGAGCCAGTGGTTGCCAAAGTCTTTAAAGTTCAACGTATACTCAGCTGTCTCGAGTTTTGGTATGACATTGCCATGTGCCCCACGCACTGTGAAAATAATGATTATTCGTTGGTATATTTTTATCGTCATGCCGATTTGTGGAAATATTTACAGAGTAAAAAAATGAGCATTAAAAAAATACATCGAAATACAAATTTCAGCGTAAATGCGTAAATAAATGTGGGCAAGTTCGAACTTTGTCCGTAACGGACCAAATATAAGGTGTCAGTATCTGATGAATATATCTAGGTGATGGTCCTACTAGCTGACTAGACCTTGAATCAGACAACATATCAAATGATTGTTATTTTTAATGCCACTGCAGTCCATAATTCAATTCGCCGAGACTTTGCAACATACTTCGGGTTTGCCCCCATACAATGTAATATCATTCAAACCGACAACAGACCTAGCCAAATAATGTATTAGTAGAAATCAGATGGTTTGGAGTCGGATTAGCGGCGTGGCTGAGGTATAACAAGTGAGCTTTATTAGGGCCTTTTAGATTTGCACAACGACAACGTGGATTGCTACGATCGACGTCCTTTTAATGCACTGCCTTGAATGGACATCACACGTTATCAGTCCACGCAAATCTAAAAGTCCCTATCATTAAACTTTTCTCCTCCCCTATAATTAATGGAGCTGAATATTGATACTCACTTCTTTTTGCGTAAACTTCCCCCTTGTCTAGATCTGAGAAGTACTGCATGGTGTCCCGGTAACAGATCTCAGATAGGAGACTTTCATCGTCTAAACCATACCAGAGTTTGGCCTCCACTTGTACATGCCTCGCACCTTCCACCGCCTCGGCCAGATGCGTCCGTACGAACTGTAAGGTTTACGATGAATTTTGAAATCTTTTTATTTTCTTAGAGATGCACCCTAACGTACTGATTTTATTTAAAAAAATGAAATATGAGAGATTTTATCCTTAAATTTCTTTTTTTCCAATATCCTTTTTCATTTTAATGTTTGATAAAGCTATCAATATATCTATGTGTGCGTTCCCTTTATCAATAATGCTATTCCCAATTACATTATCGGATAGATGTGTCTGCACGAACTATGATCGTGCGTGAAATTTTTCTCCCAGATTTCTAATTTTCCGCTTTGTTTCTCGTGTAGATCCTCTTTGCACTTTTCTTAAACCAGCTTCTGTAAGCCTGCTTATGGCCAAAGGAGATAAGAAAATTGCCCTAAATGTGCAAGTGGTCTTTATGAACAGGCTCCTTTCATACACATTAAAAGAGGTTGGCTGTTGAGGGGGAACAAAAGTGTGGTCTTTATAGACAGGAGGTCGTTCTAATTTTCTGTAGAGGTGGTCGATGAAGCAGATTTTACTATACATCCTTTAGTTATGTACAATTCCCCCAACACAAATGCCATTCTCTTTCATAAAAATATATGGCGAAGGGGCATTAATGTGATGAACAGCGATCCAGGGCAAAAGTTCAAGAGAATACAAGTATGCACAAGTATTTCAAAGAAGCAAAATGTCAAACTTTAAATTTCTTCAGAGATTGAGATCCCTTTTTCACTGCTAACCGACGCCCTTGGATGGACTATAATACGAACCTGCGCAAGCCTATGGTCATCATGGAGAAGCGATTCCACATTATCAACATCTATACCTCGTTCAGAAAGCAATCCTTTGTAATCAGAAATGGAAAGTCCCGCTTTGGCAGCTAAATAAAACATCGAGAACAATAATATTAAAAAAAACCAGTGTATATTCGATATAAAACACAATTTCTTTATTATGAAACGAATTGGCAATGCCGTGTAATGAGTCGTGTGCATCATTTATTCCTGTATTTCATTCAAAAATGAATAATCTAATGATAATAACCATGAACTTGTGGTTGTTCTTTCGGGTATCACTATAATAAAGCAATGGCAATATACATATTTTTGTTAATCTCATTTTTTGATAAATTGGATGGAAAAAAGTAATATGCCCTACGGGGCACCGAACCACCTTAAATCATATATACAGATTCGGAAATGCATTTGCAATTGCATTTTCAAAGCAGTGAATTCAAATTTCATATGCCACATGAGAATTAGAAAGATGGAGATGCAAATATTAGCCTGTAAAAAGGTAAATTTAGATATCATTTTATTTACACTATTTTGTCTTGAAGTACATTTGTCAGCGATGCTCGCAAAACCAATACTCTAACAAAAAGAAACATGTAGCTCTGACCCTGATCCGTATGACATTCAATTCAGTTATCTGTTTCTGCCAATATGTATAGTTACGTCACGGCATTCCCAGTACATCAGGTAAAAATAACTACCACGTCAAAGTTTATATTATGAAATCACCGAATATAGTAATTTGATTCTCATCTAATTAATGACTACATAATATTTATTTTTTTCAATCTCATTTTTTTGATAAATTGCCGGTTTAAAAAAAAAGGAATATGTCGTACGGGGCACGGAATCGCCTTAAATCATATATACAGATTATGAAATGCATTTGCATTTTCAAAGCAAAGGATTCAAAATGATATACGCTAAACTGCATGCAATGTACATTCTCTTCTTCAGAAATGATAACAATGTAAGATCCCCTGGTTTGTTGTAATTGCGACTGAAACGGTCTTGATTTTGGCAAGTCCGACATGGCTCAGTGGCGGATCCAGGGGGGCACAGGGGGCACGTGCACCCCCGGCCAAAGAAACAAAAAAATAGTGCGCACCCCCCCCCCCCCCCTCCCCCCTCCCCCACAATGAGCGAATTTGCGGCCGGAGCGATTTTCCAATATTCAGGAGCAAAACAAAAAAAAATGTGCTCTTACACTAATGCCTATGTCACATCTGCCGCTGCAGCCGTGCGGTCTAAAATATCTACGGCCAATAGCAATTAGGGCCGCCGCATCATTCTCACGGTCACATATGGTAGCGGTCACATATTATGTTAGGGTTGCCGCGTGGCGTATTTTGAATTTGTGGAGACAGAAAATCTGCGGCTGCCGTACAGCCTTTGAAGTGATGACGCACGGTCGCTTTAGGGTGTCCCCGCGGTGGCCATAGGTTTTTGACAAATACTAAGGCAGACGCAAGGTAGCCGCAAGGTAGCCGCAAGGTGCCCACAAGGCGGCCAAAGGTGACTATACGGCAACCGTGCGGCCAGACGATGCTACAGCTTCACCCCTGGAGTATATAAAACACAAGTCCATCGTACGCCCTACGTACGGTCGCCATGGAACCGCTCTATGGCATGGCTACGGCATTTCTAATCACTACGGCGAACCTAGAAATGAAGACAGTTTTAGCTCCGCGTTATAATCCCACGGCGACCCGTACGGCATGTAAAGATATGGATACGCCCTAGGGTGACCTTGTGACCGCCGCAGATTCTCTCCGGCCGCCACAACTATCTCTCGATTTCGGGGGTGTACGGCCGCCGTATCCTAGCCGTAGAACAAGTGTGACCTAGGCATTAATGCTTGGTAGCTGTGATAAATGTAACATATATTCTACAATAGTTCTTTACAACTAACTTACCTTGTTTCTGTTTTCTTACTAAGCTTCCAAAGGCGGGATTAATTTGACACGCCACATACTGAAAACACAGTGAAGACCATAGCCCAACAAGTAGCGCCTTTTGTAGCCTCCGTATCTGCGTCATTTTGACGCAAATGTGAAAAGAACACTGGGAAACCCAAAGTGACTCTCGACTGCTTTTCAGTAGCAGAAGTTGCTACCAATTGTGTTAAGTTTATTATATAGTAAGGTAGCTTCAATTAATCTCATCTGACAACAAGGTAGATAATGTGATGAGGGAATGGATAGAAATAGAACATAATTAGTTAAACATTAACGGCTATTTGGCTCGTTGCACTCGAGGAGTTATTTCGATGGCGACATGTTGTTTACGCCAATCGAGCCTATGACGGCACTTTATCATGTATTTTGCACTGTTCATGTCATGGCGCTTCAAAAATGGCGCTAGTCGCCGACGCAACCTTACGTCAGCAAACTTGGGCGCCTTATGCGCCAAGGGCATAACGGGTCTCGATGTTCTTGTGTGATAGGGTGATCGAAAAGCGAAAGAATCATGAAAAAGTGAAGGGTGGAAAGAAAGGTCATCCCAAATTTGCCCTGGCGACATTTTATTCCATACTGTTTTCTTAATTTGGTGTTGTTGTTGTATGTTATTGTTTCGTTTTTTGTTGTAATGTTTGTTTGTGTGTTTGTTTATGTTTCATTATTGTTAGAGGTGTAAGATCGAGGGATTATAGGCTGTAAATTGGTTTAAGGTTAGGGTTATGGAAAGGGTTGACGTTAAGAATTAACTGTTTTAGAAATTAGCCGCGGAGCAGCAGAAGGGGGTTATTAAAAAGACCTGTACAGGAGAAGACTATGAACTAATGTAAAGGGAGTAATTCTATATAATTATGCTATATGAGAATGAGACAGATGAAGATGAAACGATTGGCCTGTAAAAAGATGAAGTTAAACTTCATTTTCTTTACACTTTTGTAACTTGACATACATTTCTAAGCGATGCTCGCAAAACCAATACCCCCCCCCCCAAAAAAAAAAAAAAAAAATAGCTTCGACCCCAATTAGTATGACATTCAATTCAGTTATCTGTCTCTGCTGTGCCAATATTTATTGTTACGTCACGGCACTCCTAGTACACCAAGTAAATAACCATCACGTCAACGTTTATATTACGAAATCCCTTGAAATAGTACTATTTGATTCTCATCTAATAAAATGGTTACATAATGACGAATGCATTTGAATTTCTACAAGATATTGAAAAATACATTTGTGTGAAGTAGATTACAAAATGAAAAATAAATTGGATGTTGTCCTGCTTTACTGATTATAACCAATGTGTACTTGATTATGATTTTATTTTCATTTGTCACTTCTCCTTCTTCATCTTCCTCCCTCTCCCTTCTCAAACTCCTCTTTGGGGAGGAGGAGGGGGATGACCTCATCGTCTCCCATATATCTTCCTCCTTATATTCCCAAAATTATTCTGCTGTATTTTATCAATATCGTCACCCTTTTTCCAATGTCAAACATACATTATCATTGGGAAGAAAAAAAACACTAATCAATTATCTTCACTGTGCATCTATTTTCTTCCACCGCACCCTATCTTTGTCACATACTTGTTTCACAAAGCTTTAAAACATACAATTACTATTCAATAATTGCCACGGTGCTATCTTTTCGAAACATCTCTTAATCTTAAACAGTTCAAGATCACAGCGATTACCTGAATGATACAAGTGCTGATTTCAACGCAACGCAAATACATGCACTACTGCGTTGCCATGCCAACTTAATGTTTAACAGATAAAGATTATTTGCTCGTGACAGATTATTTCCATTAGTGCTCCGCTAAGCATTCATTACGTCATAAAATCAAATGAAATCCGCAATAGTTTGTGACCAGCTAATATGTAGCTAATATATATATAATATCTCGGTTTGAAGTACTTATACTGGCATTCGCCTGGTGCTAGTCAAAACTATTGCACCAAGATGGCGCAGGGTCCGTGGTTACATAAGACGGCGCTGGTGGTGCTATGGATATCTTTGTGTCTTCAGGATGTGACGTGCCAGTTGAACCCCCAGTTTGAAAGTTTGGTGAGAAAACAGAAAAAGAGTAAGTTCTTGTGCATAAAGAATTTTCATTTTAGGGGTAACATGTTATTATCACTTCTAGTTTAAATTCTGCAATTCAGCCATCTGGCTGCAAATGAATTTTTAATAAAACCATTACCATTACCCATTTTCTTTGAAGACATTATATCATCTTAAAATGTAATATTTAGAGAAACAAAGTCAGATAGTGTGCTGAACAAAACTGACATGAACATTATTACTTGGTCTGATCCAAGCTATAGATATATGTTATCAAATCATCAGGTTTACTAAAAACCTTTCATGTCTTAAAAGAGGGCAAAATGCCTTATCCTCCTGAATCATGAAACATAATCTGCTATTATACTCCCAACTGAAATCACTTGGAGTCGTTGAAAACGTCAACTTTTACCGATATCAACAACGAGAATTATAGTTATAGTTTATGATGTAGCAAGATATCAGTGTTGCTCGCGACTTATGCTTACTTCATATCAGCACTGGATTCTCAATCAAGTACAGTTTTCTACATAAAGCTTTAGGAGGCCGATTTATTAAATAACATGTTTCATAGTCATAAGTTATCATTATCAATGTCGGTGATATACGTATCTGGCCTTTGAGCTTATTTTCTCTGTATATCTTAATTTTGTCATTCTATTTAGCTTTTGAGGCTGCACGTTCCGTGGGGGATCGCAAGGAATTCTTCTCCGAAAGAGGAATAGATTTGGACTATGTCGAATCGCTCGAGAAAGACAACCATAGGCTTGCACAGGTTAGTTATTTATTTTTTTTTTTTAAATATCGGCCTAAGTACTCATTCTGGCTACAGACTGCATCAGAAGTAAACATTCTTCATTACATTGTTCATATTCATGCAGTATTTGACAAAGAATGATGATGTTATATCATCCGAAACGCTGAATCCGCAAAGGAATAATCTAAAAAGGAGTTGGGTAAAAGTTTACCCAATCAAGGGTACATTTCATTTTTAAGAAATGAGTTTCACCAAGAAAAAATATGACGTATAGTCCCTTTTACACAACATACAGTAGATACATTTTACCAAACTCTTTTTAGAGTGTAGGCTGTAGGGGCTGATCTAGGCGTCTGTAGGAGAAGAGGCCACAATTCTGTAGTATCTCTGACAGGCAGGCATTTAATTAAAAAAAAAAAAAGAAGCCTTTTGTCCCTCAAATTTAAAAGAGGTTAACTACACGATTAGGGTCTTTTTAGGGGTATATTTTGTTTTTGTACTTACGGTATGCCATATCGGGGTTATAAGAACCATGGGCGGGTTGTGCCCCAAATGTGCCAATGACATTGAGGCCTCAAACAAATATAAAATATGAAAGTGCAATCAAGATTTTAACAAAAAAATATTTAAAAAAAGGATAATGAATCCAATATATTCCTTGAAAATATATTATCATGATTATGTAAGACAACGGGAGAGGTACACTGGCGTACCCAGACTTCTTGAACATTGAACAGAAATGGGGGGAAGACCAGGGTGACACAAAAATCATATCAGAGGGTCACATAGTTACACACACACAAGTTCCGTGGATGGGGAGGAGGGTCATCGCCCCCTTGTTTCCCTTGTTACGTCTATATGGGGAGAGAGGGTAAACGTAACCTTTGAAGAAATCTCCGTGATCTCGTGAGACCCTACAGTAATTTCAAAGCCGATTTCTTTTTTCGAACCGTAGTTCGTGCGAACCCACCTCTCTGAGGCGGTGGAAGGTGCGAGGCATGTTCAAGTGGAGGACAAACTCTGGTATGGTTTAGATGATGACAGTCTCCTATCTGAGAGATGTTTCGAGGACACCATGCAGTACTTCTCAGATCTAGACAAGGGGGAAGTTTACGCACAAAGAAGTGAGTATATAAAAACCGAGAAAAAAATTAGTACAGAGAATAGAGATGTGTTATTTTTTAAACTTCAATTCATACTATTTAATTTCTAATGGCATATGAGATCTATTAGTCCATTTAGAAATTAGTGTAACACCAAGATTATCTAGCGACCTACCATAATTCAAAATTTCCATTCTAACAGCCGAGTATTTCATGACAACTCAGCTGACAATTCCTTTTCTCTGAATGTAGTCAGAAAGGGGCTTTTAAAACTTTATTTTCATATATTATATATAACGTCTCACGTTCCTAGACCATTTTCTTCACGCCTACATATTCTGGAACACCCGTTGTCATGTCAGAGTTGAGAATTCTCGCACTTTTTATATATATCATTGCATTGACACAATTGTAATATTTAGGCCTGAGACATGCAACTCACTTGTAACTCAGTTGATCCATGATTCTGTTGTCCATGGATTCCTTGGGCTGCACTAGGTTTTTCTCGGGGCGTTGTCACCAATAGTGGCAGAGATAATCATTCACAGAGTTTGGCCAAATTGGTTTCAGATGGCGTATATGCTTTTTTGTGTGCTTGCCTAACAAAACAGTGTTTGCCATAGTGTGCCCAACTCGAAACGGGTTGGCCAAACTCTCCTAATCAATGGAACTAGGTAATGGTATGTAATACTTTTGTCCCATGCAGTGCGGGCGGCTCATGGTGACATCCTGCCAGAGACCCCGAACGTTTTCTATACTTTCAACATCAAGGACTATGGCGACCTATGGCTCTGTACATCCAACACAGCCAACAAGACATCGGGTGTGCCCTCTTTCGATGCCCAGTACTGTGCAGGTTCTATCCCTTTCGCATTCGGAGTAAGTAGGCGTTCCGGTTACTCGGGGCGCATTGAACCATTGTCTAGCCTGGTGAAGGGTCGAAAGAATTGAGAGGTCCAAGCTTTTATATGATAATTATGATAGTGACAACAACAGTAATGATGATGATGATAGCGATAATAATGGTAATGGTGCCAAAACGACTTTTTTTAATATGGGCCAAATCAAACAGATACGTTTGTACATCATTTTTTTAAAGTTTTCAACTGATCTGCTATTTCTATTCCATATACTTATTAATTAAGGCATGAGGTATGTTTTTTCTCCATTATGGTCATTGTCATAGAATCAAAATGTTCATGAAACGTGTCTGTGCCAGGGACGGATCTAGGGGGTTCGGCGGTTTAACCCCCCCCCCCCCCTTGCGGCCAAGTGAAAAGAAAGAAGAAAAAACGGCGCGATTTTTGGAAAAGCCTGGATCCGCCACTGGGTCAACTCCCCCCCCCCCCCCCCTGGCAAAAAGCTAGATCCGCCCCTGTGTGCAAGTGAAATCTTACACCAATAGGCACTTTAAACTACATTAGAAGCACCGTTTTTTGAAATGGTAAACACTTAGTAATATGATGCCGTTGTTCTTTGAATGATTTGCCTTTAATTTTGCAGAGTGTGATGGCTTGGGGTACATGTTCACCCAATACTTGCACCACTAAAGAAATTCAAGCCGTATCCGACACAAGTAAGTAATACAGTCCAGCCCCGATATTGATAAAAACATTTTAATTGTTTTATTAATCCATGATCAATCACCCTTCTTTGTTGTACGAGTCTTGAGACTACATGCTTATAAAAGAGCTGAGCAGTATGTACCAATTAAGATTGAATTCAGTCACAAACAATTATTATCATCCAAAATTACAAGATGATTAACTTCATTTTTATCACTGTCGTGACCGTCATCACTAATTTTTCTTTTACACACAATTTTTAAAATTGATCAGCTGAAACCCATTGCAGAAAACCGCCACAAGCCAATGTTGCCGGACATGTCATTATGTGTCCTCTGACGCGCCATATTAAAGTGAGAGAGAGAGAAAGAGAGATAGAGAGAGGGATAGAGAAGGAACGAAAGAGAGAGAGAGAGAGAGAGAGATGGTATAAACAAGTAAATGTAAAATAAACAGTGGAAATATTGTGTTGAATAATCGCATGCACCCATTGTCGTAATATAGGCTTGATTGGAGCAGGTGATAACGCAACAAAGCAGGGGCTTTTAGATTCTGCACAACGAGAACATGGACTGCCCTTTTAAGGCAATGTGACGTCCTTTTAAGGCACTGATAGTGACGTCACATTGCCTTAAAAGGGCAGTCCATGTTCTCGTCGTGCAGAATCTAAAAGTCCCTAATGACGCCTCCTGTGCAACGATGATAAAAAGGCGTATAATATAATATGATGAAGATCTTTAAAAAGGAGATGTTCGCGAACAATTTTGATTTCTTGCAGGCCACTGTGATCAGGCCACTGTGGTCACAGAAAATAAAAGAAGACCATTTTATCTCTTTCCTGTAGTATGGACAGCTCTTGGTGTATCAGAACCATTCGTTATCTATGAATGTAACGAACCAGAGGAATGGAGGACAGCTGATATTGCATTTCTGTGAGTTATGAATTATAGACTTATGAAACTCATTTGGATGGCTATAGAACCTATAATTATAATCACATTCTCCCGTAGGATAGCAGATATCAAAAAAATGAAGAACAATGCTGCAGTGCGTTACATCTCTGTCACGCCACAGCGAGACCGACGCCAGACCGACAGTACACTGATCAAGAATTCCCATTACGACAAATGGCCAAGAGTTGATCGGTATGAAGTCGGTGTGGCTGTGTGACTGGGGTTTAAATTTGTATACGTTTCTCTACCCTCAGCAAGTAGTTATGTGCATTCTTAAAAAAACTGATTATACACTGTTTAAAGAAATCGAATTCATTTCTGGCTGTGATATATATTGTACAATTCTGAACTTCTAGAAAGTAAAGTTCTAGCAAGTTTTTAACAAATGTACGGATGTGGTCCTGCATTGGTCTTTGGGATAGGGGCTGCTTCTCTCTTTCTCTCAGTGTTCTTGATAACTGGTCCGAAATGCTCTGAACAGGGCATGCATCAACTGGTACATTGCCTCAAAACGACTCATTCGGGGCCCTAGATAATGGAGGTGTCGTGGTAATATGGTGGTGCCTTCATTTGACTGTTAATACAGGGTTTGGGGTTCGATTCAAACCGGCACTAATGTCCATTGGCAAGATATTAATCCATATTTGCCTCTCTCCATCAGGTATAATGTGTACCCGATATGCCAGAGCGCTAAAAAATTATTAAACGGCCAGGTAATGATCTGTAAAGCGCTTTGAGAGGGCCTTCGGTCCTGAAAAGCGCTGTATAGAACTAGCTATTATTATGACCGGGTATAGAGACGTCACGGCCGGACGGACATGGGTACTATTATACAGTATAAGAAGCCACAATCATAGTTCTATTTTAATATAACATACCTGAAAAATCCCCAAACTAATAGTCCTATCTTTAACATGGTCTTCCAGGGCTCTGATGTCATTCTTTCTGTCCATGGTAGTGGCGGGCACCTTCTACGAACTCTACATTCATAAGATGGTACTGGTGAAGGTATTAAGGCAAACGAAGGACAAGCGGGGAGAAGATGATCCTGTAGCTGATTCATCGGAGATGTCGACGACATCCATCGATGACCCGGAGGTAATCGAGGTTGGTTCCGAGGTCAAGGAAAATGGCGCGAAGTACAATGGAGGATTTGAAAAGGGGGAGGACGCTTTAAAGAATGGGGAATTACATCGTGTGCAGATGACAGAGGAGGCTATCGTGAAGAAGGAGCAGAAGAAGCCCAAGATCGATCTGAAATGGGGTAAGAATATCTGGTTCATAGTCTTTGGTTTAGGCCTTCTCTCTTCATTTAATCACATCACCAAATGGGTTACTATTTTATGATTCACAGAACAAACGTTGTGATATATATACTCGTCTTTGGTAGAAAATGGCGCACTGTGATCAATAATGCTCATTGCGAACGAAACATCATTTTTTCGATGACGTAAATCTGCGTCACTGATTGGCGTGTTCTCTGATGCTGTATATTAAAATAAAATTGTGTAAGGAGTGAACTGAAAACACACATTACAGACATCGCGTCGGTTCATGGACTACTATCTTCCATAGCAAATCAATAAAAATGACGGTATTCCAATGAATATTGTTTCCTGGGAAAATGGAAGGTCGGTAAGGATTACTAAACATAAGAAAGGGAAAAAAATGATTAAAGCGTAGGAATAGTTGCCAATCAGCGATTATCACTGGTAGCTTAACTCAGTGTATGAATGTGTTTCTGTCTGTCACAGCTATCCTCGACGGTGTCATGATGTCCTTCTCGGCCGTCACCAACTGCAGCAAGATCCTGAGTGCCAAGAAAACCAAAGGAAACCTGGCAGTTCTCAACGGCCTGAGGGTCATCAGCATGTTTTGGGTCATCCTCGGACATGCCATGTCGTTTTACATTGGTCGCCTTAGTACGTAGCAAATCTGTAGACACTCTATCCAGGGGCGGATCTAGGGGGGGGGGGTCGGCGGTTTAACCCCCCCCCCCTTGGGCGGCCAAGTGAGAAAAAAGGGGGGGGGGTAAAAAGAAGGGGAAAACAGGGGGGAAAAGAAGGGGAAAAAAGTAAAACAGTAAAACGGCGCGATTTTTGGAAAATCCTGGATCCGCCACTGGGTCAAACCTCCTCCTTGGCAAAAAAGCTAGATCCGCCCCTGCTATCAACGAGACATGATTAACAATAACACCACATGTAATCATAATAATGGACTGCTACATAATACCAGTCTGTAGATAGCACATGGTACAAAATAAGCCAAGATATATCCACAGATCGTAACAGATTACAGAGTTACACAGATGTAAAGAAAAATAATTCAGTACGTATCAGGTTTCGTGCGATGTCTTCTTGCTAATCTTCAATAGTTCCCGGGGAATAATCGGCTATTCCATATGTTTTAGGTCGTTGTGTTCGTAGTTCACTTTACACTTACTTTAGTGACGAACATAGGTTTAATAGACCACTATATGACACGCCCATGGTCATATCAAATATTCCCACAAAGTACAAAACATCTTTTAGATTTCGTGCCATCCGAATCCAATGGGATCTTTGATAAAACTTTACTTCTAATGACTATAGTTACCCACAATACATTTTGTGTGTCTTTTCAAAGGTAACTCTGGCCAACTCTGGCAAGAAGTACAATCTTTCGGGTACCTGGCCATCGTGAACTCAACTTATTCAGTGGATACATTCTTCGTCCTCAGGTGAGTAACTGACCTAGGCCTATCATTAAGGACTTTTAGATTCTGCACGACGAGAACGCGGACTGCCCTTTTAAGGCAATGTGACGTCACTGCCAGCAGGTGCCTTAAAAGGACGTCACATTGCCTTAAAAGGGCAGTCCACGTTCTCGTCGCGCAGAATCTAAAAGTCCCTATGGATTCATAGGCATGGTTTCACAAAAGAAATTCCAATAGAAGATGAGTGTTGGACAGCCTACAAGACCCATATTGTCGGTTACATGGGCTGTTCGTCTACAGCCTCCACGGGCCGTAGCCTTAGGACCATAATTCACAACCCTCTACCTGTTAGCATAGGTTACATGACCAAGGTTGTTTAACAGCGGAGGGGTATTAAGGTTCGTTAACTTGACTCTCAATCCAACGGTTGAGGTTTTCGAATCCCAGCCCTGCACTAACGTCCTTTGGAAAGACATCAATTCACATTTGCCACTCTCCACCCAGGTGTAAATAAGTACATGATTATTTCAATAATAAATGCAGGGTGCTCAGGAAGAACAAAGTTGATGCTGACTAGGCTGCCTTCGGTAAACAAAAATCAATATTTTAATCATTATAACCATATAGTAAGTTGATATATGGATGACTGTTTTTTTTTTAAATCTCATTTTGATACATTAGCTCTTTCTTTCATTCTCACAGTGGATTCCTCACCACTTACTTGACACTGAAGCAGATCGACAGCAAACGACTTGGCAGTGCCTTTAGTTGGTTTGTCTTCTACTTTCATCGTTGGTGGCGCCTTACGCCAGTGTACATGGCGACCATAGGCATTTGGGCCTTGCTGAACCCGCACTTTGCCCAGGGTGTATTGACCGATGAAGTCCATGAAATGACTCGAGAGTACTGCGGGAAGACCTGGTGGGCTCACATGCTGTATATCAATAACTTCTATCCCTGGCCCAATGATCTCGAGCAAACTGTAAGTTTGACCTCAACAGGGACCCGTTCCACAAAGCCTTTTTTCAATGACAAATGACAAAAATCAGTGACAAATCTGCTGGTAACATATTCCAATACAACTTTTGCACATTTTGACCATTCCCCTTTTCTTCCCTCTAGTTTTGTTGTTGTTTCTAATCATTCACTCCACAATGATTATCATTTAGATATAATGTAGAAAAAAGGGGTCATGGAGGTTTTAGACAGTTTATTGTTTTATCAGACTTAATCTCTGTTCAAAAGTCTTATGTGGCACATGAGAAGCTTTTAACAAATTAAAGTATCCTCCGGCTATCGACTTTGTTGAATAATGTGCTCTTTCAAAGTGCCTAAGCGCTGTCCCACCTGGTCTCTCGACAAAGAATCTTGAATCGTCTTGGTTTTCGGGTGTTATGAGCAGCATCAGGTATAGTTCTTAACGCCTTTGTCAATGGATTATTATGGACCTGATGGATGAACCCATCAACAAGATGAAAAAACAGTGCATGTACAGAGCAAATTTCGAGAAGATGAGACAACTTTGGCAGCTACCTGTAGCTAACACGACCAGCCAAGTATTACCAGGGATAGTAAGGTTTGTCCTATCCCACGACCGAATCGGGGGTTTCCTCTTCACAACCAGGAGAATTAGCTTCACTTTTTGATTTTTCTTGTACCGATCACTGACACTGATTTCCCTTGAGTTCTTTTGCATCAATCCCCGTGGAGAACGAGAACTGGGGGGCGTTTCACAAACTTGTCATCAGTGACAAATGACAGATTTTATTATAAGCTACTGAAATCCTTGCTTCTGATTGGTTATCAGCAGATTTGTCACGGTTTTTTGTCATTTGTCGTTGAAAAAATGCTTTGTGAAACGGGTGCCTGTTCACTTCATTGTGTATAGTTGTATTTAACAAACGTTACGGTATATACATTTACATGTATATTCGTTCTTTTTTCTTGATTATTCTCTAGTGTATGGGTCATGCATGGTACCTGGCAAATGACATGCAGTTCTACATCATCAGTCCTCTCATTCTCATCATCTTATACAAGTAAGTACAATACAAATTTACGGATGTACACGTAGGGATGTGGGCGGGATCAATGGGTACCCAATTCGAGACCCTCGATCTATGATCAAGCTTAACAAAAATTATCAGGAGAGGGGCAGCCCATAATCTGTTAAGAGTCAGAAGGGCGTTCGCTGTGTGTTAAAGTATACGAGTAATGCCTAGGTCACATATAAACCGGGCCCCGTACGATTTTCCCTACCCGGCGACTTGTCGTGGATTTAGAGACCGTACGGGAACCTTCCGATTTTCATTCCTACGGCATGTGTGGTCACAAATGCTGCGGTGCCCGGGAGGTGCCCGGTGAAAATTGGTTGAGTGGAATGCAAGTCGCCCGTAAGAGTGCCGGCAGGGTGCCGGGCGGTAAGCTTACGGGCTCCGTCCGATGAGCAGGTGCACCCATGGCTCCCGTAAGGTGCCCTGCCGGGGCCCGGCCGGGGTCCTCAAGGCGCCTGGGCACTGATATATGTGTACTCTGACATCCGCACCTCCTGTATTTAAAGCTGCGTTGTACATTTTGAGATGCCGCCGTGAGGGGCCCGCACGGTCAATATTAATTTCAAATGGCCCCCGGACGGCAGACGCCCGGTGTTGTGCATATCACCGGGGCTCTTGAGGGGCCCGTGAGGGTGCCGTAGGGTACACGTACGCCATCCTAGAGCACCGCAAGGCGCCTGTAAAGATTTTTCATGAAAATTTACCCAACAAAATCGTGAGGGGCCGTCCGGAGCCCGCACGGAACCCCTCAGGTGCCCCACAGGCCCTTTACGGGCTTTCTACGGCCTAACTGTCAGATAAAAACGCCATGAGAATCGGGAGCAGCCAACTCAGCACCACGGCACCGGTACGGCTTAAAAAAAACTGTCCCGGAGCCCGTAGGAACTTTACGGCAGCCGGCCGGACACCGGCCGAAAATTCCCAAAATGTCTGTTTTTACTCGCCGTACGGGCCCCGGAGTGTATATTATGTAAAAGCCCCATTAACAACCTTCTGGCTCTCGACAGCGTACTGTTTATTCCCAAATATCTGTGAAATCATAGTATGATTGTTCTAATCGATTTAACACGCTTTTATTTAAATTTCATTTTCTCTAAGGAATTGGAAGGCAGGTATGGCTCTTATTGGTTCCATCATGATCGTCTCGCTGGGATCATTGGCTGGTCTCAACTATTATTACGGTATCAATATGGACCCATGGTACCAACAACAGTGAGTGTTGATTTGTTTTTAAATCATATTTCAACTTGAGGTGCACTTGGCAGAGGCTCGCTTTTCTTTTTTCCGGTTTTGATATAAACATTCCTCAAGACTGTACGATTCTTCTCTCTTTCTATTTTTCTTGTTCTACTCTGTCCCTCTCTACCCGTCTCCTGCAATCTTTCGTATATTCCTTGATCAACTTTTCTTTCTTTTTTCTTTTTCCTTCTATTCCTCTTTTTAGTTCCGCCTTTCTCTTTCTCTCTCTCTCTCTTTCTCTCTCTACTTTTTTGATGACACAGAAGGCTTTTAATGTTTTTAATATTTGTAATATATTTAGATTTTGATGTAATATTCGTAATATATTTAGATTTTGATTCAATGTTTGTAATATATTTCGATTTCGATGTAATATTTGATTCTCATCTTGTTTCATTATGCATGATTTATAGTCGTACGTTTTAGTCATTCATATTTTGATCGTTTATTGTGTTGTATATTAACTTTGTGAATTGAATAATTTCAGCTTCCCAGCTGCATGTTCTTTTATTTCAATAAACCGAATCAAATTCAAATCAAATTCAGCCCTGCAGACCGTAAATGGAGAAATAGACGTTTAAGTTACAAAGTGTAATTTGCCTAGCATTCTCTACATGCCAAATCCTTGAAATTGTATTTTGTCCTCTCGGCTGCTAGTATATGCCACCATCCCTTTCCCCCCAATTACAAACAAATCACGCAACGTCCTCTTTTCAAATTTATTGTATCATCCATGGTGACCCCGTGAAGATTGATAGTACATTGCGACTGATAACAAGTTGTGATCAATTTAAATCAGTCACGACTGTTTATAATTATAGACGAAGCCCTATCTTTCCTTTTACGTTCATGGAGAGGAGTTGGTGAAATAATGAGTGTTGATCATATTACCTTATAATATGTCCCATTATAACAGGCCATACAACGACCGTTTAGCCGACTACCCACAACAGGACGTCACCTACGCCAAACCTTACACCAGAATTCCAACCTATCTCGTTGGCATGGTGACGGGTTATATCATCTTCAAACTCAAAGGAAAGAAACTCAAACTTAGGAAGGTATGAAATCCCATATTTTTTTTTAATTCAAAGGTTTAACTTTTAAATGTCTGAGACACCATATCCCATCCAGGGACAGTGGCGGATCCAGGGGGGGGGGGGGGGGACACAGGGGGCACGTGTCCCCCCCCCCCCCCCCCGGCCCAAAAAATGTTAAAATCAGCCCCAAATTCGCCAAAAATGTACTGGCAAACAGGGACGTGCCCCCCGGCAAAAAAAGAAAATTAGTGCGTACTCCCCCTCCCCCACCCCATGTACCTCATTGGCGTAGGTAAAACGAGATCGAAATGACGCCTCGTGTGTGTGCAATGGGCATACAGCATTACCTACGAATGCAAAGTTGAGATGAAATCGAATCAACAGAATCTTTATTTTCAAATCGGTTCTTCTAGATCTACGTCCTGGTTGGATGGGTGTGTGCTCTCGGCACCCTCTTTGCTGTGATCTACGGTGCTTATGGCTGTCTCAATCGCTACATCGAGCAATGGGAATCCATCATCTACCTGACGTTTGGTCGTCTAGCCTGGGGAATCGGCATCGCTTGGATCATCTTCGCTTGTCTCCTTGGATACGGGGGTATGTAACCCATAGGAAAGAAATGAGCCTGCCGCATACTCCTGCGGCAGACCTGCCGCAGACTTGCTGCAGACCTGCCGCATACTCTTTCAGTGTGATGAAGAGTCTGCGGCAGGTCTGCCGCAGACCGCGGCAGACTTGCTGCAGACTTGCCGCATACTCTTCCAGTATGATGAAGAGTCTGCGGCAGGTCTGCCGCAGACTTGCTGCAGACCTGCCGCAGACTCTTCGTCATGAATATTCATATCTCATATAGACCTGCTGCAGACCTGCCGCATACTCTTTCATATCCAGTACATGGCAATAAAGTATGCATGTAGAAGAACCAGTGATAAACTGATTGATACTTCATAATAGATATTGGCAATATCAATATTACCAATTAGGTAATACCAATAGATATCGATATTACCAATTAGGTATATTCTATTCTCAATTGTATTAACTTCATCACATTGATCATTTGAAGTGTATTCAAGAGTAACATTTAAAGTGTCACAGGCTCGTACACATATATATACTAAATATGTATATTGTTTCTTGGTTAGTAATCATAGTTTCTTCGTTAGTAATCAATATATCTATTGCTTAAACGTGAATGTAATTGTAACATGATCAGACAAAATAATCTATTGGTTAATAATGGCAAAAGGAAAATAGAAATCACAAAAATGATGTGCATTGTCTTAATTTGCTTAACAAATCATGATAAATGTATTTTTCTGTCACACGTGTAAAGTAATAATGAATATGCATGAGATGATTGGTTTCAATTGGCCCTATTAGACTTTAATGGGATTTCCTGTGGCAGACCTGCCGCAGACTGTTCCTGTGGTGTACTGGTATGCGGCAAGTCTGGAGCAAAGTTTCGCCCTGCCGCAGATCTGCTGCAGACTGTTCCTGTGGCATACTAGTATGCGGCAAGTCTGGAGCAAAGTTTCATCCTGCCGCAGATCTGCCGCAGACTGTTCCTGTGGCATACTAGTATGCGGCAAGTCTGCAGCAAAATTTCATCCTGCCGCAGATCTGCCGCAGACTGTTCCTGTGGCATACTAGTATGCGGCAAGTCTGGAGCAAAGTTTCATCCTGCCGCAGATCTGCCGCAGACTGTTCCTGTGGCATACTAGTATGCGGCAAGTCTGCAGCAAAATTTCATCCTGCCGCAGATCTGCCGCAGACTGTTCCTGTGGCATACTAGTATGCGGCAAGTCTGGAGCAAAGTTTCATCCTGCCGCAGATCTGCCGCAGACTGTTCCTGTGGCATACTAGTATGCGGCAAGTCTGCAGCAAAATTTCACCCTGCCGCAGATCTGCCGCAGACTGTTCCTGTGGCATACTGGTATGCGGCAAGTCTGCAGCAAAATTTCTTTCTGCCGCATACTTCGGCATACTCTTTGCCGCAGACTAAAAGTCTGCGGCAGGTCTGCGGCAGATCTGCGGCAGGTCTGCGGCAGGTCTGCGGCATACTTTTCACTTTCCTATGGGAATAAACGTCACTGGCGGGGAGCAGAGGGGCGAGAGGAAGAGTCCGACCGGTTATGACAACAGATTGATCTGGAAGAAATAGGCGCAGATTTGAAGACGGCTTTCAAATGTGCCGACAAGTTTTTTGAATTCTTGATATCCATTGACGAGGGTTGAATGGGTGGGCGAGCGAGGAATTCGCTAGTCCATTTGGCTATGTCAATGAAAATATAAGTAACAACAATTCTTTTGCCCCATTTCTAGGGTAACTTTACGCCATGGAACCAGAGAGTTTATAAGCCACACCCCTTCTAAATATCACACTATAAACTTTCAATTACGACAACAAAGTCCATTTCATATTTGTTTTAAGGGTGAACTTAGGGTGTTATTGTTGTGGTACTTTAAATTGAATTGTAATACATGTCTTTTTGTTTTAATTATTCGTTTGTGTATACTGACTTTCGATATCATATTTCTATGTAATATCTGTATCAAAACCCTATTTTCACGAAGTGACGGTAGTGAGGAAAATCGTCACGCAAACTGTATGCGATTTTTCTCACTACCGTCACTTCGTGAAAATAGGGACGAAATTCTGGACCCCTCGGTGGAACAGCGCCACCATGTTGGTGGATGCTGAGTAGGGCCATCAGGCCGTTTATCTCTTATAGTATGTGTCTGTGTGCATATTGTGTAATGTCTCGATTATTGTACTTCTTTTTGTACGGAAATAAATTCAAATCATATTTAGGCTAGTATTCCTAAATAATATCGTCGTCGCGAGCACGGTAAAGGAAAGTTTAGATACTGTACCTTAAGTTAACAATAGTGAACACCATGATTAAACTCGGCAATCTAGGGTAAACAAACACACACTTGAATAATATGGCGCCATGTTTAGAATTTGTCAACGATCATTTCCAATGGCTTACAGGTCCTATTGGAGTGTTGCTTGACTGGTCTTTCTGGATTCCCATGGGCCGTCTGACATACTGTGCTTACCTGATTCACCCCATCTTAATATACAGCGCCATCACTTACAACAAGACCCTCTTCCATATAGACTACATGTCACTCGTAAGTATTCAAACGAAGCAGTCTGAATAGTGTTATTATGTTGTTATCGTTTTTTTATATTTTTATAATTGACGGTATTAAAAACACTACTTTAAAAAAATCGACGTACTTAAAAGAAGGAAAGGAGATAATGAAAGAAAAAAAGAGGGATTTTCGATGTAGAAAAAAGAAAAAGTATAGTAGTACTGGTTGTAGTAGTAGTAGTAGAAGTAGTAGTACTAGCAGCAGCAGCATCGATACTAGTGGTATAGTACTATTAGGAGGAAGAGGGGGCAGCAGCAGCAGCACCACAGGTCCACAGCAGTATACGTATCTTGTAGTTGTGAACTTGTGGTGGTAGTATGGTTAGTAGACAAACAAAAAGAGTGGAGAGGGGTACAATAAGACACGGCAAGCCAGCGGTCTGCATGCAGAATTTGAAACTTTGTGATATTTGTTTGAAGCTAAGATTCAATTTAAGATGTGTCCCAATGTCATTTTCTTTCAGAGCTTCTTCTTTGTGGGGTGTCTCGTGTTCTCTTACGTCTCAGCTTTGGTCATGTCCTTGGTCTTGGAAAGTCCACCTATGGGGTTGGAGAAGGTCATGTTCGGAAAATTCAAGACGAAGTAGACAATCTGCTAACAAGACGAATCTCTTATAGCAGATAAAATTTATCGGGGAGGGGGATAGATAGATATAGCATTACATATAATTGAAAACACCAGGGGGGCGTTTCACAAAACTGGTCATCAGTGACATATGACAATTTTTGATATAAGCTACTGAAATGCTTGCTTCTTATTGGTTATCAGCAGATTTGTTACTGATTTTTGTCATTTGTCATTGAAAAAAGGCTTTGCGAAACGGGTCCCAGGACTATATTCCTTCTTTGTACTTTGTGTATGAAATTAAATCATATGATAAAAACAAGTATTATGTCCTTGGTCTTCGAAAGTCCACACATAGGACTGGAGAAAGACATGTTCGGAGAATTCAAGAAGAAGTAGATGAGCTGCCAACAAAAACTACCCCCCCCCCCCCAATTCCGGACGAGCAGCATTGGATAACTATACGCTTATTCTATTACCCCCATGAGAGGTATCTCTTTCTCTTTTTACAATTATATGTATTTTTCTGAGGGTAATTTGGGTAATTTCGAAGGTGATACAATCGCAGGATAACTGTCTTAGGGAGTAATTGCCCGAGGGTATAGTTGTCCGGATTTTTATTGTCCCGATAATTTGTCACATTATTAAGATATTGCTAAAGAAGATTTTACTTAAGTTCCATTTTACTGAGGATAATAAGGTACAATCAAATTCCACTGCATCAATGAATTCATACCTTAATAATATTTCATTAAAGTCGTTTACCTAGAATGGATTAATGCTCATGTACTTTATACTATTCTCTTACGGTTATGTTAGACATTGTAAACAACGATGCTCTGTTGCTCACATATACATGGCTTACTGTGAAATATACAACGATTAACAATGAATTGCTCACAAATGTCCTCTTTATAACTTTATAACTGTCCACTTTATAATCACTCCAAACCTGTTTATTGACAATAAATTAAATAATAAACTTAAAGCAGAGGTTACATTCAAACCTTGTCCTTCATCTCGCCCATGTTATTTAACCCTGTTTTTGTTTTTGTGTAGTGTTTTTGTATAATCTTACATAGGGACAGAAAATGTATTAATTACAAGAAGGCCTATGTTCTAGTAATAAACAGCAGAAAGCAAATAAATGAGTGTCTTGATAAACAAACGTGTTTTGCCAATCAGATTTTATTAATTCAGTGCGTGTCATGGTTCTTAAAGACAACTTCTCTTAGTAAATGCAGGAGAATGATTTCAGCGATTGTCTGATTGTCATTAACAACGCCGTTTTCGATCTCCGTGACTGACAAATCCAGAGATGACACATCGATTGTAGTGGTGCTTCCATCAAAGCGACCGAGCATGAAGTCGTCATCATCGTCGCTCTCGAAGAATAAAGCCAACTCACTGACGTTACCGGATGATAAACTCGAATGCCAACTTAAGTTGTCGTCATCATAGCCAGCATTGTTGGCAGAGATGTTTCTAGGAATGACGTATTGGACGTCGTTCTCCTCGTTGCGACCCAGATCAGATGCGGGAGCGTGGGAGACGGCAGATAGACGGTTACCTTGGCCAGAGGTAGATCTGTCGAAAGCGACAGAGTCCAAGTTGGATTCGCCACTTGCAATGTGGAACTGCAAGACAGAAAATTGAAAATGCAGTTATTTGTAGATATTTTAGTTCAAGTCAGAATCGATTTGAATGGTTTTCTCTAGAGTTTGAGTTTAAAATCAAGTTGTTAATTTAAGGTTATGGAAAGCACGTGTTTTAACTCTAAGACTCAGGTTCAACGTCGAAAGTTGGATCTAGCATGTTAAAAGTGTAAAACTACTTTTTTTTCGAAACGCTGGCAATTCTTGGCTCTTTTAATGTTCATCAATATCTGGGATTTTAGGTGTTTCATCTAAAATTTGCTTTAAAAAAAAATATATGTAAAAATGGACTATTTGATTTTCAAGCATTTGGTTTATGATGATTTACAGTCAACAAATATAACATTTACAGACAGTTCCATAGACAAACCTTTGAAACTCAAATTTACACTGATAATTTCATTATGAATGTAATGTCAATGACCATCTATGTAAATGATTATTCAATTGATTTCCTTAACAAGATATCAAATTGATAACTAAAGTATCTTTGAAATGAATGAATTTTGTTATATTCTTTAAACAATCACAAATGGCTTACCAATTGAATGTCTTCAGCTGTCAGTCTACGGGGACGATTGTCTATGTCAGCAGATGCTGAAAAACAAATGATATATCGCAATGATTTTAACCATTCAAAACAAAATGGTGATTGAGCCATACAAGATTATTTTTTTTCTCTATTTTGATGGATGGTTTCTTCTGGAGAAAGAAATCGCTGCTTAGTGGTTGAACGTGAAAATATATACAATGTACACCTGTACGATTACATTGCAAAAGATAAAGCACAATTACATACTCAATCAAGATGTTAAATAATACATGACACTCAAATAATATATACTATGCCGAAACATATCTTATCGTCTAATATTATTTCATGAAAGCGTACAAGTCATGTACATCTAGGCCTACGTGATGAGCTAGAATAATTAGTCAATTTTTTTACCAAGATTTTTTTACCTGGTGAACAGCAACATAATTTTCTAAATCCTTTAGTCACTGTCTTTCTGAATCGACCAAAGAATCGGCGCCTTCTCGAAGATTGATTTGGCATTGTGAAGCAAGCAAGATGTACAGACATCCGAATGCTAGGGGGAATTCGATAAGAATGAAGCATTGGCAACGTACTTTCATGCAAAGTAAACAAATGCCAGCGCGTAGCGCCTTAGAACATTGTGACGTCACGAATATCTTGATCCGGTGGTTCCTGCAAGTTGATTGGCTGAAAGTTTGACGTGTTGCGCCGCTCGCATTATTATGACGTCACAAAGCGTGACTGAGGGGAGAGCGAGGTAGACAGATAAGTCAGAGTGAATGATCAAAAGAGAGTGATAGAGATAGAGAGTCCGCTGGAGAAAGACAGAGAAGGGAAGAGAGAGAGAGAGAGAGAGAGAGAGAAAAAGAGAGAAAAGATAGAGAGGGGGAGACAGATAGAGATAGAGAAGGAAAGAGAGAGAGAGAGAGAGAGAGAGAGAGAGAGAGAGGAGTGGAGAGGGAGAAAGAGTAAAAGGTGATCAGTTGATTCAATATTTTAGAAAATTGTGGTCAGAGCCACATATTCAAATTGTACATGAAATGAATCGTTTCTTATAAAGTTAGAATTTAATTTACCTCTTTTCATTGAAAGAATGAGACAATATGATCCATGTATATTCTTGACATATACATGTAGCTTCTATCTTCACGGAACTGTATTGCTTAATGTAAAGAGTCATAGAGCTCTGAAAAGATAACATTTTCTCTATAAAAATAAATCATATTGTCATAATCATTTCATGGAAAGAGGAAAAGAAAAATTATACCAAATTTATGGGCACAGGGATGCCAGTTTTCAGGCAATAGCCTGAATTCAGGCCCTGGTGAATTATTTTCAGACCATAGTTTAGGCTTTTTTGTGTACAAAATAGCTCATTCTAGGTGAATTTCACGGGCCCTCTGATCAATTCTAACTGGCATCCCTATGGGCAACAATGTATGTTCCATTTACAAATGAATCATGATAATCCTCGTATCTCTCTCGTATCTTAATTGTCTTCCTCTCATCGGTAGAGATCGGTGTTTTCTCTTTATTCAAATCTTTTGGATAAATGACGAACTACAAAACTATGAAAAAATGCCATTGGATGTGGGTACAGGCAGGTTGGGGCAGTCGTATCATCGTGTAAAATTTGTCTTTCTCCTCTCCCTTTTTCATTGACCCCCCTCCCTCCCCCATTAAAGGAGGGGATGTTGCACTCTGCCTAGCTATGCCACTGCAGATCGCAGTTCAAGAGGTCGCTCGACTTGACCCCTAGTCTGTTACTAATAGTCGCATATTCCCAATAAAGTTTCTAGTAGAACAGCTTCTGTTGTCAGTCGCCCCTTCTCCTATATTCGTATTCAATCATTTCTCTATTTCTCTACCCCCTCTTTTTTCTCTCTCTCCTGTATGTCCGTCTTTCCCCCCCCCCCTCCCTCTCTCTCTCTCTCCTCCCTCCTCCCTCCCTTCTCACTCTTGCTTTGAATTTCTTTAGCTTTCATCATTTTCTTCCCTTTTACTTCTGTAAATCTTCTTGTATGTCAGTTTCCTTACTTTGAACAAAGTCTTTTCATCAGCAGATTAGGCTCGTGATTAAAAAAAAACATCAAGACAATTTCAATTTCAAACCCACACAATGACCTCACCACACAACAAAATTCCATGGACAAACGTATTTTCAGTGGAACACATTTCCAGCTTTGTTTTCTCTTCATTATTTCTCATATCTATTACTGACAAGAGCTTTTCTTTCATTTATGAAGGTACACAAATTATCCATTATTTTCGTGCAATCATCATTATCTTATAACAAAGTCTTAAAGGGATAGTTGAGTTCTGTTTTTAGACCACAAATGCCTTCAAAGTGCATGATTATTGCTCTTATTCTTATCTATGACATTTCTAGTGCCCTTTTCGAACCTAAAATTGCTATGAAGGTAATTTTAGACCCCAAAATGTGTGAAATTTAGCCAATACGATCATACCAATTCAGCTCCACTTTCCAAAAAACATGACGACCGTTAATTAATTATTCAATTAAAAATAACAATACATGAGCCGGCTAATTATGGGTAATATAAGCAACACGAAAATGCCAACAAAAAAGCCAACATCGGCATTGGTTGAAATACGACATAAAAGGTGTTATTTCTTTTTTTTTCAACAGGTTTTTCAAATTTTTCAAAATATCTAATATTTGTTGTGGTACATAAGTATTAGAAATCGTTATATTTCAGCCGTCTCTGAAGCGATTTAGATCAAACAAAGATGATTTTGTCATTTAAATATTATGTTCTTTCAAATTTGACACTCAGTTTTTCATTATCTCACAAAACAAATATTTTTTGCAACAGAACTCAACTATCCCTTTAATCTATGAGATTACAGCTCTATCTTTTTAAAATAAACGTTTTGTAATATGTCCATGTTGCTTGAAAAAAAAGTACTGTTAGAAAACACTTAGGCCTACTGCATCAGAGCATACACGTTCGTTATCTTAAAATATTCCAGGAATTCAGTGGAATGGATAGAATTATCATTATACAAAAAATTGAAATTTATCACAAATCTCGGCCCAAATTTATTCCATCTGCATAGTCAAGGTACTGTTTCAAATTCTGACTTGGCCATGACAATAAACATTGTTGTTTTTTTAAATATGTCTTGGAATGTACGAGAAAAAAATTTAATAAAATTGTTAACTAATTTAACAAATGTTTAGTAAGGGGAAAATAGTTGTTAACTTGTAAGAACATGACTCTGTTATCATCATAAATGTAGTCACATAAGAAAATTTAGAATATTGTTATCCACAACATATGGACTGATTTTATAAACATTTACCAGTATTACTTTTAACCAAAAGTCTTTTTGCAACCGAGCAGCCATTCCAAGCCATTTATTAAACTGGTACCGGTATCACATTTTTAACACACAAGGTTTACTTCATTTGAATACTTTTCAAACCTGCTGAACAATAAAAAGAAAAAAGGTGCAATTGATTTGATCAGATGTAACTTCTTTTACAACTGCAAAATAGATTTGATCTGAAAGCTTTGTTCCATCTCCAATGGTGCATCAATTTAAGAAATACATGATTTTTCCCCTTAAAAATGAGACTGGTTGCTTTGTTCCGATAAATACTGTATTTATTTCTTATTGCTGCATACACAGAAGAAAGACAGAGTACTTGGGATTAGGAGTAACTTTAGCCATAGCGGTAGCAGTAGGTTAAGAGAAATAAGAGAAAAGCGATGTCGTAGACGAAGAAGATGATGACAAAGAGGACAAAAGTAAAGACGTTATCAGAAAATAACAAAATTACTTGTTTTAAAGAAAACAAGCTGTGTGTGAGATTCTGTTATGCATAAGGGATTTTACACAGTATCTGATGGAAGCAAACTAAGATGGAATGCGCATCAGAATCCGCACAAGCAGTACCTTTACAAAAAATGAAAGAAAAGACGGTACATGTATAAGAAACATTGGCCTTGTGCAATACATTAAAACAGCTAAAAGCTACCTGTAAGAGCAGCATGAGAATCATACTTGATCTATAATATACCCAGGAATTCTGGTTGCTACTTTTGTTCTGAACTTTCCTTTTTCTATAAATACTAATAAATACCATATTGTTCTAAATGTACAACAAAAAACATCTCTCCAAATCTTAACAGTTGCTTCATGATGACTGTGTACAATATATAACTTATGTACATTATATACAGCTGTGCTTGGTTATACACAGAAATAATACTTTACAAACATTTTTGTTCATTTAAATTCAAGGCTGTACAAGGATAGTCAAGTTTCTTATTTCAGATTTAACAACAACAAATACTCATACGAATATTTCACACAAAAAATGAGTACCTCATTGCATAACAAACTTGGTAAAAAATGGCCAGGATCATTTATTTTCTGGATCTACCTTCATCTTTAATACTCAAGCATACTCGGCGGGTAAATGTGTGTATTATTTTCATTGTCCATCGCTCTTATACTCCAATGTTTGTTCTAATACTCCGTTCGTACCATTCAAACCATTTTTTTAATCATCAATATTTTTAGATATTGTTTATTCACATCATTGATTCAATAGGAATAATGACTCAGCAGTATAACACTGGTCTCCTGATTGCGAGTTGCCAGGTTCGATACCAAATGGGTGCTCTAGTGTTGTTTGGTATGGCAATTGTCCTTGATTACCAAGTTCCTCTGATACAGGTGGGACTTTAATAGAGGCCATATCAAGGGTTCAGTGACACACAGAGACAACAATTAGTATTTGAAATCAAAATGTTCAGAAAAATGTGGGCTTTTCCAGGAAAAACAAAGACTTAACTCCACCCAACACCCCATTGAAGTCAATGGCTAGTGAAACATAAACTTAACTCCTTAAGGCCAAGTGATACAAAACCACTTTTTCTCAAAAGGGCAAAAATGGAGTTACGTCTTTGTGTCACTGACCCCTCCATATAAACCTCCCTGTTTACCTAACTACAATCACATACTTGCTTTCTCAACAGTCAGGTAAAATAAAATCTTCAATACTCAGACAATGATTGCATCACACTGTATAAAGACTTTACTCAACAATAACAACATATAAGTTATGATAAGCAAAAAGGCAACATCAACATTTCTTGTCCTGAGTTCTTGCCAACTGAGGTCAGTGAAAATATACAAAAGAGACAATATTCTGCACATTCTTTTCAAATTCATGATCATCATTGGGGATAAAAAAAAATAAGGTTCCGGAGCCACATGCTCTAAGACACATAGTTTTTGTTGATCTGCATCGGTGGTTGGTAGAGTGATAAGAATAGTTTTGGCCTGAAGAACTGTTCTGAAGCACAAATACGCTATCAGGGGGGTTTGATCTTTGGTTGTAGATATTAGTAGCTGCTTGGGCAAGAGGTATTATTGCTGGCAGCAAGTTGTTCCACAGGCCGACCACTTCATCATGAAAGTGAGATCTTTGGTAGACTCTATCAGTGCTTGCTCTTGGTTGACTGCATGCATCAATGGTTGCTAGGGTACGAGGAATTCATCGCTGGCTTGCATCGTTGTCGAACACTGTCATGAAGATGGAGTATTGGTCTTTTTCTATAACACATGAAGTGCAAAGAGACAGAGAGAAATGGAAGATTGAGAGAATATGAGAGAGAGAGAGAGAGAGAGAGAGAGAGAGAGAGAGGGGGGGGGGGGAGGAGAAAGACAGAGAGACAGATGAAGAGGAGGGATAAAGAAAATGAGCCAAAGAAAGAGAGGGAAAGAGAAAGAACCAGATTAAAGATGACAAGGTAAAGAGAGTAATAAAGAGAGGAGATGGAAAAGAGAAAATGAGGATACATCATAAAGAAGAAAAGAAAGTACAAGTGGTGCAAGAGAGGAGACCAAAAGAAAAGAAAAAAAACTTTAAATGACAAGCAGAAAAATTGAGTTATTACTTTCTTTACATTCTTTATTTTTAGATTACAGATACATTTCTCTGGTGGTAGCAATTAGTAAAAAATCTAAGAATAAGTTGATTGTAATTTCACATATTGAAAAATATGCCCAAACTGTTCTCCTTGGTTTTATGATCACGAATATCTTGCCTACTTGCAATATTAAGCATACCTCAAAAACAACAATTACTTACAAATCTTTATTTCTTATCAAAGTTTAATACATACAACTAGTAAGTAAATTTTCTTATCAAAGAACGTTTACAGATCAACAAAATGTTTTTTTAATTTTAAAAGAAAGTAAATGAAACTACATTGTATTTACTAGACCATTTAGCTAAAAAAGTTCTTGAAAGTTGAGTTAAATATCTCACCTTTGCATCTGCCAGTTTCAGTATGGCTGCCTGGTCGCCCATCTTGCTCAGAGGAGCTATTCTCTTCTCATTCACAAAACTTGCTGATCTAGTAACCCCACCTCCTCCTCCTCCTCCTTTCTCCTTCGTGGACAGCAGGTTCCCATTAGGCACTGACTTGGCTATGCTATCCAGGTATTTGGAGTTTGATGAGGCAGTGTTGCCCTGTGACCCTATATTGACCCCGGACAGAAAACGGCCATACTGTCTTTGGATAAGGTCCATGGTGCTTTCGCGCCCCAGCGTTTTTCTGAGATGTCGGTTCTTGTCGTGGGCGGCGTTGGCGGAGTGGTAGCTGGGCTCTGACAGATCTTTGGTCTTGTCATTGCTTGTGGTTGCCCATGATGTCGACGAGGAGGAGTTGAAAGAGTTGGATGTTTGCTTGGTGTCCTTTCCACTGAACACAATCAGTCTGGAGTTATCCCCGCTGGTTGCTTGCTCATCAGAAGTCCTTTTGGGGTTTCCCGAGGGATGGTGCGCACCACCTTTAGTTCTATGGCTACTGGCATCACCACCGCTCTGCCTAACGGTCCCATTCATGACACGCCCATCCCTCATCCCTGACCCGACAAGGAGACCATCGGTGATGGCGTATCCATTGGCCGTCTCACTCCCAGGGCCGATGCCGTTCAGTGCCCCTGCCTTGCTGATGCTCAGGCCTCCGTTGCTGCTACGTGGGTTGGGTGCCCCCTTCATGGGATCCAGCTTCCTGGGGGGTGTTTTGGGGAGGGCGCTCATGCCTGCCATCTCGTCCGTGTCTAACCTTTCATAGTCCAGCATGAACGGTGGAGGCCCCCTCATCATCGAGTCTAGGAAAACAGGAATTAATATTGGGGTTTATCATCTGCAAGTAACAAAACATTGTGGCTTATACATCTACAAAGCAAAATGATGAAACATTCAGAATAGCAAATGGAAACAACCATCTCCTGTCTCTGTCTCCTGGGGAGTGCTTCACAAAGAATAAGATTGACTTTAAGTTGGACTTAAATATGGCAGGCCGTTCATGCCACTGTTTACTCTCACCACTTACTGGCATTTGTCTCTCAAGGGACGAAAAAATCATGGTCACAAATCTACAGAATTTATATTTTTTGATCATTCATAATTGAAGGAAAAAATATTATCTAAAGATCATAATTGAGAGACCCATGTTGAGAGCAAACAGTAGCATGAACGGCCTTGCCATATTTAAGTCCAACTTAAAGTCGATCTTAAGCCTCGGTCACAAATGCCATTACAAACTGCTGTGAACGCCGTACGAACGATTTTCAGACAATGGAAATTCAGGAAGACAATGGAAAAACAGGGAGATTCGTACAAAATTATCGTTCGTACAATCCTTTGTGACCGTAGCATTAGTATTTGTGAAACACTGCCCTGATCATGCACATAAGGAATTTCAGCACCACCCTCAGGACCTTTTAGATAATTGTTTCTTTCTCACTGAACATCTTTACTGTACCTTTATTGATAATACAGTCAAACCTGCTTTAGTGACCACCTGTCTTCAACAAGCACATTTTTTGTTTCCCTTGAAAATGGTTTCTCATTGAGACATGTACTAAAGGAACCTGTCTACAAAGACCATCTGTCTTCTAAGACCACTTTTTGTGTTTCCCTCGGGCGGTCGCTATAGACAGGTTTGACTGTATTTAGTTTACCAACTTACTGCCATGTGTATAGGTGTGCCTGATGGTCATGCCAGCTAGGCTCTTCTCAAGGGCACTCTCTGGCGGTGGATTAATCAGTTTGTAGCGCACTTCCTCGTTCTGACGATGCATCTCTCTACTCAGGGCAATCAGCTTGGCGTATTCCGTGTCATGAGTCATCTAAAAGTTCAAAGGTAACAGAAGAACTTTGCTACATACGACTCAGTAAACTGCCTACAAAAATGCCAAAAAACAAATAAAAAATACTTAAATATACAACGTTACTACTTATACAAATCAACTTATTACAAGGGTTGGATTGCCCTTTAAAGTGAATAACATTAGGAGGGGAGGGGGTGAAAAACACCACTTAGAGTACATGTATGTATGTATTCATTGATGTGTAATAAGATAGTATGCAAATGAAATGACAGTATCTCTATCCTGCTGTTACAAACTATGTATAATAAAACATTAAAAGCTGAATAATCATAGTTTGAATGGTATATGAACTCATAGGTTATTGTAATGATGTCTAATAATTTTTATTTAAACAGAAAAGCAGGTTAATGATTCATATTGTTATGTTGCATTCGTTTACAGGGCCCCCTGGAAAACAGTACTTTGATTACTGACGGAGCAACCCTGTTTAAATAAAAACGGAATAAATCAATAAATAGATAAATGAATAAATATATAAAGGCAACAAATGGAAGATGGCAATATGCACTGCAAAATTAACACCTGCATTTAATTTTTCTGTAAGCAAATAATCAGTCAAACAAACTGCATTTATAATGCTATAAAAGCCAAACATAACAGACACAGCAAGACATGTCTTTGTATATAATTTCAACATGACTACTAATTTTTTTTTCTTCAAATCTAAGTCACTCTGATGCTTGAATATAATTTTATCAGACTGAAGAGAGCTTGATATAAACATCTACATTTTGAGGCAAGAATTTTTTGTACGGTGTTTTATTTCACGGTTTTGTGTTTAATATACGAGGATTGATGGTGATGCAGGTATATATATATATGTGTGTATACGGAAGCAACTATGACCTATGCATTCAAGTCCTATTCCTCAAAGGTCAGTCAGGCCTGTCTATAGCAACCACCCAAGGGAAACACAAAAAGTGGCCTTTGTAGACAGGTTCTTTTATACATCTATGTATATTTATTCATATTGCCCAAATGCATTATCCCCTACCCACTATTACAAAACACTGACGTGAAGAATGGCCTGTCGATCATGTTAGCCTACCTGGTCCAAGGTATCTTCATCCCCACCACCGGTGACCTGATCACCACCCTTGGTTGCTTCCATGCGTAGCTATAGGGTATGAACGGTACCAGAGTACAGCACCAATGGTAGCGGTGGTGGTTTCACAGGTGTGTGCATGGAATGGTATGGTGGTGAAGCAGCCGGAGCATTACAGATGATGAAGGATGATGATGGCGATGATGGGTTGATATGAAGGAGGTAATGGGTGGGGGTGACATGGGGGGGGGGGGGGGTAACGGTGGGGGTGACGGGTTCGGGGTGACGGATTCGGGGTGACGGGTGGATGTTGAAAGGGGTCACAGGAAACCATCATTAATAATCAGGGTGGGTATCAGGGATAATAAATCATGGTGGTGATGGTAGGGCAAGGAAGTCAATGATTGAATAGAGTGGGGAGGTACCATATGGAGACACCAACAGTAATCATGGATGGTGGTAGCACATTTCAGTAGGAAAATGTCACAAATATTTGCAATAGATGGTTGGTATTGAATAGCAAAGGGAGCAAGAGTAATAATAGCCACAACAACATTTTACAACAGGATGGTTTGGATGTCACGTTCACAGAGCATCGGGAGTAATATCAGATGTTGGTGAGCAAGTGAGGAAGTGGTGGTGGTGGTGGTGGTAGTGGTTGTCGTGGTGATGCATGAAGGAATGATGTTCATTTCAAATGGTTGCATGAGAAACGGTGGGCGAATCAATTTGGAAGGAGGGATGAATGGGATAAAAACAAAAATGGAATTAAATTAGTCATGGGTTGACTGGAGGTTAAAGGAGGATCAAAAACTGGCATCGAACAAATTCAAAATATTTTCTGCTAAATACTTAAAGACTTTAAGATGCTTTCTGATGATTGATATAAAGTGAAGTTATAATTGCCAGCACATAAAACAATTGAGGTTTAATATAAAGCTTTTCCTCGAAATAAAGAAGATGAAAACATTTTACTTTGGTTTGTTCTCTACATTTGATTTCCTACTTTGTATCGCATGTTTTAGCCATCACGAAATATACAGGAGGAATTTTTCTTTTGTTTTTTAATCACATCTACTCTATAATATGCTTTACATTTTTACATTTTTAACTCTATCACACATTTAATTCTATTGGTTTAAAGAAGTGTTGTTTTTTATGTTGTTTTGTTTTGTTTTGTTTTTTCAAACACAAGAGTTAGAAATACCATCACCATTTGAGGTCGACATGAAATGAATAGTTAATATGCCTCCAAAGATCCAAATAAACAACAAAGTGGAGAGAGTGATACGGGTACATGAAGCTCCAATAACTTTCATTCTTGTTAAAAGCATAGTTCCAACCAGAATCAAATGACAGATACATGTAGCTATCAATTTACAAGTACATGTAGGTTTTGTGTAAATGCCAAAAATATCAACTCACATTTGTTCTGTAGTTGAATAGCCTACAGGCCTTCTTTATGCAACTCACATTTAAATAGATTATCAAATTGAAATTAATTCTAAGGAGTGAGCATGTCTTTTGTCCTGACCCATCTTTTGATTTACAATTGTTTTACAATCCATGGATTTGGGGTAGCATTCTAAACAGATTCTAAAACTCAGGCTCTAGCAACAATAGCTCTCCAATTAATTTTCTACCCGTTCCTCACTTTAACCTCAGAACCCAACACTATCACTAAACATAAACCTGACCCTAAACCTAACCCTGAACCCAATCCTAACCCAAACCCTGTCTTTAGGTCTGTCTTCATCAGCTCGAGTCTGCCAAATAACCCGCTATTTTAACTATCCCGCAGTTGCAATAAGAGGGATATTTGGTAGATTAAAATATCCTGAGAAATCTTGGTCTTATTTCCAAAATGTCCCATTATTTGGGAAATAGCGGGCTAATTTGCTAGTTTGTGATGAGCGTCTGGTGAAAACGCAATTTTGAGCTTCGGGATAATATCACGAGTCTGAAAATAGCGGGTAATTTGGCAAACTCGAGCTGATGAAGACAGGCCTAATCCTAACCTAATCCCTGTCTTTGACAAGATAAAGCTTGGAGCAAATATTGCAGAGAGCATTGAAATAGCACATCACATCCAGAAATAAATACAGCCGGCCAAACCAATGATTATTCAAAGATAAAGCTCCATCTGACGTACCTTGGCCCTTTCTTGTATCCTCTCTTGAGAAAACATGGGGATGCCATGATTGGTACGTTTGGCGTAGCGGTTCACAAACGGAGGGTGCTTCTTGAGGGCCTGTGTGCATTTACCGATTCGGAAGGTCTGTGTGTGTACCAAAGGGGAGGGGGAAGGGGGAGAGACATGAAAATAATTAATAATACGGGGATTGCATGATATAGGGTATGAGGAATCAACATGGGAAGCAGAAAAAATTGAAAAAAGATACATGAAAAATGCTAATTTTTTTCTTCCAAGGTCAAACTCTATGCACACTGCTTTGACATTTGTTTTTAAGAATTATATTCACATTTACAACATCACATGTTAAACTAGAAACTTGAACACCAGCAATCCTACATTAAAAATACATATAGAACAGATTTCAATTTGGCTTTAGGTATACATTTGTATTGAAAAGAAAAATGTTACAAAATGGTACATTATCTGCTTTGAAATAGCCATCCTGCATACAATACAAAATCAAATTTCATTCCTTTTCCAATACTGTCAGTGCTTACCAATTATATATTTGATGAGCATCAAATGAGAAAGTGGAGCAGATGAAAAATAATACATGATAGACATGGTACTTTTAACTTCATATTGTAATACATACATTATGTTACCATCTCACGCACACATTAGTTTTATTAGACATATGAAGTCATTTAATTTTTTTATTATTCAATTCAGAATATGAACATACAGGCATTTGCTCGCAATTAAAATGTGGAACAGCATAGAAATTGCTTTTTGACATGAAGTTATGATTAAAAATACAGCTATTTAATATTCAATACTTTTGCATAGAGGCATAATAGTGATATGCGCTATGTAAGTACATGTATGGTATATTATTAATTTAAAAGCTTTTAAGTGAAAAAATATAATTGCATTTATACTCATATGACATTGCATCATTTCTTTGCAGTTTCGAATGTCATTGCATTTTTCAAATAAATGGATTAGTAGATCAAGGTTTTGTTTTATAAAGAGTCGCAATTGATCCTTATCGATTAACTTTTGTAGATAACAAATACTGTATTTTAGGATCAATCTGATCACTCTGTAAGACAAAGCCTGATTTTGAACAGAATGTTTACTTTTGTTAGGCTTGTATGAAGTGGTAGGATAAATCACTAGTTGTGCAGCTATCATAAACTATGTGCATTATCAATCTAATCAATTGCAGTACTCTATATTAAAGACAAAGCCTGATTTTCAATGGAATGGTTACTTTTGTTAGGCTTGTATGATGAATCAGTGATAGACTGTGTGCATTATGCAGCATTCTTTTGAAGATGGTAGCATTGATTAAATATATATACCCATTATATAAAGAACTAATGTTGAAATGTATGATATATGTGAGCCCCTACAGCAATTCATGTAAATGTAGTTAGCAACGTATGACTTCATATCTAATGCAAGCACAAGTTTGTCCATGGAGTTGCATTATATTTCTTAGACTACAACTGTAATATTTTTGTCTATTTACAAGTTATTATTTATTTATATGACCAACCAACAAGACAGCATGAACATTATGTTATATAACTTATATCACATAACACACAAAGTACAGGCATGTACTGCAGCAAAGTCAAAATGTATTCCAAATTACTATAATTTTTATAACATCAATTTAGAGTTAGGGATGTTCTTGTCATTATGACTAATGCATATATACATGAATATATTTCATTATTTTATTTTACGATTCAATGCTACTATCTTTAACAGTGCCGCACATGATGATGACTGACTATAGTTAATTGTGGTTTAGTGCATTGCTACTTTCAACCAAAATAAAGTGCATCGGAAAGATATGTATAGCAGTGATGCCATGTCTACATAATCAATAAACAGGATTTTACACTTTCACTTGAATTATTCAGTATTGAAGTATTCATTAATCAGTTGAGTTATTAAATGAATTCACTCGATCATTACATTTTAATATCAATCATATCTAACTACTGAAATCACATATCCATCATCTATATGTATATCACACAACCTGATAGGTCTACATTCTATTCAGCAACTACGCAATAAACATATCATTTTAATAGATCAAACAATATCTACATCACTCGATTTACTGATTAATCACATAAATAATTACACTCTTTAAAGCCAGAATTCAAAATGAAGGTTTAATTTTTCATGATGTGGTCTAAATGTTTTATTTATTTTCTCATATTTCAATGAGGGACTTTGAGGAACCATCTTTTTCAGGGACATATCTACGACATTCTTCTATACTATCATGAAAAGAAGGAAGTTCACAAATTATTGTTCAACTTTCTCGAATCAGCACAACCATCTATTTATATCTGCACCACAGACTGAAATAAATGTTTACACTGAATTTGCAAATAATGGGGACTATATAATACCCTTCCAGAATTTTGAACCACAGTTTAAGATAAACCTTATTCATGAACTCAGGCCTAAAGACTAAGAGTAATTCAGATCAAAATTGCCAATCACCCATGAGAAAAATAGAATTGTGATTTGAATGTGCTTAAATTGTTTCATCTATAGAACACCCACCATGTTGATTTAGTTAACTAAGTTAAATACATTCTCCCTATCAGAGTGTTTTGAAGGTTTCCAAGGTGAACTTGTGAAGACTAGAAGTTATTAAATAAGATACACATATCACGTTAGCCCAAGCTAGTTCACTCAGTGCAAATCCACACCACTCGACGTGTCAAATATCGTAAAAAGGGTCCTCTACATTTTCATCTGGTGCTTCGGGTCCGTAGACGAGGTACTGGTTGGCCTCTCCCAGCTCTGTGACGCACCTGTCCCTCTCTTGGCGGCCTAACCTGCCTGGCACTTCCATAGTCTTGGGTTTGACGAGTCGGTAGAGGGTGGATGTGCCCTCACGCCCGTAGAGCTGGGGCAGCTTCTTACCCAATAACCCGGACCTGCTCTTGCCGTGGTAGGTACTTTGGAAGGGGCGGACATCCATGTGCAGGCCATGCAGGCTTGCGTTGGCGGAGTGGGCGGAGTTGGCTAGCATGCGGGTGTCGTGGATCGGTAGTAAATCGTACTGCCGGGCTTCGATGCGGAGGGCGTTGGATTCAGGGGCGAGGTTGAACACTTTTGCCTCGCCTTCTGATTTCAAGGTTATATTGAGGTGCTTTTTAGCATCCTATGATTATGTTTGTGGGCGGGGTCGGTATCCATGGCAAGCAATGGTGGAAATGGAAAATACATACATTGAATAAAGCTATTCTGACACAGTACAGCCTTGCATCATTATTATAAATGCATAACATTTAACTAAAACTAATGCATTACTCAAGTAATTCAAGATTTACCTTGGGCAGAAGGCAATCACTACATACATTCAAAGTGTCTATGGCCTCATTTCCCAGCCAATTAATTGTTGAAAATCATCATGAATGGATACAGATATAATAACTAATAATAACGAATCAACCCATCACCGAACACAAAAGAAGCAAACCTCACACTCAAGCTGAACCTGAATACAAATTGCAAATTGCTTTCATGCAGTTTCTTTCTTTTTATACACCTTAATACAAACCCCAAACTAATTTGACATTCCTTTTTGTTTTTTCTTTTTCTAAGCAAATATGTGTGCATGCACACAAGGCAAACAAAACACTGCAAAAAGGAAACAGATTTTGAAGTCAAGCTTGATTGCATTTCAGAAGGAAAGATTTAAGGAAAGAGAATAAACCAAGCAAAGATGTGGATAGTGCATTATTGCTCTGAGGAGTAGGATATATACATTTTTAGTTATTCATCAAATGAAATAAAGACAAAAGCAATGATAGCTTTTTAGGAAAAAAATAGAAAAAAGGCATAAACATTATAATATAGAAGACAGAGAGCAAGACAGATTTCTATTTTATTGTAGGGATGATAAAGACAAAGACAAAGCTCCTTTAAAGTCAAGGGAAGAGCAACCAAAGCCTTTGAAGTTTGAAGAATTGAAGGCCATCACAAACATAGCAGGTGTCTTTGCAGTTTAGCACTGCATGGTGGTGAAGAGAGGAAAAATGGAGAAGAATCAAAGAGCACACACTCAACCTTTTTTGCGCCATCGTAGTGCAACGAGAAGAAAGAAAATGAGAAGGATAGATCAAACAGTCCAGCAGCAGATTTTTCTTTCAAGTAGGATTCTCAGCCCAGAGGAAAAAACAGCAAATGTTTTGCAATCCTGCACATAAGCTATTAGCAAGTACCGTAGGCATTTTCACATACACCATTGAGGTAGAATACTTTATCCGTGCTTTAATCAGACCCAAAGACTGAGACTGAAATAACCCTGTAGTTTTTGTTTTTTCGTACTTTATCCCCTGCATAATTCAATGTGTATCAAGCATATTTCCTTAAGATGCATGCACACTTTAATTATCCAGGATTTTAAAACCCATTTTCTGATCCTAAATTATAATTCATGTGGTAATATAGGAGAGAGAGAAATTACTGGACTAAATTTTAATTTAAAAAAAAAATAATAATTAGGACATAAATGGTATTAGTTGGTCAAATTACTGTTACATCAAGGAATGATAGACCATGTATGCATCAGACTAATTGGCAGTTAACCATTCTGATTATGTTGTACCCTCTATTAAAATGTAGGTAAAAGTTCAACCTCGCGTGGGTGAGAAAATGCCTAATGGAGTTATTGCAATCTGATGTCACAGAGGTCCATCTTTATTTCCAATCTAATTGGGAAAATAGTCAGAGTTGGTGTTCTTAATTAAATCATTCTTCTAATTAGGACATATCTGTCTCATTATCTAAGGCCAGCTAAAAGCAAAATGTATGTTTAGAACAAAATTTTGTTTGAAAAATTACCCAAATGTCACGGACTCTATCTGTAACTTTTCTACCAATTCCAAAAATGTCAAAAAATTCTTGTTGGGAAATAATCCTCCAACTTCCATTTGGATTTCAGCTTTTAGAATTCAATTTGTTTTCTCCGACACTAAACTTTTTATAACACTGTGAATCACTGTATTACCACATTGCAAAATCACAGCAGGGAAAATGGAGGGGGTAAAAAATTCACCCAAACAGCAGTATAAAAAATTCTGATGTTGAAAGTCCAGGCAAACCTGTAATCTAGAGATCGATGGCTGGCCCGGCGAGTCTACTTTGATCGCCTTTTCTGCATTCTCCTCGATGGCATCCGACACCCAGGATTGGACGAATGTGGGATTATGCCACATGCGTCTGCGTACCAACCTCTGAGATAGGATGTGCGGCAGAGAATGAGGTAGAGGAACAGGAGAAGAGAGGGGAGAAGAGGATAAGAGGAGAACTACACTAATTGTGTCAGGGCTCTTTCCCACTACCTCACAAATACTGATTCCCAAAACCTCACATCACAGGCACATGAATTGCCCTGCATGTTCACCTATGTTGCACAGGAAACTTCCTGTTGAATACAGCTGTGAATTTCATTATAGATTTTGAGGAGGAGGTATTTGTGAAGTGGGGATGAGCCCTTGCTGGGGGGCATTTCACAAAGCCTTTTTTCAATGACAAATTACAAAATTCAGTGACAAATCTGCTGATAACCAATCAGAAGCAAGGATTTCAGTAGCTTATAACAAAAAATGTGATTGTCGTTGATGACAAGTTTTGTGAAACGCCCCCCTGGTCTATTAGAAAAAAAGGGCTACTTCTACAAGGGAAATAGAGCATTCCCAAAACACCTACACCATATTACAGTCATATTTCCTTGTAGAGGATAGTGTTTTAAGTAACTAATCTAAATGTATTTGCTTAGGTCTAAAAATGAGATTGAAATGAGGGACTGGAGAGAAACAGATGACAATGGATAAGGATAGATTCCTAACAAGTACATACACCTCCAAGATTCAAAGAAATACTAAAAAAGGAATATAATAGAAGTGATATAGGATATCTACAGCCACATTGTAACATTGTAGCTATTTTAGGGCAGGTCCAAGCTATTTGCTTTGTGACGTACGGGACATTCAGAGACTTTAAGCAAGAAATAACAATGGATGAAATTATTTATATGACTATCTTTTGGTATGAGTCTGTGGCTATTATGGGCTAGTTCATTTGTGGAAAGTTTTAGTTCTGACCAATTCATAAATTAATTTTTAATGTAATTAATGTGCTGCGTGACGTACGGGACCAGAGAATTTCTGACTTTTTCAAAAATAAGTTCATCATAAAAGTTCTCTGAATTTATTAAGTTATGAGATTTATGGTAACGATATCTTAATTCATTATGGAATCAAGCATTAATCACAACTAATACCATATTTTTCTGACCTTTCGTTATTATGTAATATACCAAAACATAAATGTGTGCATGTGACGTACGGGACACGTGACGTACGGGACAACTTTTCCCTATGGGAAAATGCATTGAAATGGAGAATTTTCGTCAAAATTTGTTAAATGTGAACAATTTAAACTTAAATCAGTGACAATTAGAGTGTTTTAGATTCCAATTAGATCCTCTGACCATCACTTAATATCATCTGTGTTAATTTATGAGGTAAATCAATACAAATATTACTTTAACAAAGAAAACAAATTGAATTAATATTCATACACACTATATTACCATTGTTATTCCATTTACCCATCTATCATGTGCAGTCATGCTTCTTTTCTCATTTCTTTTATCCATTCCATTCAACACTGCAAAATATTTTTAAACAATAATTAATGAAGAAGATGAACTTGAACTTGAAAACTTTTATTTAAACTTGTTTGAAACACAGGGGCACACTCGGCACATCATATTTTGTCAAAGAACATTTCTTATGTTCTAAGTGTTTGTGAACAAAGATACATTAAAAATATGAAGTCTTTTCTTCATAGCTTGTTTGAATTATTTGATAGTAATATCATAGAATTTTGAAGAAATTCAAAGATAATACTGGACATATTGTCTTTTTTATATCCTTTTATCACAGATTACAACATGTATATGTTGCTGTCATATATTCAAGAATGTTGATGTACATTAATGTAGCCTACATGTTTGTGAAAGATGGATACAAAAATATAAATCTTGAATGTATTTCGTATTGATTAAAACATCTTATTAACACCACCATATATATAAGAAATTAGAACCCTAAAGGTTTGTGTGACCCTTTTCCACAATTCAAAAGATTAATTCAAAGCAAACTCAACAAAAATGCATGGGTGTAAAAGTGATACGAATCTTAAGTAGGTGAGAGTGTGAAATACTCAAAAAGGCTATCCTTCCTTAAAAGTTATGATTTAGTTTTTAGGAGATCAGAATTCCCGAGCTGGCTCCATAACATGTACAGTGCATGCTGTAATCCTTTACCATCATATATGACATTTAAATAGAATATAAAAAAACCTCACATGGACAGCTTGATAGCATACGTGTGCTATTCTTACCTGCAGCATCTATGAGTTGTAAAAGCTAGCTTCTGGTGCATCCACTACCATATAATTTCATTAGACTCATTTCAGGAACGAGTACACTATTATGATTTAGCATCCTGCCAATGTTGGAGACATCAACTGGCAAAATACCAAAGTTGATAATACCAGGGGTCTGGCTTGAAGACTAATTACATTAACAACAATTACATAAAACAACAACAAAAGTACAAACAAGTAAATTAAGGACCCAGTTGAAATGTTCATATATCCCTGTAATACAACAAGTTTCCTAACACAGTATATATTCTCCTTTTGGTCATTTCCTTTTTCACATCTCGCATTGGTTTTATATGGGGTTGTCCCGTACGTCACACACTTGTCCCGTACGTCACATTTCTTAATTTGATTATGTAATCAACACAGAATTTTTGAAATTTTTGTTAAACCTATTTTTTGTTAGGTATTCATCTAAATTAGAACTTCCTAGAATATCTTTAAAAAAAAAAAATATTTTCATAATTAAAATTAAACAAATTATGATCAAATTGTGACGTACGGGACATCACACTTTGGAACCTACCTCATTTGCATAATTAATTAATTTTGAAAGTTTTTCTATTTTTTTCTATTTTCTAGCATGATGGTCTTCATGTCCTGAGATATTTAATTTTAAACAAATAATTCAAATGAGATACAAAAATAAAAATGTAATGTCCCGTACGTCACGCTAATTAATACAAATCGAAGTTCGTGACCTTGGCACTCTTCGTATTTTGATAATTTTTTTAATTTTTTATCAGATTCATAAAATTCATAGTTTCAGCTTTAAAATGAGGTATAGTTTGTTAAATATATATAAAGATGAAATTTGACCCCCAGAGGGGACAATAGCTTGGACCTGCCCTTTAACTGATTAGTAAAAACTATCATTAAGTACTAACAGCTACACTGGTCAAATGAAGTGTGTAATTTCAAAGAAGGAGGAATCAAATGTATAATTGCAGATGTTGTAGGTGTAGCATTCTCCAAGAAACCCTGTGTCGTGGTTGCTAAAAGAGTGAAAGTGTGTTAAACCTACTCATTAACCTGTGTCGGTGTACAGTGTAGGGTTTTCTTACAAGACATGTCAGGCTTATTGCTTCTTGGGCTGGGGCATTTGCTTTGAGAAAAGATTCACTATCGCTTACGGTGCATTGTTAACCTCTCGTCTGGGCTTACACCCATCCTTTGCCCATGGACGATGGGTTGCATTAGGGATTTCACAAAACTCTTATGATGAGTTCATGTCATCAAAGCCTTTGCATTTAACCCATCGTAAGTGATATACCCAGCTACACTTGACAAGTTCTAAACTACATAAGATATGTGTGTAGGAAGTGATCCAAGAAAAGAGAGAGATGATGTGCTCCACAGTAACCATGGCAACCGATGCTCAGTGAAGAAGGGATGGACGTAACAAACAAACACACCTGACTACTGCCAGAGTCTGAGGGATTGTCAGTAGAATGATCATCGATCACCGATACCACATCCCTCATCTCCTCTTTCACTTCTTCTACTGGAACCGGCTTCTTCTTACTTTTGGTCGGCACAAGAGCCGGCCTTTTCAAGGATTCTGCCCCTTTCTGTCCCGCAGCATAAAGTGATCATTGAAATATCAACAGAATATTTATTTAAAGAAAATGGACAAGAACTAACTAACATTGCAAAGCTTTCAATATGAAAGGGTCATCAAGTAGTTATAATTGTGTTTTGTTATCAAACCCTCCACCTCTTTGCTTCTGCTGCACATTATCTAGGAGTAGCTTTAAATGAATATCTTTATACATGTAAATGCAAACGAAAAATTCAAGCAACGCATGGATACACATGTGAAATTGTTCTGCTTCAATGTTAACTTTTCCTCCAGATCCCATTCATTTCCAATATTAGTTTCTCTAATGCTGCCACAACTACAGAAGGACTAATTTCTACCACTCCTGCTACTGCTTGTAATTCTGCTTACACTACCTATTACACCTACAGTAGTTTATACACGATGTACATTCTCATGAATATGGTTATAATTCATGAAGTAATGACATGTAACGGACCGTTACGGTGCTCGATTACATTCTAATTTTGTTTGCTGACAACCGACACTAAAAGATAAATGCTAAATATATCACATTCACATCAAACAATACGACCCGTTTCTAAACGAAGTAAAGAGAAGACTATAGGTCAAACAATGTCTTTCTACATCATAAGCACACTTTGTTCCTTATGGATTACATTTTAAGTACGTTACAAAGATGTGATGCTCCTTGAACTTAAAAATTTGGTAAATGGTTAACACAAAGCAATGTACCATCAAATATTTGCTCCCTCGTGAGGTTATAAATACAATTTTTTTTTCAATTGGGACATACCTTTATTATACACTGCTTTTCGGCGATACATATCTGTTACTTGTTCATTCTAAAATATGAATTATCTTCTTGATACACACTACTAGCCAATTATTAAAAGACAATCTAATCACTGCTTCACTATTCTTTCCAGTCAGTCAATTAGTCACAAGCTACAGAATCAATCTGTCTAAATCTATCGTTCAAAATTGTCAGCTTCAGAATATTATAACATTAAATTAAATACTACAGAAGAGAGCAAACAATTAATGCAGGTCAGTACATGAAATGGTATGGATAAGATAGATACTCGAGAAGGATCTCTTTCTACATCATGACAGGAATTCAGACAGCTTACCTTCTTTTTGGATTGCTCCTCCGCGCTTGGATCTGGTTGGACCGCCTGAAAGAAATTCAATTACACTAATTTGTTTAAAATCTGGTCCTGTTATATTTGTATAGTTTGCAGTGTATGGATACTACCAGATTTCATGCTATGCTCTGAAAGTTGGATGTCAAACAACTTTGGTGCGGAATACATCTGAGTCGACGTTCTAACATGAAAATACTGTATCAGGATCTGTATCATCTCTCCGTCCCTTTTTCTACTGATCATATTTCCTCATTTTTTGCATCACCATTTCCCTAATCTTTTGTTTCTCACCAAGATCCCAGCTTCTTACCTCTTCACTCTTTGATCTTCCTTTCAGCTTCTTTTTCTTCTTCTTTTTCCTCACTTTGTCCTCATCTTCATCGTTCTGTCCTTTGGGCAGTTCAGACTCTGATGCACTGTCACTGTCACTGGTGCTAAACACATGAAATGGAATCACAGATAATAAGAACAACATCAACAAAAAAATTGATGGAGGAAATAATCATACCTGTCAAAGAGGAGTGACAATATTCTTACTTGTTAAAATCTGCGCGTCCAAATGGGATTTGGTTAAAACTAAGTCAGAGCGCTAGTACCCATTTCTAATCCTTTTCTTATCTCTCAGAAGACATTTACCATAATTTTAAGTATATTGTAAATTAAATTGAGCTTCACTTTTTTTTCATTTAAGTATAAGTAAAATGATACAGTTTATTGTTCATATCAAGAAATTTGATGTCCACTGGTTGGTACAATTAACACAATACATAACATCAAAATTGATCATCCTTCTACAATCGATACCATGAGAAAGGTTATCAAAAAAATGAGCATATCATTATTGTCATTATTATTATTATAATTATCATTATTTAAATTATTTATATAAGTCATTTAGTTACTTACTATCTGCATGTTATTTCTTATCCAATATTATTCATCAAATTATTACATGCAGTGCCATTGATATAGTGTGGCTAGATCATGTTCCATAAAGTAATTCATAATCTTGTCACATTCCTGTCATCCTAGCTGATCGACTTACTCTGATTCAGCAAACTCCTTGTTGATGTGAAGGTCAGCCAGAAGGTCAATACACCCCTGGATGGTCTCGGAGCTCAGCGTGTCTATCACCTTCAGCGCTGCCAGCTTGGACTTGGTCCTCTTGTCCAGCCCCGCCCACTCAGACCCGTCCTGGTCTGACTTGGCCCCGCCCTGCTTCTTGGACTTTTGTCCTGGGGAGAAAATAAAAATAATAATAATAATAATAATGTTAAAAACGTTGCTTATAAAGTGCTTACCAGTGAAGTCTCTAAGCGCGAAATCACGGGCAGATATGATGCAAGTGGTTGTATTAATGTACAAAATGTTTTAGTGATCAATTGTAATGAAAGATCACTTGCTTATAAAGAGGTTTATTTCTATTTCTTTTATATATTTAATCATTTATTCATACATTTATTTAGTCACCTACCTACCTATCTATTGATCTATTTATCTATCTATTTAATTATTTACTTATTCAGTATTCTTCAAACAGGGTAGCCCCGCAAGTAGTTTGAATACTGTTTTCTGGTGGTTCCTTTTAACATGACCAAAATAAAATATGTTCTTAGTTTCTTCTTGCACAGTGTCTCTCACTCAAAACTTTCATTCAAAGGACCTGTACATGAATACCATAGACAAATAAAGACCCATATCCTTAAAACTGTGACTCTTCCAGAAAGATAACATAGTACTGAATAATAATGTTTATGAAAGAGCACATTGGCATTACATACATGTATAGGGACTACTCCTTGCATATTTTAACAGAATAACACGTTCCACATTGCAAAAACACAAACAAAAATATAAGAACGTTGTCAAAAAGCAAGCTATAAAGCTGTTACACACCGACCCTCGACTCACCATGTTTGACTTCTTTGAGAGAAGAGAGATCTGGGAATGGGATGTTTGGGGGCAGCAGACCACGGCTGAGGAGGATGTGATGCGTGATCTCCTTCGTCAGCTCTAGAATCAACTCAGAATGAAGACTGTAGAAAAAAAAACATTTTAACCATTTTTTAGATCACTGATATGTTTATTTTCAGTTTGATTTAAACAGGGTTGCCTCTTCAGATAAAAAAAAAACTGCTGTCCTTGAGGGCCCGGATAAAAACAATACAAATAACATACACAAAAGTATTATGAAAAAGAACTTACCGGAGAAAGAAAAATATTTACAAAAGAAATCAAAGCATATGACACATGTAGTTCAGTGTTTTGAGACAAAATGCATCAAGAGGTTTCTGTTTTTAGGCCATTTCCATCGTACAGTACTTTAAGTGACGATTAATTTCGATTGCACATTATTTGAGCATGAACCACTCCTCTACTGTGAGTGATCAAAAAGGCCATGGAAGAAAGATGAACAACAACAAAATTTTGTTATTTGCTGGTAAAATAATCAGACAAAAAAATGTCAAATACTTCTTAAAGAACAAAGGAAACACAAAACAAATTATGATCTCTGTATCTGTCCACATTTAGGCGCTCCTTAATTTTTATGCTAAGTTTACACAGTTTGGCTGCCTACAAGCACTAATTGGTGGTTTAAACGGTTTAGATCTAGACCAGTTTTTTGTGAATTAGAGACTAGTCAATTATTACCTTTCACATTTTCAAATTCTCAAAGCTCACCTTGTGTTCTCCTGGGCTTGGTGATATACCAGGAGAGCCTCACAGAAATGGCGCCCAAGGTCCTGGAAGTCTTGCAGGTTGAAGTGTCTCGGAGCATGACTGTGAAGGACAAAGTCAGAACAATTATGATTACAAAACAACATGCAAATGTCATGTAGAGTAGAGGGAATAAACAATAGTAACTATGAGATTACAGAGAGATAAGGGTCAACATGATGAAGCGGATCCTAATCACATGATTGGTTGAGAGCGTACACGTGACCAGGCATTTATTTTGCTTAACACACAATTTTACTAATGACCGGTCATTAGTAAGTACTTATGACCAGTCATTAGTAAAATCATGTTATAAACATCATTTTATACAACAAATAAAACATCTTACAAAACAAATACCGGTAGTACACATCATTTTGTACCTTTGAAACAATCCAAACACCCTCGGCTATCGTCTTGGGCGTGTTAGACTGTATTAAAGGTACCTTGTGTGGGTAATTCTTACTAATGCCCTCACTGCTGTTTATTATTTGTATAGAAAAAAGACTTAGAAAGTGAAAAGCTTGCAGGGGAAGAGGACATTCTGTGAGCCCTTAAATGGCAGCAGGAGGGATTAGACCTCCCTGCATGGTCACTGACAGGTGGTTATCTCATCAAATCAGTTCTCAACCAATGGTCACAGATTAGGCATTGTTTTCTATATAGAGGGTGCAAGTAGCTATAAGTAGTGCAGTGGGGCTTTAAAAATCTCAAAGGAGTGAATATATACACCTACAGAAACACTGCTTGTTGCTGCGGCAGGATTCATCATTACCTTGTAATGTCCTTGCTGCCACAGAAGGTTGCTTCCAACGTGAAGCTGTTACTGATACCCATCTGCCGCCACATCACAACACGCCCCGTGGCCTCCTTGCATCGCTTCACCCGGAACTTGCAACCACGGAAAGAGAACTTGTCTGGTGCCTGGAGGAGTAAGTGAAAGAAAGTGGTTATAAGACATTATACAATGAAAAATTAAACTATATCTACTGTATAACCAGAAAACTTATGCAAACATGGCACTTTCCTGTATTATGAAAAACAGCCATTTCAAGGCAACAAAGTTTGTGCACTGAACAAAGGCAGTATTGTGTCAGTTGTGATTAAAACTATTTTGCCCTTTGAAACTTTAACAAATCTAAACCACTTGGAAATTTGCAACCATTTCATGCAACAAATGTTTCTGGATTCACAGGGCTGTGAGAAATATAAATCCCAGCATACCATGATGATATCAATATTGTTATCTATTTGTCTAAATTCATTAAAAAAATAGTACTTGCACAGAAATTTAATTTCTTAAAATCATTTTATAACTTACGAATCCTAAGCCCAAGAATTCATGGGCTGAGCCCTTTGGAAAATGTAAATGTATTATAACCAAATCAACTGTATCCAACTGTTTAAAACAGAAATCCTTGCTTGACACAAATTTGTATATACCTTTTGGGAAAGTAACCATGGAAACAACCTTTGACACAGGAAAGCAGCCATATCCAGCTCTTGTTTGTCTGGGTCACAGCCGTAGATGAAGACGTTGTGTTTTCTACTGTGACCATGCATGTCACAGTACACCAAGATCTCCTGTAAATATCAAGATGTTGTTGGTCAAACAGATTTTGAGCGTCAAGTCACGCTTGACTGGAATGCTCCCAAGGGAGTGGAGATTGTGCTGACAGTGCATGCGGGCAAGCACTGAATCCAATGACCGGGGTAATAGTATATCTGTAAAACGCTTTATAGAGACGTCCGAGATGTATCAAGCGCTATATAAAAGCTGAATATTAATATTATTATTACTAGTTTCTGAATCGTTAAATCAAACTTAAAGTACACATAACTATGTGAAAATTAAAACTAAATGAACTGTATAGAAATATAGTTAAATAATTTAATCCTGGATTAATAGATTTGCCTTTACATTATCTTTGACTATGTCTGGTCCTGGCAAGTCACCCAATACCTGTACCTGAAACTATATCAACCAATGAACTTATAAACCTCAATAAAGTCTAGACTTCACTATGAAACATTTGAAATTAAAAATGCAATGAAGCGACATTTCTTCACAAAGTTTTCTATTCACTATCATTACTTTATAACAAGAGGGCTTCTGTTTATTTAAAGCCTGTCTGCACTAGTTTGGCCAGGGGGGATTAGACCTCCCTGCAAGGTCACTGACAGGTGGTTATCTCATCAAATCTCAATTAACATAAGAAAAAGAGGATCATGGAGGACCAACAGGCACCGATTAGGCATGGTTTGCTATAGAGAGGGCGCAAGTAGCTATACGTAGTGCAGTGGGGCTTTAAAAACTTATTCTACGATGCAACGACCTAGCCTACCTCACATTCCTCAGCAAAGTCAGCCAGCATCTGCTTGGTGTTCCACACAGTGGGGAACGATTCCTTCTTGGGATGGCGATAGTTACGGTTCAGGTCGCGACCCGCCAGCGAGCAGCGATAGTTTCCCACGATCACGCCATCAGGGTTGAGCATGGGGATGATCTTGAAGATGTAGCACTTTCTCAGTTCCTGTGGTGATAACATGGCAATCAGGAGTGAATATGGTCGGAAAGTTTCCAAAATCTATCTCACAGGAATTCAGATATACAATTTAAGTAGGAAGGGTGCTACAAATCTGCTTGCCAGGGGAGTGTTTCACAAAGACTAAGATCGACTTTAAGTTGGACTTAACTGTGGCAGGCTGTTAATGCCATTGTTTGCTCTCACTATTATGATTATTAGATAACATTCTTTCCTTCAATAATGAATTATCAGAAAATGTCAATTCTGTAGATTTGTGACATTGATTTGTAAGTCTCTTGAGAGACCAATGCCAGTAAATGGTGAGAGCAAACAGTGGCATGAGCGGCCTGCCATAGTTAAGTCCAACTTTAAGTCAATCTTAGTCTTTGTGAAACACTTGCCTGATGCCTTGGGGTGGGGTAATCCCACATTTTCAGATGGGCCCTGAATATCACATGCCCAATCATTGTCTGAATAATCATGATGTAGGTGAAATATGCAGAAAAGACAATTTGAGAAAGATGATAGAGATGAAGAGAAGGAAAAGAAGACAAATTAAATAAACGTAATAAGAGATGGAAAAACAGAAAAGGAAAACAAAGGTGAAGAAGATTATAATTCAATTTGTTTAATAAAGAAATAAAAGCAGCATGACAGTTGACAAACTAATATGACGAAAAAATGATGAAACAGAGTATGTGAGAAGATGAAGGGACGGACGACGTTGTTACCTTGGCAACAGGATCTGAGCTGGTGATGAAGTCTAGAAGTCCTCTCATCATCCAGCTAGCATTGGTTTCACCAGGATGTACCCTAGCTGTCACCACAATGCCTTTCTTAGGGCGATGATCTACAAACAGAAATTACACAAAAGATCTCATTTTTCCCTGCATATTCATAATGAAATGCCATAAATCTGACAAAAGATAATTTGTTTACATATCTGGACACCTAACCCCTGGACATCAACCCCCTCTGATAACCACCCCCAGTCAACTACCCTCCGGGACAACTACCCCCCTAGGACAACTACCCCCCTAGGATAGTTGTCCGGGAGGTAGTTGTCCTAGAGGATGATTTTCGTAGGTGATAGTTGTCTGGGGGGGGGGGGGGGTAGTTGTCCGGGGGGTAGTTATCCGGGGGGTAGTTGTCCTAGAACTGCATATTTGTAGTGAAATGCTATACTCTGCTTAGAAGCTAGGAGGGCATTAAATCTATAAGACATAAGTATAATGGCAAAGTTTAATGACTTTCTGGCTCTCAGCAGACTCTTTTGAAAAGAGATTCCATTCAAGCGTATGAGTATTCAATATTGATACTTTCATTAAGTATCAATGCATAATCTACAAGTACACATCACAAATACATGCATCTTGCCTTGCGCAATAGCCAAAGAATAGACAAAGCATAAACAATTATTACAATTATACAGATGAGGAAAAGTAGCGACATTACAAAACTCAAAATAGGCAGATGCCAGACCACCTTAAATCCTTTTTGGCAAGCTAAATGTCCTGCATGTATTTCCCAGGATGCAACTTACCATGTCACTATCATTACTATTTCATGCAAATCTTGTGCAACCTCTCAATCATCTTCTGGGTTGCTGGCTGGCAACGAAACAGAAAGTTTAAAGCCCCACTGTACTACGTGTAGCTACTTGCTCCCTCTATATAGAAAACAATGCCTAAGCGGTGCCTGTTGGTCCCCCAAGATCCTCTTTTTGTAATGTTAATTGAGATACAAGTTGATGAGATAGCCAACTGTCAGTGACCTCGATGGGTGGTCTAATCCCCCTTGCCATACTAGTACAGAAAGGCTTTAAAGCAAGAGCCTTGGATAGAACATCATCTTACCGCTGAAATTTGAGACGGTGAGTATGAAGCAACTGTTGCCGGCCCTGCTCTCACAGAGGACGTCTCGTCTCATGGTCTTGCGTCTCTCCGGCTGGGCCATCAGGTCGTCTAGATGCTGGCACAGGTCAGTGAAGGTGTAGGGGTAGCAGTGGGCAAGATAGCATGTGTCGTCTTCGTGCTTGAACTCCTATGTCAAAGAAACAATGTTAAAGGTAAAGTCAAGTTCTGGTCATGCGATTGCATTGTGAAAGAAAAGGTGTGGAATGGATCAGAAAAAGTTGATCATGTAGGTCCTGGAATCATCAAAATCATAATAAATTTGGCCCAGTATTGGTAAAGTAACAAGCACTGTACACAGAAAGATGTATGGTATATGGGGCTACACAAATGGTGTCGGGCCTACTTACCTTGATTTCCTTATCTTTCTATGCTCATTACTAAGCCAGTAAACATTTTCTACCAAAACTGTTTGGCAAATGACATTTATTTGTAATCTTGAACATTCAGTGCAAGTTTCGTTTGATTCTATGAGAATTCATTTTCTTTTTTTACCAGAACTCAAGTTTATCTTTAAACAGAGTGTTAACAGAGGTTCTGGTAAGAATGTATTGCTTTTTAGATAGGTGTGCTCGACAACAAAATTAACTAATTGGCATAACATTCATATTTCAAGCATTTCAATTGTCTCAAAACACGAAGAGCAAGGTACTTTGCTTTGGATAATAATCTTGAATCCTTAATTTTATGTGATAGACAAAATCAAATGCATCATGCAGATTTATATCAAAATCTGGGGGCTTTTACTTCTCACCTTTTTACATTACCAGTATATGTCACTTATCTTCAATCTATGTTCTTATATTCATTTCCTTTTTATCTACGCCTTCCTTTTGCAAATAATGCTATCCCTATATTCTTAAATAATTGGTCAGATAATCTAAAATAAAAAGGCTTTGGAGAGTATGCAATCATAGTTCAAAGAGAGCTCGGTGAAAGTTGAATGATGATACATACAACTATTTTGTATCTACACTAAAAATATGCACTATAGAAATACTTTATATCAATAATATACCATTACCATAACCACTGCCATTACCATTATCATTAATCATTATCATTAAAATTATTGTAACCATAACCATTGTCGATACAATTACAGTTACCTTTAAAATTACCATTGACGTTATCATTACCGTTATTGTTACCATTATCATCATCATTACCATTACAATTATCCTGACCGTTACTAATGCCATTACCATTATCATTATTATTATTATTGTAACATACAGAAAATCAAGATAAAGAAGAAAAAATAAGAAAAAATAAGAGACAATCACTTCCTTACCATTTGCCATTCCAGTACATGGTATGTAATTTCAGGATGGAGGAGGCCATTTCTGTTGAAACCGTAGCCCCTAGAATATGTGATGTGATGACCGGCCCTAACCCAACCTTGGCCACTAGACTGGGCTTCCTTCTCAGAGTATATCAATGGTCGCATACCTGTGAAGGGATGGTGGAAGAAAGGATGACAGTCTTTGGATTGCTTCAAATGATTTGACCAACCGACATACTTCAAGTTTTGGAAAGCTTGAGCAACATAGAGTTCCATATTTACGAACATTATTTTATACCTTGGAAGAGCTGACAAGAAAGACGTCAGTCTGAACAAATTTTATAGATCGGAAAAACGGAGGAATGCTTTAAGATATGGACTACAAAATAATAACAACAAATCAAATTGTGAAATAAGACTACTACCTTGCAACATAAGAATTGATCTAACACACATTTTCAATTGATTCCAGCTCAAGTTACCTAGAGGTACATATCAAACACATTTGATATGATAAATAGACCAACAAAAGAATGAAAAAATATGGGTAACAATTTCATTTAATTTATTTCCACGTCAAGATAAAAACAAAACTATATATTCTTCAATTCAAACATATTTAATAATGAAATATCTAAAGTGGGTGGATCATGAAAAGTACATAAATGGCTTGTTAAAAATGATACTCACAAAATATACTAAATAATATATTATTGACAAGCATCAAAGTATATTCTGATTATTAATTTAGAAGAGCGCTTTTTAGAATATACGCAGGCCCATCTTTTTAAAATAAAAACAAAGTTGAAAATTTATACCATACACAAGTACACAGCAGAGAGAGATGTAAACAAAAAATTGAAGATTGAAACTGAATGGTACAGCTAGCTTCATGACAATCATTATTTGAAGGAACTGTCCTCCAAATAATGTATATATATATCAACTAAATTTTCTTGCTGACCACTGGAAGCAAGGATTTTAAGGAAAGTTTTGGTAAGGACTTCTGTCACTTACCATGATTGTAGAGGCTGTCTTTCTTGAGTAAATTGATGATGTTAAACTTATAGGTGACCCCTGGACGCATCTTCTGCACCCGGAAGTAATACCATTGGGTGTGACGGCTGGTGTAAAGGTCGGTCTTTAGAACAAGATCGTACTCAAACTGACCTCTGAAACAAGAATGGAGATTATAATTATGTATATGTGGCATGAATTTATTCCAGGACAAGTTTTTAAGAATAATGATAATCTTTTAACTTAGTTCATCACAAATTAACTTCAGTTTCAAGTTTTGAATTCAGCAAATGTAAACAAAACAAACAAGGACACACAAACATTGTTATATTTATCTAAAAAAAAAATGAAATCTGTTTTCAATCTTTTATATCCATTTAAATTTTGTTGTGTTATCTAATCATTTAGCATCAAACCATGAAATAAAATGCAAGTATCTTTCAGTGGAATGTCACAAAGAAATTGATACCCTTTTGTATGAAATGTATTGTTCAAGATCAGGGAAAATGAATGCTTCAATATGGCAGTTGACCTTACCAGACATAACAAGTTAAGTTTAAACAAACAAAAAGTCAAAGCTGTGAGAGAGTAGGGGATATCATCACTTACATTCGTCTTGCTTGTCTAAGGTTGCCGCTCTCAAAGCGTGACTCAAAGACTAAGCTTGGACAACATCCCTCCGGTATCGTGTGTGGAATGGTCCCCTTAGTCGTCCTCTCTGAGTCGAATACATTCTGAGTGCCTTCCCACGGTCTGTACCATTTGGTCTTCTGGGTGTGAATAGTTCTTCCATCCTGAGGGACTGCAGCATGAACAAAAGGGACAATGTACAAAAATTAATTTGAGAAAAGTGAAAATATAAAAACATTACAGTTCTCTTATTTCAATAGTCTTGTCTAAATTTCATGGATTCCTGGATAAATGATGAAGAGTTACCTGACAAGATAATAAAAGATGATACAATGAATCTTGGAATGATATAAAAATCTTTTTACATGTTTTTTCCAAATTTTCAATGAATAATTTTATTAAAGTCATTTTATTGAAAACTTGGATGAATGATAATGATCAAGTCAAGTTGGAATGTATGCATTCTCTCAGCATATCATGAAGGTTTGCAAAGGAATCTTGATAAAAAAAGTACATATAATAGATTACATAATGGTTGTATAAAAAGGACAAAATTGAACAGAACAAAAACTTAACAAAACAAAAAAGACAAAACAAAACAAAACAAACAAAATATAACAAAAATAAACAAAAATGATACAACACAAAACACAAAATCTAAACTATTGAGACAGCATGCGACACACAATCAAACACCAACACATTTGAGATTCTACAGGTCTTGTTCTGATCAATTCTCTGTGACTAAATACTTACCATATTGCCAAAGAGGCTCAGGTTCCTTTGGAACCGTGAAGACGTGTTTAGGAGTGGGCAGAAGCTCACCCAAGAAATAGATTGGCCAGTGTGGACCATGGACCCAGAACCTATGGGTGTCGTAGGCCGTGTAGGTCTGGTCACCGTAGTAGTCCTCGCGAAATGGGGGCTTGGAAGGCGGGGCTGAGAGAGGGGGCGGGGACTTGAGAGGAGGGAGGAAGCGGTAGTACGGGAAGCGGGATGGCGAGACGGTGCCATTGCGGGTGTAGGGCGACTCCGAAGAGGATTTCATGGTCACCGTTGCGTTAAGGTATTCCTCAAGGGATGTGGAGTTCTAAGCATGATGTTGCTATGGGTCCCTTGATTGTTGTGAGTTTGTAACATCATTCTTTTATCCTTGGAATTACATGTGAACCATTTCAGAAGTCTTTGAGACGATGTTGCAGGAACTATCCTTGATGATTGCCACTTTTAAAAATGAACAAGTTTCAACGAGTAGCGAAAATATCAATATTTCCTGAACAAGTATCAAATAAGATGACATGAAATGGATTCTACACGTAGCTGGTTGGTTAGTGTCCTCAGTTTACCTTTTTCTGTAAGTACAGAAATTGGAGATGACCGGCTCAACATCCCAATGAAATCAACTTCTGCTAGCTCTAAATGTACAAGCATCATAGGAAATGCAAGCATTATGCAAGCACCTGTAGCACCTGGAACAATAAAGAATGATATTCCAAAAGACAATTTGGCAATAAGAACAACGTTTCTACATTCAAGCAATGTTACAGCATCCAACATTTAAGAAAGGGTGGATCAGATCTTTTCCCTTCCTTAGCTCAGCTCCAATACATTCTACAACTTGATGGAAGATGGAGCTGACTGTAAAACTAAACTGTACCAACAAACAAGTCCAAGTACATGCACCTCTCTATAAACACAAGGTTCCATAATGTAACAGATCTGGACACCTAACATGACATCCTGCACATATAACTCTTCTCCATTACTGTCTAAGATACATACACCCAACCGAAGACAACAATAAAAACCAATGTCATTATTGATTAACTACGCTTCGCACAATGGCTTGGTGTTACATGGCAGTTCCTTGCGGCCGAGTATAAATTCCGAAACACAAAGGGCAAGCTCCTGAGCGCGGTCATGAATGTAAAATCATCCGTTATCAGATCCGACTAAGATCGATGGTTTCATGTGTGTTCTGTTGATCGAATTGATCAGATTTCTAGCTCCAAACTTGAGTCAAAGTAAAATACAAAGGAAATCTAGTTGTCAGGGAGATAAAGCGATCATGTACACCTGTTTGTTCTAGTTCAAAATAAAAAAGCATATCAGATTTGGAATTGATAGGGCCATGTTTTCAATTGAATGTTTGTGTTCATAGAACATGAATATGCAATACAAAAGAGATTGTGGTGAATAATTGTTAGATGATGTGGATCACGTTATTTACTTTTAATAGGGAGTACAGAGTACTTGCAATTCAAACTACATATATCTTATCTCTAAGAGCCTAATAACTGACTGATCATATCGATTGCAAAATGTTCATGGAATTGAAACATACATTACATGTACAGGAAAATAACTGATTATCTTTAATGTGTACATCAAATATGGACTTTAAGCTCATTTTGAAATTTCCTGTTTTGAATGAACTATCCAACACTTGCAAGGTGTTGTTTTTCTGTCAAGAAATACTCAATGGACAAAAGTCTATATTAATCAACAGGTCTAAATACAACTGCTTGTACTTTTCATATATATATATATAGAGAGAGAGAGCTTTGTTTTCCATATAATTTCAATGAAATCAATCTACAATACACAATATGTCATCAAAGATTAGTTTAAAACTTCATATTGATTTTTCTCTTTCTTCCCCCACTACCAGAGAGAATTGTATTGATCATGATCGTATGTTTTGTTTTCCAGTTTAACATTATGTTTACAACTAATTTTGCCTCATTAAAGCACATATGTTAAAAGGAATAATTTAATTCCTAGCATAGATAGTACATGTATATTGTATGAAATGGGACAGAAGTACTTGCATCTGTACAACATACAGGTATTTGTTCTCTTTCTCTCTATCTACATGTAGCCCTCTTTTTGCCTGCACTCTCCTGATATAGTAATAGTCTATTAACATGTTTGCCAAAAGTATTAACAAGTACCCTCTAAATAGCCCTAACATGGGATCCGTGATTACTAAGGTTGCTATTTGGGCAAATATGGAGTACCTAACAACCACCAGGGTAGCAGCAAGTCACCTTAGGGTCAATAGCTATATAATGCTGCCATCTTTGCTCCATTCATAGAAATCTTTGCGCTATTCTCATGAGGTGTAGGAAAAATCAATACGGGAAGTTGGCAAAGAGGTTGTCGGAGATAACAAAATTCCTTTGGGATTGGGAAGGCCGATACATGCATGCAGCCGGTAAACAATCTGTTTTGGTGGAAAAATTGCGGCGGTGGAAAAGCAACTTGGAATTGGAAATTTTATGAAATGTTTGAGATGAATGTACAGGAGCTCAACATAGCAAATTCAACTCCTCCTGCAACCGCCCCCCCCCCCTTTGAACACACACAAGCACATTTTGCTTTATTAAATCCATAAATAGTTTTAGACTTCACTTCATTTTCATGGTATGAATATATTTCAAATTTCACAGTTCAACTATTGTTATAGGAAGAATGTAAAATTTGTTGAATTGGTTTGCTTGTAGTTGTAGCTTAATAAAGCCTGAAAACATAACAAGTTCCAAATTAATAACTACTTGAAAATGTCTGTGAACACACTGACGATCCACCTAAATCAAAAGACATTATAAGTGTGAGGCTCTTCAGTCACTTAAACTTAAATTAAAGTGAAACTTGGACTCTGAATAAAGAGTTTGTAAAGTTGATCAAAACTTTCAACCGATGGAGACAAAGGTGTCATATTCTGTTCATGAATGGCGGATTTTGATTGGCTGAATACAACAGCATTGGAGAGTGTTTGTGAAGCAATTATATGGTAGGCAATATGGGTAAGGATGCAGGTGCGTCTATTTTCTGTTTGTATAACATGTACATGAATGGGTGTGTGTTTTTGCTGTAAACATGTTGAGTCAATATTTTGCGCTTCATTTACTTCTTTGCAATTAAGTTCTACCTTCTACTACATGTAGTTGAAAGCTGCATGTACCATCAATTCCATTCACTAATGTATGTTTATGAGAATTAGCCTTTCAAATCCATCCTCAATAAACTTGTGTTTCTTCTTCTCTCTTGTTGGGAGGTTGTGATATGGGGATTATTTCTCTTGTTATTGCTCTTGAAGTTGTCACCTCTTATTGTTCATCTTCTTCCCCTGTCTAAATCTTCTCCCCCCACCCCCTCCTTTTTTTATTTTTTTATTCCTGATCACATTTACATTAGAAAGCATAATAAAATAAAGTACTTAATTACGGTATCTCCCCACCCCGATCCCTTAAGAGAGATGCACAAACTTCAGTTTCAACAAACTTATTGCCTACATTAAATACATTCTATAGCATATGAGAAGTATGAAAAAAACAATTGAAATATTGAATATCCTAAATCAAAATTTTGAGGCACTTCAGTCTGGTTTAAACCTACTCAATAATGGTCTCTTCCTAGGAAATCATAGGAGGAATTCCTCACTACAATTACTGGTTACTATACATTTGAAGTTTGAAAGTTCCAATATATATTCTCTGATATATTTCTCACAGTTTAATTTCTACCTTAACCGACAATCACCTTGCATAATCTTTCTACAGTAATAGCTTTGAAGAACCATCTTTTGAAAGTGCATTTAAACTATAAATAGAAGGGGCCAATTAGGTGAATTCACGATTGGTAGAAGGCTAAACGAGAGTGAATAGAGTCCTGATAGTGACGTGAACGAACGGATTCATCCACAAATGGAGATATTGACCGGTACAAAGCCTCTCACAAAGATAAGTGTGGAGCCCCACAGAATACCCCCCCCCTATTTTTTTGTATATCTTTGACTATGTATGTATGACACAAGTATATTTCTAGCCCCCATATAGTCCCTCCTCTTAGTTAATTAGGTACCCCCTCCTGCGAGAGTGGCCTCACCCACAACTAACCTAAACACACCAGCTGGGATACCAGGAGTGGCTTCTCACTTTGTTTTGCCATGCATCCTAGTCAACACCTTTCTTATTTTGTCTTCCTTTAATAGGTAAGAAAGAATCTTTTATTATTCAATTGTGTTATATTCTTGTTCTCCATAATATGTGTATTTCTAAACTATTATAGCTTCACTATTCATATATCTTCTATTACTGTATAAAAAGAGATATTAATGGTCTTTGGCTATGAGATGTTAGATTATATGACATGTGGACTATGGGTGGA